AGAAAAGAATAAAAAAGATAACTGGCCCCATACGTCCGCCCGGTGTGAGAATGATCACCCAGATCATCCAACCTGGCAAATGGTAAATGAAAATGAGGATCCAGCCATAAGCCAAGAACCAGAAAACTCGAGTCTGGACCAAGATAACACTCTGCACAGCCCATCACAGGCCAAGCCTCTAAGCGCGTGAAAGCGGGGAGTACACGAATGGGCTCCGTACGAGAAATAGCGCGAATTGTCCCAAAGAGCCACAAACGAAAAAAAGGGAAAAACAGCCAATAAACGCCGAAAGGCAAAAAGTAAAGTAAAGGTGCCAACCTAATTACCCCACAATTCGCTCCGTTAGCAAATCACCGTATAACCTCCGAACCGGATGCATTCCCCAGCGGACGTGGGTGGCTTGGTTCAGTGTTTAGGTCCCTCCGGATATCCTATCAGACGATCACCAACAGTAGCCAATGATGTTATATTATTACTTCTGTCGTCAATTCCCGTGTCGATCTCTGCTATTCGCTCGCACTAAATACCCACATCCACGGTGCACCCGTACCAGACACTCGGGGCAGGCATCCGTGCGACAGATGAGACAACGGGCGCATATAGTGTCCGAAATGGGTAGGTGAGTAACGATTCCCCACGTTAATATTAAAGTATTAGTGTCAGGTGTCAGTTTGTGTCAATTTTAGTAGGGTAAGGTTAAGGTGAAGAAAACAGTTGAGAGTTTATCTGGGATTCCTCCCCTGGTACTGGGAAATGGGGACCAGCAGGGGATACGAAGATCGTTGAGCAATATATCATTTCGGGTCTAGACAGAAAAACCAAAGGAACACTAAATCGACTAGTTCCGGTGGCGTTGGCACTATACTTGTCTGGGTCGAACTAAGAAATCCCGCAACTTTCAAGGGTCTGCGTGAGCACTAAGGGGTGATCATCATTAGGGAACTTGGCGTGAGAAGTGAAGATCCGGTTTGGATCACCGACTTTATTCTTTATTCGTTACGGCTCCGTATTATTTGACTTCGACTTTGGCTCTTCACCCGATACTATAATGCTTGACTTTTGACTATTCAATATTGACCATTGTAATTGTACTGTAGCAAGTAACATTGTACTGTAAATAGTAGTGAATAGCACGTCCACGTCCACGTCCACATCCATGCACCATGCACTTCAATGTACAGTAGCATATGCACAGCCAAAACCCAGGATGCGCCGTGCCATCCACATCCACACCTACCATCCCTACACATCCTCGCACAGAAACGACAAAATCCATCCAGCAAGCAAAAGAAATCAAGACACATGTACCGGCTGTACTGTACTACCTCCCTAATCCGTCCACAACCCCGAAGACCGTTTTTAATCCTGACCAACAACAACATCGCAATTGCCAGCCCCTGGGGCTAGCCTGACTGCCTGGCTCCCCCTATCTTCTCCGGATACTGATACCTCTCTCGGCAAGGTGCCGCTCGATGCTTAGGGGCGTCTATGCCTGACGGGCAATCATTTCGGACTGGGGATCCTGCGATGCTTACATATCGGGACCCATCAGTTACGGTAACTTAACACTAATTCAACGAAGTAAGTTATGGGGGTGGAGAGGGCCATTCCGTCTTTCGCTGTCAGCCTCAGGAGGGTCGGGGGGTGAGATCATGATCATCGCGATCGTCTAATTATTCCGTTCTTGGTTTTAGTTGGGTGGCCCCGACTGTCTGACCACGCTTGTCTGTGCGATAGGAGGCAAGGCTCAGACACATAGCTGGTCCGCCTCTCTGTATTTTGTGTCTGTTTTTTTCAAGGCAAAAAGGCAAAAGGCAGCAGGCAACAGGCACAGACAACGAAATAATAAGTTGCATGTAGGTTAAGAGGCTAAGACATGAGTCCAAAGTTCTAGCGCGGACTTCTCTTGTACCTATCAGTTATGGTTATAGTTCGCGACTGCAATGCTCCTATAGTAAGAAAATCCTAGTCAACGGAGTGTTCTCTGCCCCTCGTATACTCCGCAAAGACTAGTCCACACCCTCAAACCTCTCCCAACACATTCCCAACATCCCGAGACCCTCGTGTTAAACTACCCGATCGGGTGGAAAGAATGGTCCTCATGATTCACGGTGCCACTCCAGTAATAGTTATAGTTGCTGCTGGCAGGTCACACACAAGGGGGGAAAGGGCTCCTCCACGCCCATGTGGTCAGAAGGACTGTTACCGGCAGGGATCTGCGAATCTGCGCAGTATTCCCAATACTGTGGTCGGCTCGTGTCTGACTCTGTGACTTTTTTTGACAGGTTGGATTCTGGCAGGTACTACGAAGGTGCCACATCGATATTCTCATTATATGTGGGTTGATTAAAGGACACAATAGTACTCTGGAGGAATAATAATCGAATAGAACAGAAAATGAACTAATACCTTTTGTCCCACATACAGTGCCTCCAAGTTAATATTAATAAAACCGAAACTAACCAAACACCAAGATAATCTCCATGTCCAACACCACAAAAACAAAGAATGTAGATCATCCCATAGTTTGTTCTTTGATTTGATCTGCCCCAAAACCAGGGATGGCAAAAAGAGTGCCTGTGCACTACTGTACCTACAGCTAGGAAGGGTTTACTGCCTCGCCGCTCGCTAGTCTAGCGCAGCGCTAGACTGCTCCTGCATATTGAACACATTGTAGACGGTTTGCCCGAGTGCCCGACTGCCCGGTTTGTGGGGTGTGGCTTGGAGGTGAGACTGGACTGGCCTGGTCTGCCAATAACTAGTGACACTAGCACCAGCCGCCACTTTATGCGTCAAGATTGCATGTACGTGTACGGAGTATAGTATACAGTAGAAGGGGGGGGGCATCAGTGAGTACACAATGCTATTGTTGGATGCTGATTGTACAATACTATTCTTTGTGTCCACTTGTACTACTGTATGTATGCGTTGTACTCGGTCTGCTCGGCCGGCACAACGTGTTGTCTTAATGTAATCCTCATTGATATCATTCTAGAAATGAAAATTCGATATCTTTGCCGATATACTCTGTGTACATGCAACCCCTCCCTTGCCACGCATTTCTTCATATGAACGCATCGCCCCTTACCATGCTATCTGCTAACCTGCATGGTAGTGATGAGCGCGCTGCGAGGCTCTGATTGGTGCATCAGGCAATTCCTCTGATCTCATAATGCAGAATTGTGCAGGTATACTGCATGTTACAACGTATAGGCTACATGTACATGTCTGAGTAGCTGCGTCTGGCGCATGGTGGGTGACGATATTCCTCGGTCCTTCACAGTTTGAACCGACGTCTTTGCAGCATCACATTCCTGCATCTACAGTAGGCAGAAATCTTTGATATGATCTATACGCTTCGATAGCGTAAGAATGATAACATACTACATGTACCAACATCAAGATCAATAGTAAACAATTCCTTGCGCCAGTATCCTCGAGTACCAACCAACACCTACTACCAACTCACGTCCTACGACAATCTCCAAACCCAAGAAGCGCGCCAAAAGCAAGGACGAAGAACCCCCTTACATCCGACGCCCGCTTAACCGCTCAAGCGACGCTGTAAGCCCTCTACCCCATATCCGTCCATGCATGCATTCATGCATATGGATTGAACAAGCTAGCACGATGAAAGAGATGATGTACAGCGCTTAGCGTCCAAAACTTGCAGCCAGTGCGGCAAGCAACACACAGAAAAATCGATACATCAACTTGACCCAGCAGATCTGACAACTAAGTACTAGTAGACCCCCACCCGTTCCCTCGGGATTCGTATACCTCACAAGATCAGCTGGCAATGTACAATGAACTTCTAAACATGCAGCCTATTCCAATAACGGTTCAAGTGCAATAGTAGACTCGCACTGTGATTCGCCCGTTTGTCTGCCGTCGAGATGAGATCAGATCGCTCTTAACGGTGGGCTTATGCATGCCACCTCTTTCTCGCACTCTTGTTCTCTCCACTATTTCGTTTTCGATGTGGCACTGATAGGCTGGGAGAACAGAGTGTATGCACTTCTCTCGATTGGGAGTGTCATCATGATAAAACATGTCATGTCATATACTAATATCCATGTTGGTGTTGACGTAGGCAGTGTGAGATGCGAGGTATGATTGAGCTCATATATGATAGATGTGGCCAGCGTCGCTTCTCTGCATACGGTATACAGATACAGAATGCAAAGATAACAAATGACCATGAAGATAGGCATATGAAATATGCTGATCTATAGAATCCGCCAATAGAAACCTGACATATAAGATACAGACAGCACTGTCAATCCCCGTAACTTATACAGGTACATGTACAGGTACATACAGGCAACGTCCTAAAATCTCATTTCCTATCCTGGCTACCCAAGTATCCCTGTCTATCCCTACAGTAGGAGGGGTAGAGATCGACAGTCACCCCTTGCGTGGATTCCAGTTTCCAGATTGGCGGTATGATCGGGGCTTGGGGGTGGGCTTGACGTGGGCTTGGGTACGTGTACATGGCTGGCATGGCGTTTCGTTGCTTTTCCGTCTCGCATGTCTTGGTTCTGGGGAAGTGAGGCGTTGGAATGTTTTTCTTTATGGTAGGTGGGCTTGCTGGGTTTCTTGGCTTTCGGGAGTTTGGTTTTGTTTTCTTTTTGGTGCATTTTTTTTATCTTTCTAATTTAGTTTAGTGTGTTATGGTTGGTTAGAGAAGGTTCGTTTTGATGATCCTCTGATCTGGATCTCGCGTTTAGGGCTTGTTTTGGGGTTGTTCTATGGGGAGTCGTTGGTTTAGTTGAATTATATTGATGCTTTCTTCGACTAATAGGACACCGAGTATCATGTATAGTATTGAGGCTTGTAGTTTACTTAATGAAATCAAATAAATATTTCCGTCAGAGAAATTGAGTAGTATACAAGTACAAGCATGCCTATTGTACAGTTATATGTAATGCGCCAATCGCTCCCGCTATGCCAGTATGTCATAAATGAATCAATCAAGGAGTCAATCCCAGCAAGTCAAGCTATGGCGACGAGGCAAGCACATCAGCAACAGCAGAGTCTTCGCCATCCATTTCCTTGACAAAACCACGGTTCTTTCTCACATGCATCAGCAACCTCAGCGCACCAACAGGCGTAACGCCCTCAATGCGCTTCGCCATACCAACACTAACAGGACGCACGCGTTCAAGCACCTGTCGCTCCTCATTGCTAATGCCGGTAACCTGACTGTAATCCAGATCAGGGGCCAGAAGTAAGTTCTCATCCTTCTGGAAGCGCATGGCCATCTTCTCCTGGCGCTTCAGGTAAGGCGCATATCGGCCTTCGATGGCGACGCGGGTGCGAATCTCCGGTGCGAATGAGGCGGCAGTGTACGTCGTTCCGGAAGCAGACTCCATGATTGGGATTAGAGAGTCGATGTCAATGTTGTCGAGGACCAGGAGATCAAGTCCTGAGCGGATGGAGGTATCATCCCGGACCTTGAAACCCTTGCGAGACCACGCGGAAGATGAAAGCTTTGTATTAGCGAGGAGGGTTTGTAGTTCCTGGATCTGCGCTTCTGTATCCGAGAAGTGGCTCCAGCGCTTGTCGGAGACGACACCTGCGTCGCGGGCCATGCGCGTCAGGCGCAGGTCTGCGTTGTCGGAGCGTGTTGAGATACGGTATTCACTTCTCGTTGTGAACATCCGGTATGGTTCGGACACGCCCTTTGTGATGAGGTCGTCGATCATGATGCCGATGAAGCCGTCTGATCGGGTGAGGGTTAGGGGGTTTCGGCTTTGTGCTTCCAGGCCAGCGTTCATGCCGGCGATGATGCCTTGTCCGGCTGCTTCTTCGTAGCCGGTTGTGCCGTTAATCTGTCCAGCCAAATAGAGACCACTGATCAGTTTTGTCTCCAGGGTTGGCCGGAGGTTGCGTGGGTCGATGTAGTCGTATTCGACTCCGTAGCCTGGCTGGAGCATGGTTACGTTCTCGAGACCGCGGACGGCGCGAAGCATTGCATATTGTGCATCCGCGGGCACGGTCATTGAGATACCATTCGGGTAAATGACATCGTTGGGTGCGAATCCCTCAGGCTCAAGCCAAATTTGGTGTTGGGTTTTGTCCTTGAATCGAATGATCTTTGATTCCAGCGAAGGGCAGTAGCGAGGTCCGCGAACTGTCTCCCTGATATGAATGGATTTGTCCAGGTTGGCGCGGATGATATCGTGAACCGCCTCGTTTGTATGTGTCATCCAGCAAGTAAGCTGGCCCTCGTCGCCCACGTCGACAGTTTTGTTCAAATATGAGAATGGATGAGGTGGCGAGTCACCCTTTTGCACTTCGAGGCCGCGGTAATCAATTGTCTTACCATCCAGTCGAGGCGGCGTCCCGGTCTTCAAGCGACCCAGTTGGAAGCCAGCGTCGCGGAGAGACTTGCTCAGGCCGTATGTGGGAGCTTCGCCCATGCGCCCGGAGGGGAACACATCCATTCCAATATGAATTTCACCGCCCAAGAATGTGCCCGTTGTGATGACCACACGGCCAGTGGGAATGACCTCTCCAGACTCCAATCGCACACCAACAATCTTGCCCTGAGCACCGGGGGTATTCTCAACTCCTTCGGTTGAAACCACAATATCGGCCACCTTTCCCTCGACAATGTTCAGATTCTTTGTTCCAGCCAACTCCTCCGACATGTACCGCTTGTAGAGATCACGGTCAATCTGCGCACGCGGGCCCCAAACAGCGGGACCCTTAGAGCGGTTCAAGACGCGAAACATGACACCAGCCTTATCGATAATGCGACCAGCGACACCGTCCATCGCATCCACCTCTCGAATCATCGTTCCTTTGCCAATTCCACCGAAACTGGGATTGCACGAGCAGACGCCAATGTTCGAGAGGGAGGGTGTGACCAACGCGGTGCGCGCACCAGACCGAGCAGCAGCAGCGCATGCCTCAGAACCGGCATGGCCACCTCCAATGACAACGACGTCGTACGGTCTGTAAGAAGCTAGTCAGAATCAAGCCCCAATGCAATAACCAGGGGAAAACACGTACTGCGTATTATCTGTAACAGTTGCCAGACCGCGACTCCGACCCCCGAATGAGTGGAAGCGGCCCCGACGCATCAGCGCCGCTGAGCGAGCTCGAAAAGCCATAGCCATGGCGAATTGAAATGATGAGCAAATGGTCAACAAAGACGAACTTTGAGATGATCGATAAGGAAAATTATCGCCAGTCACGTGTCCAGACTTTATGGCCGTTAAGCCCGAAGGCGGTGACATGGATGACATAATCGCTTGCGCCATCGGCCAATTGCGGGGCTGATGATGTTCAGCTCTTGACTTTCTGATTTCTTGTCCCTCGTCTGTACACTTGCAAGTCGACCTCAATCGCAAGACGGCACCATGAAGGCATACTGGTATGACAATGTCCCGGTACGTACGCGCCAACTTAACACTCCGACTTTTCAATCATCCCCACCTGCAGCCCACCCCATCTACCCAAACCAGAAGCTAACCAAGCGACCAACAGGGCGACCAGCGCGAACCCCATGACTCCGGCCGCGCCGTCTCAGAAGAAAAGCTCGCCTCACTAGGCGTGATATACAAGCACTGCCCGACGATCGCAGATGTGGACACGATCGCGCAGGAGCGCGGCTACCGCAACCGCGACCAGGTCTGCGTCTCACCCGAGGCCATGGGTGACGTCTACGAGGACAAAGTGAAGATGTTCTTTGCAGAGCATTTGCACGAGGATGAGGAGATCCGATACATCACTGATGGAGAGGGATACTTTGATGTGCGCGGACAAGATGATGAGTGGATTCGTATCTGTCTCGTCAAGGATGATATGATTATTCTTCCTGCTGGGATTTACCATCGCTTCACAACGAATGAGCAGAATGTAAGTTTGCCGGATCTTGCATTAAGCATAAGGAGTGGAGGGATATATCTGTAGCCTGGGACTGACTCTATATCTAGTATGTCAGGGCTATGCGTCTCTTCCAGGATGAGCCCAAGTGGACGCCGCTCAACCGTGGTGCTGAGGTTGATGGGAACCCTCACCGCAAGACGTATTTGGACACTATTATCGCCCCTGCTACGGCTGTAAACTAGATGGAATACTGAGATTGAGATGCATTATGATTAAATTGGCATTACATATGGAGGCCATTGGTGACTGGTCCAGTTTAAGAGTGGACTTTTGCCGATATCGAATACTGGAATCGGAATCGAACTTGAGATTGTCTTAATATCACCATTTTAGATTGTGCAGTATCCCTATAGCGAATGTAGAGTGAAACGTATATCAATCTGACCCCCTTGACGCGCCGATTGCAGTAAGTCCGATAGGTACATGCGAATTGAAAGGACTAAGTCTTCCAATTCCGCGAATCCTGTACCACGAGTCATGGATAGACTTGTTAAATACCGTTTCACATATCATGGGCCTACATTCCTCGAATGTTACCGTTTGATTGTGTGGTTATACCCCTTGTGCACCACTTCTTTCAATCAAATTGGCCGGGCTTCCTTGACCATTATAAAGGAAGACAACATTAAGAATGTCTCCTAATCCATGTTGGCGCCAGGATGAAGCGATGCGTTATAGCGTAAGTGGTCGACAATCCAATCCACGAAGGGCGGGACATGGTTGAACGGAGAGGGGTTCTCTGCATATAATGGCTGACCTGGATATGAAGATGTTTGGACTAAAAACTAAAGAAGAACTACCTAGGCTCTTTATACCACAGTCTTGAGATTCGTGGAACCCACATGAAGTATTTGCAGTCGGCATGCTAGAGCCGAGCTGTCGTATAAGACACCGAGATACTCCGGTTTCCTCTTTTTCTAGATATGCAGAGCTACTACAATAATGCAGAAAGGACTCACTTAGGAAATGATAGCCTTTCACGCGGTCGTCTATTTTCCTTCATATGCTGACTTGCAGTAGACGGAGATTTGCATGACATGGCATGGCACCAGCCAAAGTAAGACCGTCTCTCGTGTAGCTATCTCTTACATCCATGTGCATTTCTTTACGGAAAAGAAATGCAAGATTCAAGGGGAAATGATTCCAAATGCAGGGATTTATGCAGTAGTTCATGGCTAGGTTAAGACCACTTCTTGTGTAACCACCGTTTCCGCACTCATAATTTCATATATAACACCACCCTCAGGCTTTCAACTGCTATAGCACGTAAGTGGGGGTAGACTAGCTGTGTGTAACTCACTTTATCAGAGCGCTCTAACTCCATTCTCAATCCCCACTACCCAAACTAGTAGTGTGGCGTTATTACGTACTAGCAGCTAACAAGGAAGTGATTGCGGCTAGGCTATGACTCAGGCTAACTATAGAGGATTTAAATGTACACAGTAGATGAAATAGGCATGCGAGACAACTTATCTATCAGGCGATGCGTGACAGCCGTTACAAAAGTTGCCAGCATGATCCTGCACATATATATATCACGACACTAACTTATGATTGCAATGCCGAATAAAAGCTGTCGAATTCCACTGATCTTGATATTATCCTTTTAACACTATGCGGATATGAAATTACAGTATGGATGTTAAACTGTTTGGTCCGGCCAAAGCGTCAAGTTTAGTGCCTGTATTCATTCCTATTGGCTCCTAAATATTTGGAATTGCTCTGACATGCATAGTATCTCACTTTTTTGGAAATTTCGACATAGTAAGGAACTGACGAGCAGAAAAGGCATTTTTAAAAAAGGAAAGAAGAAAACAAAAGACAAAAACATACAACAGTAAGGATTCGCTAGTGGTCACCCACCTAACTACTAACTTACCGGCGTGTGGCTTAAGTACGGCTGAGCGGACGGGAAGCCCTGTTCTCCACACCCTGTGGTCGTATGTACTAGGTTTAGTATTGAAGAGGTTTTCATAGGAACCAGTTCTACGTCTAGGTCATTGTTTATTGCTTATAATTCGCTACAGGACATCATTATAACATACCGGTGTATGGTGTATACGCGGCTAGTAGTGGGTTCGGTGCCACCCTGTGAGTTTAGGGTGAGAGCGGCTTGAGCGTCGTGAAGCCTATAGATGAGTCAAAACTAAGTCCATCTATTAATGAATATATGAAGGTGTTCCAGAATATAAAGTTATCATTGAAGCTTTCTAAGATACCTAAGTAAATGCCAAAAGAGTGGACGATTGTTGTTAAACCAATCAACAAATCAAGGAAAGAATTACAAAAAGCAAACACATAATCCAAAGCTTTGCCAAGTGACTAGACACATCAGGAAGAAATCCCTCTGCCTTGTTTACAGTCATTCTACCACAAACTGGGTGGATATGATCCATAAAAGCTGGCAGTCGAACTTGACAGATGGCCAAGGGCAAGGAAAAGCGAATAATTCCTTCTTTTGATGGTGTTGAAGCCCATGAAAATATTCCTATGGGTCTTCCCCCTAACAACACGGTGTGATGCCCAAGTTACATGCCAAGAGGGCGGTACTAGAATTTGAGTGGTTAGACAGGCGACTGTGATAAAGATTGAAACAAAGTGACTTACGTCGGCGCCAGTGCAGCAAGCAAGAGTGTGCTTGCAGTCAACGTTTCCGTTTTCGTTTTCGTTAGTGCCTTTTTACAGACGTTAGCAGTCATCAATGAATCAGGAGATGCTACTAACCAAGAAGAGCGACTTGGAAGTTTCCGAGCACTGTAACGGGGGCGCACTTGGCATCGAATCCAAGAAGATTGAATCCAGAGAGAAGGGTAAGGAGTCCCTTGTCCTCAAAGTTCTTCTCGGGAGAACAGCAATAAACCTTTCCTTCCTGGCATTGGTCCCCCATTCTTGGCGATTGACGTGGGACCACTCTTCTTGAAGGTTTTCTCTGCTGGCGGCAAGGCCGCAACAGCAACAGCAAGGGAAATGATTGAGATGATGGAGGCCTTCATTTTAAAAGATTTGATGTATTGTACTGATGGAAATATGAATGTTTCTTGTGATTCCTTGAGGGGGAATGAAGCTGTGTGTGATGATTGAGTGAGAGACGTGATTGTCTACCTTTTTGTAACTTTTTTGAACAGGCTCTGCTATTGTTCCAATGCGTAGTCTCATTCGTAGTCTCATTTCAAAGGATCAAATTCAAAAGCTTCAACCCTTCAGCTGTCCTAAGGGGTCGTATCAAAAGTGCTTCTGCATTTCACATTAGTGAATGTACCAAAAAACAGGTATTTCTGAGCACAGGATGTCTTCATCCTACATGCTGCCGTAGGTCCCTTCAAACTATCATCTAATTGAATTAGGTCATACTGTTGGTTGATAAATTCTCGATGTGACCCAATGCTCACGGCCAACTCCCAACTAAGGTCAAGGAGGTCATCACAAGTGCTGAGTTTGATAGCAAGGTACCCGTCGACGATTAGTACTCTTTCTGCCTTTCTGGAGCAAGGAATATTGTCTCAGTGCCATTGAAATGTCCACGTCTCTATTGAGTCGGGAAGTTCCACGCAAGAATAGCTGTGGTAGAACAAACACCGTGAAAGGATGGGGTGCGAATGAGACTACAAACGACATTTATGTAGATCTAAGAATTGTTGAGGTGGCACTATGTTGATTCGCACATATGCTGGGATTTCATTATTAGCTTCGATATGATTTTGACCTCCGCACCCGAGCACCAAGCATTCCAGTCTCGACGATTTCCATGCTGTCAAAATGTTGATTTATGTTAGTTTACGCAGCCAACTGGATTCAGGAAAGGGATCTGGCCGGGATATATTTCGAGAGGTTCTTTTACGGTCGTAAGAGATAACTATGTTGTTGATACAGCAGGTATATCTCCAAGTAAATTGGCTCTGTTTTCCCTGCCTACCCCTAAGGACGGCCATAAATTGCTGATCTCCATTTCATCATGTCTCGCAGTCCACTGCTACATAGCTAATTAAGTTCCCTATATAGCATGATGTAACGGTGCCTTTGCTGAACCCTCGGAGAATCATGAACTACGAGGCTATTCACTATGTTAATGGCACAGCCAAGCCACAAAATCAAAATAATTATAATTTCAGCGCAGATTCCTTAATACCAACTTCTGGCTGGTATCCGAGCACATTCGTACTTTTAATGCCGTAAGGATGCTCGAGACACTTGTTGTATGAGGCAAGCATGGAGACATACAGTTGAAATGATATGTCAGATCAGACCCGGCTAGGGGGCCAGTTATGTGACACCTGACAGCTATAGGCCGCCGTAATTTGACCCGCTTTCTTTCGCAACAAGGACACACTCGTACCTTGAACCTTTTGCCCCAAAGGGAGTCGATGGATGCATTACACTAATAGTTGTTTTGTCAATATAGACTTCCTACCACCCCTTTCCTCCAAAAGTCGACCGAGACATAAGAGTATTATAGCTTATCTATAACCGGTATGTTCCCTTTTGATTAAAAATATCGCCATAGACCACACGGAGCCTCTGTTGCATGGAGGAGAGGACGAAAACATCTGTTCGATGGGGAGTTGTGGATAAACTTTCCACACCCGCTATTCATCGGATGCGGCTTTGTTACCATTTCAATAAACAAAATGGGGGGGGGGTGTGGGGCGCAGGTGGGCAGCCATAAGAAGTAAGCTTGGCAAGCGCCACGAGGTTTTCAGATTGGCCGGATCCAGGCCCAATCAATCAGGTAACGAAGGGATGATTTTTCCACCCCCTTTTATCATCGCATTGAACCTGAGTCATGTCATTAGAGTTTTCATGGCTCGCCTTATGAGGTACTGTGTATGTTGCTCTTGATAAGGAAAGGATCAGCATGAGCACTGTGCGAATTGGTCACTCATTGTCAGAATTGCCAAAGTCCGCGAGGCGCTTTACTGATGCCTAATTGGAATTCTTCTCAGGCATTATCTCGTCTTGAGCTATCCACTGTGATTGTTTATACCCCGTGCTCATCGTCTTGCCAACGGCACAATTGGCGCGAGCTTCTATAGTCAATTATGGATTTACTCTCATCAATCTGTCTTTGTAACTTTTGGTGGCGTGTCGCCCACGACTAGTCATTCTACCGGTCTTAAGTAATATTCAATGTGGCAATTGACTTAAACTAGTTGACATGAATAATTATTTAAATAGACAGATGTATGCATGTGTATTGACCGAGTACCACACTCCTCGCTCATCGAAACCCCCATTATATATGTTCTAGTCGGTATTAGGCGAAGTCACCAAATCTGCACAATGCAGTTCACTATTGCTGCTATTTGTTTCGCCGCACAATAGGACAACAAGACATGACTATTGAGTCATGTAATGTTCAACAGAGCATTGAAACTAACACAGCACCAATAGTGTACCGGATTATGCAGATTTGACTGTCTCCTTAAGAATACCTAGGAAAAGACAAGTGGTATATTTTTCCAAGGACTGTGCGGGATATATCATGGTTTATATACTGGTGCAACACGGACGCGCAATTTTGATGAAATATGTTACCAATTTATGCCATAGCATTGTTACGGCTTGGCCATTTGACACCATAAAAGTAAATTTCCTCGGTATGGTAACTGGTGGACGCAAGACAAAGGATACTACTCTGGCCCAGCTATTGGTGCTTATGCCCATTTGGGCTTACGAGATATCATGGTGTCTACGAATCATTGTCTAAATGTGAAATGAGAAGGGAATATATATTCATGTTCTCTGTGAGTTTAGACGGTGCGAGGAAAACTGATTCTGAGTGCAATAGACTGAAGGAAGATGGACCTCTCTAGAAAATTCCTAACATTTCGTCACAGCCCATAGACAGAGCGTTATTCTTACGCTCAGTTGAAAACGACAGAACCGTTTGGATACCTATTTAGGTAAAAAATATATAGATTCGGCTGAGACTCTCGAGCTGAGTAGGAGAAACTGAAAAAGACATGTAAGGGGCATGTCACATTTCCTATGTAAGAAGAAACCAGAGGGAGGTAGGATCACCTCAAAGAGTCTTGATCCAAGTGTTTTGATTCAGGTTTGGAACTGTCTTACAAGCTTGGAGCTCTCTACTAGTGGCCATGACGTTACGTACGATTGTATGGAAGGCCGTGTGCGTTCCCCAGTAATAAAATAATTTACGTTGATTGTTGTGCCCTCTCCCGATTTTGTGGTCGTTTGAGCATGCGTGGGTGGTTCCTATCTCAAGTTCACTTGCTGACTTGGACCTTGAAATTTGTACGTCCACTCACACCTGTTACTTTGACTGCTTCAACTTTGTGGGCGATGACAAGATTGGCGCATGGTCCCCATTAGAAAGGCTTTCATTTAAAACCATGGGACTCGAAGCACTAATTTCAAGAGCTTTTGAAAATGTAGCATTCATCGTACTTCTGGAATTCTAGTTTGTCGATCCTTGAAGACGAAGCAGAGGCTATGGAAATTCCAGTATGCACAAAGACCTATCTGCTGGACCTGTAGGGAAACTAAGGTATAAATCGATCCTAGTATGTCTGAGCTGCGGTTGTCCCAGTAATGCTTCATTTTGAGCGCACATACGAGAAACCAGCCTGATGAGTCGTCCATTATCATCCCGTCTGGCCATAGCCGCGAAAAAAGTGCTTCGTCGGCGACTACGGAGAAGTCCTCTCATTCGTTTCAAAGTGCGCCACAAACCAGAAGTGCTTGGCGTGATTGACGGCTCACTGACGATTTCCTTTTTAGCAGTCCCGAGTTCGAGAAAGTTGGGTATTCTATCGGCAGAGAGCATCCTCGTCGATTTCAATCGACACTTTCAGCTTGGACACTACAGACCTCGAAGCCTATGCCAGCCAGGGGCAAACAATGCTAAATCCTGCGACAAGCCATCCATTCCATCGAAACAGCGATTGGTCCACAACGTCAAGTTCGGAAGCCCATGTGAGCGTCTCGACGGTGTCTTCGTCTTCGAGCCCGATGTCCTCCCACTCCAATATTCGATTGCCAAGTCCAACTCTTGAAGCCTTGCCACAAGTCCTCAATGGACCGATTGATCTTGATGACCTGGATAGCATTGAGCGGCGTAGTCCAAAACCAGAGCCCAAACGTTTGTCTCAATGGTTCAAAAGAATGCGTCGTTCCATCATCTTTCTATGAGGATTTGGTCCAGTTGGATAGTATACACATTATTGGCGTTACGGAAATGGTCGTACAGATAATTGAGCGTCGATTACAGTTGATTCACAGCCTACGCTTCGGGTGCATCGTCACCACTACTTAGAAACGGATAAATAGAATTGACAATTAATTTTGCTTGACCCTTGGCTGCATCACTGTTTTCACAAAATGAGTGTATGATTTATTATTAAACCTTATCGGGATTCAATGCCCGATCTGGATATAGAAGCTGCTGGGCTAGTTCGGACGATACGCCCTTGATAAAAGTTTGCCCCTTACCGAAAGCTAGGGAGTGTCAGATTTCTCTTCCGCATAATTTTAATCGGGGTTCAGCCTCGTATTGAGCCATTCCCGAATCTCTAATCCGATTCGTCGGGCCAAGAGCCGCCCACCAGGACTCCACGTGGCTGCCGCCATTGTCTTGGAAAGTGGAATGTTGGGGTATCCGAGTGCCTCGGCCATGGGTTGATGTCAGATACCAACCTATCGAATCCTAAATTAGCTTCTGTCACAACGTTGGCATTCAAGTTAGCCCTGAAAAGCTATAGCGACATGTTGGCCACGACCATCGCACCATTGGACATGTCAACCATGTCCATGTGAAAAGATTGAGACTTGGCTAAATACACAGATTATGGCTAGCGGGGAAAGTAGATATACATTGAGGGGAGAACAATAATGGAAGTTGGCTGTGAGATAATAATAATATATAGACCGAGCATTGCCCTGCATAAAAGCTGATATATCGTACTTGGTCGCTTGTTTCTGTACCGAATCTCACATACTCGGCACTAGATGTATATCTCCAATGAATCAGCGCATACGCACAGGATTCCGAAATTGTTGGGTATTGTTGATACTACCATTCCAAACAAAGCTATCATCTAAGCATAGGATCTTCAAGCAGCTCACTGGCATTCTCAAACCCGTAAACAATCAAGTTCCCCCGATGTAACATGAAAAAGAAATGTCACAGCCCTGTAGAAACGGGTTTCTATGTACAGAGACACTGCTTTTGTTTCCATTGTTGTTTTTGTTTTTGTTTTGTTTCCCTTTTCCTATTTTTCTTACTTTTCCTTTTTAATTGCGGGGCAGGGGTATTTGTGTTCGAGTAAATCATTTGTGATCTATTCCCTAAGCCTGCAGCTTTCAATCATTTTATTGCAAACCACCACCACTATGGTTTGGAATGATACTTTGCACAGCACACAACCAGGGTCAGCTTCATCTACAATCCTTAACAATGGCGTTTACCAGCCTTCCACCAAAACCGTACTGCCGGAGGACGGTGTTTACCAGCCTTCCACAAGAACTGCACTGCCGGATGACGGCCTCTATCATCCAATGAGATATGCCGGTGGACAGAATCAACCTATTGTACCGAACACCGTTGCTCTTCAATTGGACACACAAACGAAGGCAGCGACCAAAACACCTTCACTTTTGAAAGGTCTTCCCGAAGTTCCATTGGCACTAGCCACTGCCCAGTCTGCCATCGTCGCTCTGCCTTCCATCCAGGAGACTACATTCAGCAGAGCAAGTCATCCCACTGTCGTTCCGACCGCAAGTGAAGATGCAGGGATGCCAGAAATATCAGCGACTCTTCTACCGATTCCAGTCAACGCAGAAAGATTGGACAAATTAGAAAAATCGGACAAACCAGACAAATCACACATCTATGCTATACTCAGCGTGCTGGCAGTTACTTTTCTGATCGCAGTTTGTGTTCTCATCTGGCTGCGCAAGCAGAAAAAGAAGAGGGAAGCAATTCTTCTAAGGTTTCACAATCAAGACAAACCGTCATTGGATACTTCCAGTCTAAATAGCGGGCAACTCAAGACATTACTGTCGAGGATGAAGAGCAGAGGTGCTGCATCCTTCGAGACAGTCATCAGATCAGCGCGCAAAGAACACAGCGGCGATATTGGAACATGGCCTATGAATTGGTGGACGGAAGAATCCAAGGAAAACCAGAAATCTCGCAATGCGCATCCACATACAAGCTACAGAGGCTTCGATCGCCGGCTTCTGAAAGACTTGATTTTGCAAGCCAAAAGGACCAGTGTGGCCATGTTTTACGCCCTTTCCGGCATACTCAGGCAGCGAGAACCCCCAAAGGCTCATCCGCGACCCCGTGAATCACGGACAAGTGATGTTTGGTCAGCAACTATCAACAGCAGTGCTGAAACGATTTTCTCCGGCCTCCTCCACAGCCCAATCCTCGTCACAGACGGGTCTCACTCCGTTTGCAAATGCATCCAAGAACCTACACCAGCAGTGCTTCCATTGCAACAATGCTTGGAACCTCTCTGTCTGAGTGAAGTCCTCTCCACAACCGATGAAAAGGTGGATCAGTTGAGTGACTTCAATGGAAGTTCTTGCACCGTTAGCAGGGTGTCTACTACATCAACGAGATCGGGGCCTAAGCAGCCGACAAATAACGTGTATCAGGACCTCAGACCCAAGTTGTCCAGCATAAGCCTGTTCCGGAAGGATGTATATCAAGTTCAAATGAACTATGAATCCCGAAACGAGAGCCAATTGAGCCTTTGCGAGGGCCAAAATGTTCTCATCACTCAAATCCTTGATGATGGTTGGGTAAGTCGCCTCCCGTGCAATTATGGACTAAATGATGAGCCTGGACACTAATCCCTGAACAGGCATACTGTCAGATAATCGGAAGCAAGAAAGAGGGACTTGCCCCCGTGCATGCATCTCTGCTTGGCCTGTAAAACGCGTGATTACCCCGCCGGGTCAAGCTGCAAAGCCCAGCTATTCACCACCAAGGACACCTGTATCGCCAGTCTCGTGGGCTCAACCACGCTTTTACGCCTACTGCTAATGTGTATTCAGCATTTGAAATTCTTGTATTTAGCTTTCGCCTCTAGGATGAAATGATCTATCCATAGGCGCAAATATTATGTGTTGTAATAAAGCCCAGCATCTTGGGGCTCTATCTTTTCTTCCACCCTTATGGGTCTCACCTTTCTGTTCGAACGGCTGCTTAGCCGAACTCAGAACCCAGACTAGTTGAAATAAATTTGCCTAGTAAGCCGCCTTGTGTAGATTAAAGTACAGCGAGTCACTACATCAGCGCTCGAAATAATACAAATGTAGCAGGAAATTTCACCATAAGTGAGGGGAAGCCCGCGCAGTGACCGTTCTTCTTTCGTATTAGGGTTGCGCTATGTACTTATGTCTCGCTACGCATCTTGAGTGGTCGGGACTTTCGGCCAAAGCTTTGAATTCAGGGGTGTCTCTCTGTGGCAAATACTTGGTGAGGAGAAAATGGGCGATTCCAGCTTGCAGTGGACGAGATATGATAGTCAAATGATAACCTGTGAGGTTATCATATTTATCTCAAATGTACAAAGCTCAAATGTGATAGACTCTCTCCACGGAAGTCTTACAATGCATGTGGGGGGCCCAGGGAACTGGGTGATCTACATTCCCAGTCTTCCGAAGTTCGAAAACGTTCGGAGGACGCTAAGCGCTGCCTTGCTTCCAGCCCACGACAAATCATTTTGAGAAACTAGTGCATATTACCGCCCCGATTGAGCAGGAGACCATTTCATACGGGTGAGGCTCACACGATATTTCTACTGGTACATTCTATCGCTTCAAGCCAAAAGTCCGAAATTCAAGGCATGTGCCAAGGCAATGGTTCGGCGCATGAACCTCTCAACATGGGTATGTGAGGAGCAATTCTGACAGACGCATACCTCAGGATTGGGGCGCTGGCCGAAGTTAGGGTACCAGTTATAAGTGCCGCTATGCCCTAGACTTCGGCTTTGTTGACTAACTTTGTTCCATGACACCTAGATCTGCAGCAGCAGGGATGCAGGGATCGACTCTATAAATACCTGTATCTGCTTTTCCAACAAAAGCCCCGGCCATTACGGGTCTTCCTCACTTAATCAACCGTCCGAATGTCGCTGGTTACTAATTCTTCAGATGTGACAATCGTTGATTGTAAGCCTCCCTCCTTTTTCGCTTATTTCGACGGCTAGTGAGCCCTCCCCGTCCAGAGTATACGTCGAAGAGGCTAGGGCGGCGATTCATGAGGGGCTGCATAGCGCTATTTGTCTTTCACAGGCCACTATTCCTCAAGAAACCCGGCTAATATAGCCTTCGATAGCATCCCTGTCGATTCACGACCGAGATGAGAGGGGCTTTTCACATTTTGCACTCATTTTTATTGACCAAGCAGGCAACTTGCGCCATGAAGCCTCTCCTTCCATCTCCGACAGTCGCGAGCGCATCCTGTCCCCAAGAGTCACAAATGAGTTTCTGCAAGCGGTCGCGAGATCCGAAGACAATCGCGCCAAGCTTCAATGTTGGTGCCACCTTTTCGTACAATCCATCCGCTGGTCTAACCCGAAGAAACTGACTTAGGCGCACAAGCAACGCCACCTCATGGGCTACCAAGTACCCAACCCTCTTCCCGAACCAGTCAAACCTATACCACCCAATGCACGGGTCTTTCACCGACCCAGGCTCACGTCGACGGACGCATAGCACCAACACCTCATGTACTACCAGTCATGTGGCCAGGAGAGCTAGTCCACCGGTCTATCAGGGAAAGTGAGCTTTTGCAGCACAAAGCTACATTACAGAATGAAGAGGTTGTGTTAACTTCAAAGAATATCATGGTATCGCTTGGCAACGCAAGTCTTCTTCGTCGGTACTACGAAAAGGTTTTCGATAATTTACAGCAGACCAATTGCAGAATCCTTGCAAAGGTGTATGTCAGACTTGTCGAACCGCGCAAACAAGTCAAATATCCTTACAATGGACGAAAGACTGTGTCGGGCATAACAAAGCAGTGGAGTCCCGATGAGACCAAGCCGCCATGGTGGCCGTCAGAGGTGAGGCATCGAGAACCAGATCATCTCCATAAAGTTGGTAAGTACTCTAGCCTCTCTCCATGCTGCGACAAGACTGAAGTATTTCATCAGAGCGAATCGAACTTCTCGTCCATATCCTTTGCGAACTACGCGCTAGCCACGGAATCACAGCGCGGAGACTGAGAGCGGCAGATGAGACTATCCGGCGGCAGATTTCTCCAACCGATCGGGTAAATCTACTGGATGAACTATACTACGTCCGAGAGAAGGAAGAAAAATTACTAGACGGTCTTCTCGGTATGTATGCGCAATCACATGTGGAGCTTAGCCTGATTATTTGCAGACATGAATACAAGGGTTTCGATCTCGCGAGACAATCTGCCCGACGACTTGGAAGTTGCAATTATTCAAAGTCAGATCTGCGTTAGGGGCTCTCCAGCTAGCCAAGAGCCTAGAACACAGCCACCATCCCAGGACTCTCCTCTACTTAGTGGTCCAACCCAAGGAATTGCACATTTTGTGTCTCCGGATCCTGGTGCAACCGATAACGACACAGCACATTATACTCACCAGTGTTCCTTCACTGGCCCTCAGTCTGCTGCCCTTTCAACATCTATATTCCCTTCAGGCCTGGACCAAAGCAATCCCTATGCTCCGACGAACTCTCTTTCCTCCCCAAACTCGGTGCCCATGCAGCATTACTTTCCCAGGCACATCGGCTATCAATCCCTTCTGCCAGACCCTTCCCAGGGAATATCAGCTCACCGGATAGAGGATTTTCAAAGCATAAGCCGGCCTAGGGTAGAAACATTTGGAGAAAGCATGAATGTCCATGGATCCACTCAAGTGCCGGAAGGTTGCGGCTGGTATTGATGTGGAAGAGCCCTTTTGTCCAGTATCAATACTCAAGCACTGTCCAGACAACAGAGCAGACAGGGCATGAATCTATGTCACAGGCGTCCCGGAGAAGTCATTTTTAAAGTCATAACTTCACCAACCCCTGTCAAACTTCCGCAGCTCGTGCGTACATGAATAGATTTCGTTCGTGTAAAACCAGCTATGAAAATTTGTGTGGTATATTTCCCTCTGAATGCTTAAAGTAACAATGGTGAACTGGATTCGAGACCTCCCATGGGTGAGAACGTTAATTGAGAACGTCAATTTACCCCACTGCTTCCATTGAAATTGAATTGCCAACCCATATCTCATGGACAAGAGCTCTACAAACTCTACAACTCTAGAAAACATATTTCTAGTATATTTAGTTCATTTGCTTTATACAGATTTCGCCAATAGAGCATCATTAGAAGAATCCTGTCTAAGCCCACCAATGTCCCCACCTGCAAAACGTTTCTTTGATAGCACGAATGCAACCAGCCGATCTCCAGAAATAAGTTCGGGGAAGTATCTAGTCTATTTACCAAACTTATTCCCTCTGATGTCGCCATAAAGCTGACCGTGAACCCAAATTTGTATGAGGACGAGCAGCCTGAGCTTTCATGATGGTTCCGAGCTTGATTTCAGTATATACCTGATTAGATTTGTCCTCTGCAGAACTTTCTACACCAATCAGATAGGAACCGACTTTTTATCTCGGCTTCTCTGATCTGGTGATGTCAGGGCTTCGACGCGCACTTCGAGCTGGTTACGAATAGCTTTCCCCTAAGCTTGGAATGCAACGGCTCGCTGAAATTACAATAGACCGCGGAGAATTCGCAAGTACCATTGATCAGTTTAGACCGGACGCGGCATTCATTATAGTTGGCATTAGCCTTTCCACGGGTGTTAACCGAACCCCTGGAGACCTAAGGTCTCATAGAAGTGGAGAATCGAGATCTTTAATGCAGTTTTCGCAGGACCTAGCAGACCAACGAGAGTATAAGAAAGTCCTAGCTATAGCGTTAAGAAATTTTTAGAGAACGCGTATTTCTTTCAGAAGTACAGGACGCAATCAGCAAATCAAAAGGTCGCTCTCGCATTTGCGTTGAGGGTGTGGGAAAACCCGGGGGAGAAAACCGCACCCGAAGCGACCGAAGCTTGACTAAATGTAAAGATTTCGTAGGTTTTGTTCCAGTGCTCTTGCAACTTTAATGCCTCTAGCCGGTTGGTTGCATAGACGCCTCAATTCCTTTCATGATCTCCTCTCTTCATGACGAGCTAGGCATATCACCCTTCCCCATAAATCCAGTCAGACCCTTCCTTCTCTTACTATAGTTCATACCGTTCATCGTCGTCAGGGCACTCTATCTCATTGAATCTGACGGAGATGGTCTGCTGCCCGTTCAGACTCAAATAGGGGTACTGGAGGCCGTTGATCTCCAGTCCGTTATAATTATTCTTTTCGTCAACAAGATGCAATCGGACGTAACAATCGCCACCAGGAGCGAAGGGGACATCACAGTCCCTATACGCTTGGAAGCGCAGATAATTTGTCCATCCGCCGAAACTGGGGTACATATAGCCGTATTCATTACCTGCGACCGTATTCTTGCCCTTGGCCCAGGATGAGCCCTGGTAGTCCTGCAGATAGAACTTTCCGCGGTTCTTTACCTGGCCCCCGCCCGAACATTGATCTCGTTCTTGACAGAGACGGAACGGCCGCCGGTAGTTTTTAGACCCGAACTTCAGGTAGCTGTACACGCCACCATCGGAACCCAGGTGCTCGCCCTTCGGGTCGGTGAAATAGTAGCACTGGCCATAGCGGATGTCGGAAGTTGGGTGCGGTCCGTCCTTAGCGAGCTGATTGGCTATTGTGTGGCCTTGGAGGGAGTTATGTTCTGGGGCAGGGATAGGAGGTGGATGGTTTCCAGGGTCAATCATGTTGAATTGAGGCGGTAACATAGGGTTGGCGGCAGCGTAGAGGTTTATAGTGACTGCCGGGAGGGCCAGCCAAGCCTTCAGGATGGAGGTCGAGGAGGGAAGATACATTTTGATTTATTAGATGAGGCAGTAGTTGTCAATTGCGCGGGGTTGTATGGGGGCACAGGTCTGTTATATGGTAGAGTAAGAAGGATTCTGCCGTGATTCAGTGACGTGAAACAATTTTATAGCAAGTATTTAGGATAAGGTTTAGTTTGAGTAACTCCCATCAGTCTCATTAATGACATCAGGGGGTGCAAACGTATAGACCAGAGATCGTGTCTAGATCAGAGACTGTGTCATAGTTACGCAAAAGTAATTGTCGAATATCAGCTGTGGAATCTTAGCGCTATGGTAGCATGGTTCAGCGAATACCTTACCTTACCCACCATACTTTTTTATATGGAAACGCGTCTTCGGAGCACAGGGATCGTCATGTGATTATACGGTGTGGTAGGATAAATCCCACTAGGAGTAGCCTCCTGGCATAATCAACCAACCGTACCGTGCTTCCAGGTGCTTGTTCCCTTGATACTCGCCGATACGCATCGCCATCAGAGTCGACAGTAATCCCTCTATCAAGAATTCGTGTACCAAAATTCTATCTGATAAAGAATCTCTCAGTTAAGCCTATTCAGCCATATGTGTGACTAATTCATCTAAATTCGAGATTGAAGCTTTGAGCTACGGTGAAATGGTATGGGTAAACCAGGGTTCGGGCCGCCTTACCGCAGTGGGCCTTCCGCAGTTCCGGTGAAAATTTTACAAATTACTGTTTGCGTCGAAGGGAGAACAATGGTTCAAAATTTTATCGAACTTACTTCTGTCGTATTTGTCTCTCTGATGACGCTGAGAGATAAGCTAGGCTCGGTCTGGGTCTAAGATACTTATAGTTTCGGGAAAGCCGGTGCTTTTTATTACGTCGGTATTACACACTGTTAAGTCAACTTTTATGTGGGGTTAGTCAATGGGAATATAATCAAGATGATTAATCAATGAGAGGTCTTTAGTACCATACGCGAGACATTTAATGGTGACATAGGCCATTCCGTTCGCAATAACCACATTCAACGACCCGTTTATTGACCAGATGTAATTCACGAAAGCCATAATCAAATACAATGTGAATTTAGGGGGTTCATGATTCAATTCAATCACAGCCAGATTCAGGATTATGTCTACACCTTCCTAATTTTAGTACCTATATGACCAGCTATGACGGAAGTGAAGGGAAAATCTATAAGTTACCTCTACCGAAGCCAATGTGCGTAATGCCCTAATACCACAGTGTCAATACCCTCTGTGGTGCCACCCACACCTGGGGATACAGATAGGAAAACCTGGCTGTCAAGTATGTTCGGCACTGCCAAGGAATTCAACAGTGTTCTCAAATGGCATGTTTGATTTCCCCAACAGCCCATTCATTGATATCGTGTCAGAAGCGACGGGCTGTCCCCAATTTCGCACCGTGCTAAACGAAGAAGCCAGAGTCTGGGTCCTCGAGTATCAGTTTACAGTCTAGGCGACTCTCTAAAATCACGTGGCATATTTCTCAGAAAATCAGCCTTATACGGCTCGTCGGTAGCGCATGATTTCAGCCATATGCAGTATTCCCTCACAGCTGCTTCATTGGGTCCAGGAATTACAAGACGCTCGTCGGATAAAGGCCTGGGCAGAGACGAAAATTCCGTGGAAGCACGCGCCATCTCTGTTGGCAGAACATTGATACTGATTGAGGATACGTTAATCCAGATGTTGAAGTATTAGCCTTTTTGGATCTTCTTCCCGGATAATAAGGCTTCTAGATGTGTTTTATATCATGTTTCAGTATAAAGTGCTTGCCTTCACTCTAACCCGGTGAGATTTAAATTACCCATCCTTTCATGGGTCCTCACCAAGGCCACGGTAACCCCTTAGATTTTCTTGTCAGAGCCGTCCTCGTTGAGAAGATCCCCAACCTGTGTAGGCCACTCTCAATATGCGCTCGATATCAGGTACCAAGTCCAAAAGTAGATTTTTCTTGTCTGTGTCTTGCTGTTCCTTTAGTAGCCGAGATGTGGAGAAACGTAACCCGCAATTCGGAATTCAGATATTGCCAAACCCGATACAAATCGACAGACCACTGAGCGGGCAGTGATATTTACTAATAAAGTTTCTAGTTCATCCTGCATACCTTTGGGTTCTGTTATTCCTCCTGGGCTATGCTAGGATCTATTTGCACTGTTGGGCAAACATTTCTCCCGGCCAAAAGCCCAGTCAATCTGCACAGCTTTGTCAAACGGAGCCGGAGCCTGCAGTCCTCTCTCCTCTTCCAATTCCATTTCAAAACATAACCTCAAACTAAAATTTTGTACAAGTTTCGCTATAGCTTCTCTGCTGAATAAAACAAGCCTCTGCCCACTATATGTTCTGTCACGCTGATACGCACTTCTCATAAATTACCGCAGCCTTATTTTAAACGCGTATTTACACGTATCTCTAGACGACCCACAGACTCCGCACAACACAAGATCGTATTATAGATCTCAGGGGTGTCAGCCCTGACGTGGAGACATGCCCACAATTATTGCTAGTTCAGGGCTGAACCGGGTCGCCATTGGTAAGGGAAATTCGCAATAGAGACAAGCATTAAACTGTATGGCTAGCGGGTTTCAGATTGGAGAAATGAAGAAACATAGAACGGCACGGTGACTTTCACATGCATGTTAGTCTAGGTCCGGCAACACCTCTACGGAACATGAAGTATTTACTTGCTCAGGAACTGCATTATGTTCTCATTCTGTGATTCTCGAGGACGGAAGGCAACCAAGCGCATAGAACACAATACAACCCGTGCCATTGTGCCGAGGTTACATGTACAATATGTCGATCTGTGGCTTAAGGAGGTTAAAGTGAGGTCTGACCCATTGTGTTTTGTTCCAGAAGATTGACCCGCTCGGGTTGGACTTACCCGGTGGTAATCCTTTTGGGCTCTTTCCGGCCTATCCGCTACGCAAGAAAATACGGGTTCACAGGAACGATACACGGGTACGTGGGATGGTTTTGTGTGGATACTGCAGTTCACAAGAGCGGATCTCATCTAATTCTGATGGAGAGATCAGCAAATCTCAAGCCGCGGAAGATATTTTGTAAGATAAAATTTCCACACCAAAAGCCCCGTATGGTGGAACACATCCACTCCTCAGTTTGCAAATTTGCGCAATTTGCTACCTCGCTCTCACAACACCGTTCCATTACGGGAGTGTTGGGGGAAATTGTATAGACTCTCGATGACTGGTAACTCCTGAAGGGGAGGGATGTAATATAATAGTGTCAAGTGGAAATGATGTCCACCGAGCCTCCAGTCGAAAAGCCTCGGCATGATCTTGATCTAGCAACTTCGGCGATCCCTTCTCATAAAGAACTTATTGGCGCTAGTATCCCTTGTCCACCTCGTCACGGCACCATACCAGAATAGTACAAAGTAATCCGGCGGAGCTTGGATTGGTGTACTGCCTTACGAGGCCTTTGGTGTTGCCAATCCACTGGTACCGAAGCAAGGGCTTGGTTGCGTACCCCGGGTGTGAGAATGGTGGCGCTGCTGAGGCTTGAAGTTGATATGCAAGTGCTGCCACATCATCTTGACCTCCATCCCCGTACTTTAGTAAAAAATCATTGAATTGTACATTTGATCTGGCTCACTAATGCTGTACTTTTAAGTAAGCCATTAGGATATCAGAACACCATAAACATGCAGTTCTCACTATATGGATGAAATTGTGCATGCTCACAGCACCCAGATACATTACGCCAAGAGGCTCTGTGTCCGTCATTATCTGGATTCCATGATGTTGCCTACAATATGACCCATCTGCCCGGTAGCCGTAGAAATCCGGCATGGCTGAACAGGATGGCTAGATGCCCCACGTCAAAAGCCCTTTGCTCGCTATACAATGAAGTGGCATCATGCAGAACATTGCGGCTAACAAATCCTGAACAAGTAACCTAAGTGCGTAAATGCAGAGATCAAGTCCCCGTGACATGATTAAGATATTGGAGCCCAAAATACGAATATAGTCCCACTGTTAGTTGTTTTCGGTGATTCCAAAATAACAATATAACCCACATCCAGAGAACCGAGTGGATTGGGATGGCCTTTTGCGGTAAGTGTCAGTTGCTACTGGTTGCTGCTAAACTTCTCGCAGTAGAATTTGAACGATCGTCCAGATCAGGGTGTCTTGATAGGCATTCTCCTATGATCCATAGTGTAATACATAGGTCCAATAGGTCTAGTGTCGCCGGCGTTCTTCGGGAACCGATGCCCTTGCTCTCATCTCAGATATCTCCACTATACTCCGTACACTTAGGCTTGTTAAGGGGGAACGGGTCATTTGAATTTCCAAAGGACTTATCCACGCAGCGATATAAAAGGGGTTCCCCCGGCGGAGGACTGAATGACAACTCGAAGTTTTCAGTTCGTTGATAACCAAATATCAATCACACACACACACACACACACACACACACTCAAAATGAAGTTTGCCGCTGCTGTTCTTCCTCTTGTTGCGGCCGTGTCTGCTTCTTGTCTTCACGGAACCTCTCTTTTGCCCCGTGCAGCTGATGGCACTGTCGACGTCAACTCTTACAACTATACCAACGCCGGTGGACCTCTCAACTGGTATGGCTTGGACAAGGAAAGGAACTCTGCTTGCTCCCACGGCAAGCGCCAGTCCCCCATTGACATTGTCACCGAGGACATCGACTATGCCACTGCCAACTCTCTTCGTTTCAACGTTCCCAACGCTGATCAGGCCAAGTTCGAGAACTTGGGCTCTGGCCTAGAGGTCGTTCTGACCAACGGCACCCTGGTCACTAGCAAGGGATCCTACCAGCTTGCTCAGTTCCACTTCCACACTCCTAGCGAGCACCGTGTGAACGAGGAGTACTTCCCCATGGAAGTCCACTTTGTTTTCGAGAACTCCGGTACATATAAAGCTTCATCCCCGAGAATCATATAAGAAACTAACTATCATACCAGCTGGCTCCATTGCTGTGGTCGGTTTTGTTTTCCAGCTCTCCCAGTTCGGCTACTCCACTCCCCTGTTCGACTCCGTGTTCGCCCACATTGAGGACATCGCCACTCCCGGTACCTACACCAAGACCGGAGCTCTGAACTTTGCCGCTCTCACCAGCCACCTGAAGACCCACGGAATTTACGAGTACTCCGGATCTCTCACCACCCCTCCTTGCTCTGAGGATGTTGCCTGGTTCATCAGCACCGAGCCTCTCCCTCTCAACGTTCAGAGTTACAACGCTGTGAAGAAGGTGCTCAAGTTCAACGCTCGCTACACCCAAAACGCCCTTGGTCAGGACAACCTTCTTGAGGTTGCTGCCAACAACTAGAGCTAAGATGGCTGTTTCTTGGGATTCATCATATCTAGTTCCTTAAAGCCAAAGTATCTCGGCCTGATATATCTGGCATATATAATTATAATTGCATGTATTTTATTGAACACAGTATGCACCCTTCCGCAGTAAAACAGTGCTGGTGGCTTTGAAGTATAAATGTGCCTAAAGCCAAACTCAGGGGAAGCTTCATCAAGTCTAATGTTGAATGAATCTTGCAAAGGTCTCCGTGCAAATATTAATTGTGCCAAGCTCGGCAATTCAGCTAAGTTTGCTTGGGAAAGTGGGGCTTAAAGAGAATGGCTTGACAGAAACAAGCGTTACCAAGACGCCACTAGTCCCGATACGTTACATAGACTGTGGTATCTTGTAAGTTATCCTGGTTTACTCTTTTACCCCCAGAGATTCTGGCGTTTGGTCCTCCTCCCTGAATCAAATTTCTAGTTGCCCTTTAGAAATTGACGGGCCTATGTATCTGTCAATTTTACTTCGCTCTATCAAGCGAAGATACTCTTCCCTGAACGATCGAGGCTCAGGATAAAAATAGATATCGTAATACAGTACATAATTACATTCGTGGACGCGCTCAGCCGAATCTTCAAGGAAACACAGTAAATCTTTAGCTACTCCGCGCTAGCCTTGATCTTGGTCTTTCCAGATTTTTCTATCCATAAATACAGCGTCGTACATACCGGATTTCGACTAGATCACTTTATGTGGTGAAGCCAGTAAGTACCTAGAGTAACACTTGACACGGTAGCTTAATCCTTGATCTAGTGAAGCTCGATGCTGTAGGCCTCAAATGGTCAGACTCTTGAGCACGATACCACTTGATATATACCGTGTTCTCAACAATTTCTGCTGGGAGAGATTGGGACTCGTTTTCAGGTTCTATGGTAATAAACCGATGGTCATAATACTCCTTTGGTTCCAATGCGCAATGTTCCCATAATACCCAGGTAATACCTATACCTGTTTTCAAGATACCAGCGCGTATTGTTGCTGCGACAACAATATGAACATTTGTAGAAAATACGAAATAGAAACAAATAGGTGGTGAATGATCGAGTGAATGTCTTACTGACGCATCCTAGGTATTTGGTAAACAAGTCGGCCATGAAGACGACGTGGAGCCCCAACACGAACCCCTTGGGGTATACTGTATATATTGAGAAGGAAGGGAATAAAGAACCAGCGCAATGTATTGAATGAGAATTTATGTTGTCAAAGCTTTAGCCAAAATCTGTTCTAAAGAGCTGCCGAGCTATAAGATTGTAATTTATCCCATTCAAAATTGAGCAAATGCGTTTGCGTATGTGCCGGTTAACCGCGAAAGACGGACGGGCCTTTTTATCCTCACCTTAGACTACCCTTCTCCATGCTGATCTCCTTGCAACATTACTCTTACGAGGCCATTTCAGAGATGGACTCTTTTAGTCTAGAGATCTTGGATTTAATCCTTCTCTACCTCTTCGAGCCCAAAGAACCCACGTGCTTGGACCCCACCCGAGCTCAGAACGCCGTCCAGTACTGCCTGCCGTCTATCGCCATCAGCTCAAAACTAATTCTGCCGGTAGCAAGATGGTAAAATTACAACTCCCCTTACATCTCTAATACAACACTACGGCTTTCTTACAGTTATAGGTCGTAAGTCCTTTCACTCCCCTATCTTTACGTAATCTATATGATTAACTAGAGGCACTCAAAAATAGGCAAAAAAGAGGTGAGAAAAGAGAGGCCGAAGTGGAGCGAAAACGTTGTATAAAAAAGTATACTCACATCGGGCCCGTGTAGAAACTGCCTAAGACTTTAGGGAACGGTATACAAATTTATGACTCATGTTGTACGGCCGCACCAAGACGTTTTCCAATGGTGCAGTTGTTGGTTTGATCTATTGGTGGTCATTTATTCTTAGGGTTCCCAGCCATTCCCCTTAATGTGTGGCTAGCCTAGGAAAGTGACCGACTAATCTGCCGAGAACTGACCACGCTGAATCTCTTGCTTGTTAAGAGTGGTCCACTGCGTCAACAACTCTTCGACATTGCCTGGCAGCAAGAAGTCTTCAAAAAAGTTCTGTTTGTAGTCATCATCATCGCGTCGCCCAGACATCGCGCTCTCCTGTGGAGCAATGTCGAAGATGGGTAGTCTCTCTGGCGATTCATTCCCAGGCGCACGTTCATTGTCACTACTATTGGAAGTGGTGTAAGCAGAGGAACAGCCACTGAGCTCTAATGTCTTGGCAGCATATGCCTGAATCTCTTCTTTGCTTAAGACCCTTAGCACAACGATGGCATCCGTCCGCTCTTCGAATAGCTCATGACCAGCCCTCAATGCCGCAGGACTGACTAATCGCCGGTCAATTTTGGTCCACCATTGGTCAGGCAAAAGGTCCTTCTTGTGGGCCTGTTCGAACGGAGGGTCACCCTCACTTAGCGGATTTGGTCCTTCAGGAAAGCTTTCACGCTGAGGCTGCAAGATACCCTTGGGGGGTATTGTAGCATTAGCATCTTCCTGTGCAGGTGGACCAATGGTGACAGTCTGCCGCGCATTATCTTTGCTGTCAATGGATGATATGTTTTGGTCTTCCAGCAGCCGTTGAGAGCCAGGTGGCCTGTATGGACGGGAGCTATCCCGGGAGTGGTGCCTGGGCGAGTGGTTCTGGTCACTTATGCAGGGTCCCGTGCTGCTGTTTTGGTAGCGTTCCTTTTCCTTCTGCGAGATACGCTCCTGTTCCAGCTTACGCTCCAGACGCTCGATTTCCTGCTGCTGCTTCCAGATCTCTATGTCATGGCGGGAGTCGTTCCTCTCGAGAATGTGCTGGTCCATGACAAGCTCGTGATCGCGCTGGAAGGGAGAGGATTCGCGAGAGACCCCGCTGGCAACATACCATGACGACGACCGCACGCCTTCTTCTCCATCCGAATCATCGTACGCTGACCGCCGTATCGGTCGTGGCTTGTTGCCTTGCACCTGCTCGTCGAATATGGTCATCTCTGGCCTAATTCGCTCGAAAGAACGCCGTTTGCCCAGCTTGAGTGAGTGGTACTTGCTTAAGGATTGTTGCACCGACATCGGGGAGGTTCCTTTGGCTTCTTGGGGATGATTGAATGAGGTGCGGCCTTTCCGGCCACGAATGGCCAGGTAGGTTTCGGATAAATCCGATTCGTCTGAGTTGAAGTCTTCCATGAACCTTTTCGTCGATTGTGATGAATGGTATGAGCTTGCCGGGGCAGGAGAAGGACTAGTGAATTTTGGCTTGAGGCTGTTGTTAGATTTTTGGACGCTATTAATGTCAGCGAGGTTTACATTAAGGGGGAAGGAATGACGCGCACGTACGCAAAAAGCGAGTGATCAATGTAAATCGAGGGTCCATGTTCGATTTGGAATCGCGTGATCTCTCCGGAGTGGATATTTAGGACACCATCCCTGATTCGTGAGTGCCTATCTTTCTCAAGCTTGCTTTTGCATGATTCAACCTCATCAAGCATGCTTTGTATAAGGATATTGTATTCCCTGAGCTCAGTGGAGGTATTGCCTTCCGTAGCTATGTGGGCTCCAATCTGACCTTCACTATTGTCCGTGGATCCCACTGAATCCCGTGAAGATTGATTCCTTAAGATCGATCGGTGGGTTCTTGGATCGTGCTTATGATTATACGTTTTGTCGGCACTACCGTGGGCTGGCCTGCTGTGTGTCGTCTCTGTCGAGAGACCTTGAGAAGATTCCATGGCTGTATGACCCTGCCGTGATTTTTGGTTTCGAGCTTGTCTTTCTTCTAACAAATTTTCCAGCAAGTCACGCTGTTCTTGGACTATGGTTGGAATATTGTTGCTGATGAAACATGAATAAGGATTCATAGAGGCGAGCAGCAAACATACCTTCGGATCTGACCCGCGTACATGATCACATTAAGCAGAAGTAGCATCGTCGACTTCAGCCTTTCTAAGGTACTTTTTAATTGATCCAAGTTCGGCTCAAGTAGTACTATCCGGAACTTTCCAGTGACTTGCTGAAAGCGACCCTTTCCAGCCTGCTCATTATTATCAACCACTCTCTGGATCTGTCCAAGTACGTCCTGGCACTGAGTCAGAACAAGGGCTAGAGTGCGAAATGCCTCATCTGAACAGAGTTTAGATGACTCCTTCTCCTTCAAATTGTCGCCTAGCTCACGCAAAATGGCACTAACGAGTGCGATCTCGTTTGATAAGAGCTGGACAGTGTCGTTGGCGTTCTTAACCCGCCGGTAGAGGGAGAAGAGTTTGACAGATAATTTAGTGCCCAAATCAGCGACCTGTATGATACTGGCGGCGATGCCGAGGGCCTCAAGGCCAGACATTACGGCAATACGCTAGCAGGGCGACAATAATGTGGACTCGAAATGGGCAGATTCTAAAGAGACTGAGGAGTTGAGGCTTTTACCAGACTGGGCGGGGTTGACGCTTTGACATGTAGACCCCACTAAGCCTCCTGGCTCTGCAGCGTCTCATCTAAGGACAGAAACATCCGTCAACGGGCCATTTTGAAGCCGTTTGGTGACATATCCGCGGGTAGTATCGAAAAAAAAAAAAAAAAAAGCCGAACCAACTACGGCTCCTATTCCATTCATATTCAAAGTTCAATATATACTGACTAACGCTGGGTATCCCAAATCAAAAGCAACCAAGTAATTTATCAACACCAACACCAACAAGAAAGGAGCAGAAATAAGTATACCGTAAAAGAAGTAAGTAACAAAAGCCTCCCGAAAAATACAGATACAATCTCCACGCACATACGCGAGGACAACGCTGCGTCGCTAATGACAAATATGCTCCGTGACAAAAGAATAAAATCGGAAAGAAGATCAACATCTATACTCACTTCTCGGCCAAAGCCGCAAGCAAAGAAGTTGACAACGGCGAGTTAGCCATTCTCATAATCCGCCGATCACTATATCCGACACTGTTACCGGAACGGCTTCCACCACAAGCATTCCCAGACCCAAAAGCAGCATTCGCCCTTGAATTCCTCCGACAAGGCTGCAGTCTCTGTTCAGGAGTCGGACAGGCACCCTGATTCAAAGCCTGAGAATGACTCTGCCTCCTTGCTCGAGTCTGCAATTGCAGTTGCAATGAAGAGTCCGCATACTGTTCCCTTTCTTCCTCATCCTTTATTCCGTCACGAATCTCCTGAAGTGTGATCCCCGACCTTGGTCTTTGAGAACGGAGACTCTCTCTTTGTCGTTGTGGCGAGGGAGATGACAAATGACCAAAGTCATCCTCGTTTTCCAGCCCAGAGTTTGCTTCTTCGCCCAGGAAGACGTCGTCGTTATCTGTTGACAGGCCTTTTGTTCTGAGATTTGGATGAGGGGCGTTTCTCAATTGAGACTGGGGCTGTGGCTGGGACTGCTTTGAGCTTTCCTCTCGCCGCGCAAGCGGTGATGCACGAGGACTGCGTGTATTTTCGTACATGTTCATCTTGTGGTTGAGATTCGGGAGATGTGATAACATCGGGTTATCTAGTAGTAGTCTGATATTGAGGGTATTTGTTGCTGCCTCTGCTGTTGGGAGACCTGTCATATTGGGTGCTGTAGCTATGATAGTTGGAGTAGAGGCTCGGGGTGGAGGTTGATAATGGGGTTGTGTTTGGTTTTGGCCTTGGCCCTGGCCCTGGTATTGACTTTGGGTGTTGTTCCATAGCTGTTGAAGGGTTGTTTGCAGGAGGTTATTTTGTAGGGATAGGCCATTGTTCTGGAGGGAGAGATTGTTTGTTTGGTTTTGGAGTTGTTGCTGATATGGGTTAATGGAACCATATTGACCGGGATAAGGTTGCTGTGGTCTGTTTTCTGGGAACCCTGGGTCTACTGGGATTTGCATCTTCGTAAGGAGGAAAGATAACATTAGCCTTTCTTCCTCATTGGATACGTGGAATCTGCTGGTCAGCTCATGAAGTTAAACATACCTGACGGCTGAACTTCCTTCCAGGCATAGCAATGTAGTCATCAAACTGACTCTCAAGAGTAGCAAAATTGAATCCCCGGACTGGATCCACAGGTTCAAACCGCTGACCAACCTCCTGTTGAAAGTCGACACCCCGTCGAGGCGCAGGCTTATACGCAGACATATTGAGCATCCAACTCGGGTAACTCCCAAACCAAACATCGATAACAGGCTCGACCTCAATTGACAAAGCGAGCTGGCTATCAACCGTAGGCTTTTGAACCAACATGACGAAGGTGAACTCACGCGGTAGACCGGATTTCTGCAGGTTGTTCTCCTCCATGGACCAAAAAATCTCCCCAGCCTCGACGTCGAAACTGGCTCCATGTTGACTCTTCAGCGTACGCGCTGACCCTTGAATGCGCATCATCTCGTACCGTCTGTATCGGCTGTTGACACTTCCTGAGGGAATCACACTCGCGCTCACTGGCATTTCCGATATACCCAATGACCCTGCCAGACTGAAGGTCCATTCCATCGTCTCTGGAGACACAGTGCCGTAGATCAAACGCGGCGCATGCATGAGGAACCTCGGATTACCAGGCGGGTATCCATTTGGATAAAGAGGCGACCGAGACATCTCCCTCGACCCATGAACGGAGACCTTGATCGAGGCAGATTTAAAGCGATGAGAGAGAGTATGCGGCGAATGGAAAACGAACCCAATAGCGAGGAAATCAACATGATCAGCATCCTTGTCAGAAACGGAACTGCTCGAATAAAACCCGTGTTGCAGACGCTCCACGTGCGCGGTAATATATGCATCGCCCGGCAGATGGCGCTCGTAAATACAAGCACGGTTGATGAGGAGGCGTGGATTTGCCATGTTGGGATCGGGTGGCTTTTTTCCTTGGGAGGGGCGTCTTCGATGGAGGTTAGGGAGGGTGAATCTGACAGGCGCCCGTTTTGGGTGGTGTTGGTGTATACGCCATGTTGGGATGGCATCCGCAGTGCAACAAAACCGCTGGTCCCCGCTGAACGTTGTTGTTCGCTGTCCATCGGCTCTTCAAATGCACCGTTTTGTATAGTGTATACAAGTTGAAACTTACTGTACGGGCATATATATGATTTTACTAGACTACAGACAAGACCAGTTTGCTTTTTTTGTCATCTCTTGGCGATGATGTTTTCCCATCACCTGGAGTGTCAGGTGTGGGATAGGTGTCAGGTGAGCACTAGTCATATTGCTCACTGTGACGCGGCTCTAGGCCGTCACTTGTGAAATGATATTGTCATCTTCAAACAGTTTCAAGTTAAAAATTAGACACATCTGGTATGTAGTTTCACGTTTGTAGTTGAGTTGATGTCGATCCTTGGCGGGGACTGGGGAACAACATATCAGAACGGCCGGATTAACTATTCCGCCGGGCAGAACTCGACGCCTCGCGGTCTCCAAAGTTCATCAACGACAGGCAATGATTTAGAGCTCTCTGGTTCTGGTTCATTTTGCGTCTCGTGAAGGATCTCCTCTGCTGTTTTATTACCCTTGTATGTGTGCCTGATCGGGGTGCGCGACCCAAATTCCGACCTCGCCTGCTAACAACCGCCAGATTGTTCCCTGTACTATAGCATATACTGGTGTTTTTTGCGGCTCCTGTGCGATCAGCTTGTTTGATTTGTCTTATTTCTTTCCTTGAATCTGCACCCTGGATCATCGGGAACCCTCTTTAAACAGATCTTGTTTGTGCCTCACACTGCATTATCACCCGAATCCTGAAGTGGCATTGCATAGTCCAAAACCAACTGTGCATGTGCAAAGCTTTGATCAGAAGCGATTGTGATACTTGAGATTACCGGCTTCATTCTCTACCCGGCGTGTCGACACTTCATCCGTCCATCCAAATTTGTTTTCATCTGTGTCACCATGATCGCCTCATGTGCAGCCCAGCTGCCCCTTCGGGCAAGTCGGCAGGCATCTCAAATTTTGCTACGGGATACACGGATTCCCATCAGATCTAATGTGTTCCGGGCGGAGGCTCTTCAGAGAAGTGGACTCCACTGCATGGCCACAACCCGGCCTTCCACATTGAGCCAGTTGCCAACTGGGTACGACACGCCCTCTCATCTTCAACTGTACAATTTTAACCATTTCCCAGCGGCCTGAAGAGCCAGGTTTGTCTCCGGACCACCACCCTCATTCCACCATCATTCTTCGCCCAGCAAAGATGGTCCGGGTCAAAATCTCCAGAAGAAAACAAAGCCCCTGAAACGTAGGTGCCCAGCCTACTTCATGTCGCAGCACCCAACAGTTTCAACTGGAAAATTCATGGACCCCAACTAATTCGAGTCAGATCTGAGCCTCCTAAGAAAAAACCCATTCTGGCGCGAATCCCCCTCGCCAGCTCACACGAGAATATCTACACTGTCCCGAACATTCTCACTTTTTCCCGGCTACTAGCGGCCCCCTTGGTTGGGTATCTCCTGGTACACAACTACCACACTGCCGCGCTATCCCTGTTCGCATACGCAGGCATCACCGATCTCGTCGATGGCTATATCGCCCGGCGTTATAACCTCCAGACGGTGGTTGGAACCATCATCGATCCTATGGCTGATAAGCTGCTGATGACAATTGGAGTCGCGTGTCTGGCTGTTAACGGGTCTCTCCCTGGTAAGTCTCGTATTCGTGGTCGATATGGACATGCGCGGTTCTTATGTTGACCTTTACATAGTTTGGTTGGCCGTGATCATCCTCGGTCGGGATGTTGGTCTTGCGATGTCCGCCATCTACTACCGCTGGATCTCTCTCCCTGAACCTAAGACCATGGCCCGGTATTGGGATTTCTCGCTCCCCTCGGCTGAGGTCAAGCCTACTGAGATCTCAAAGATCAATACTGCTCTGCAGCTGGTGCTGGTTGGTAGCGCGATCGCACTGCCTGTAGTTCCCGAGGCGTTTGTTAGTGCTTGGCATTTGAGCGAGGCCATGACTGGATTCCAGTAAGTTTCTCTTTCGCTTCATTCTATTCCCTTTCCTTTTGTGTTGGAAAACCAGTCTCCCCTGGGCCAACTTAAGCAACATCAAGGCGTTCTTAAGTACATGCGACCACAGGGTGTGGAGAACAGGGCTTCCCGTCCGCTCAGCCGTACTTAAGCCACACGCCGGTGAGTTAGTAGTTAGGTGGGTGACCACTAGCGAATCCTCACTGTTGCATGTTCTTATTTTTTTTCGGGTCGCTCAAAAATGGCCTTATGTCGCGTTGCATCTTTCAGCATTTTATCATTTTCGTACTAACCAAAAATCAGGTACCTGGTCGCGGGCACCACCCTCTGGTCAGGTCTCAGCTACGTCTTTTCCAACAACGCGGTGAAGATCCTTTCCAAAGAAGAGATCCAGAAGCGCATCGCCCAAGCCGCGGCCAAGCGCAAGCCTTAATTTGGATATAGCATTTAACCTGAAAGAGTTAGAAGTGTATAGTACTAAATCCTGTAACAGGGATATCGCATATGAAACATCAGAATAAGCCCAACACCACCCTCGGTTAAAAATTTGTTCTGTATGAGTAGCAACCCAAGTGATATGCCCGATGTGTCTCACCGTTCATCGTACGTACATATATATAACTTACATGTCGGATGTAACACGAACATGTGAGATATCTAAAACGTGGCATGCAAACCAGATACAGTCAGCACAAGCCATTAGAGTGGAGACCTGCAGCGCTATGTTCCAGACCGATTCGGCATTTAATGAAAAATGGGAACACAAGAACCCGACAAACTAAGAAGAAGGCGGCCTAATGGCCATGGTTCAGGGCTAATGAATACTTAAGCCGTATAAGCGCACCATAAGTGATTTCCGACATCTAGTGCCGGCGGAACTGCCCGTCCACTAGCCAATTTCTCGGGTGAGCAAGTCATGTCGGTTGTCGGTATGGGCCGCAATACATATGTAGTAGATGCGATTACCAATTATGTGGGATGCCACCGGTCTCGGTTTGGCCGATGTGGATCGGTCAGATCTTAAAAGTCGCCGAACTGCAGGTTTATGAACGGGTGGAAGTATAACTTGAGTCAGGTTTGTGCGGTGGCGAACCGCCTTGGTGGGTGGACTTAGTCAGGTGCACGGACTTATATTACTCACAATGAATCACCATTGTGCATGATGGTCCCGTACAGTACTCCTAGGTCCATATATCAATGCTAAATCGTATGAAATGCCAAGAAATAGCTAATATTAGCTCGATTTCCAATCAAAAATTACCAATCAAGGGACTTACAAGGTAATTAGATGTTAGCGGAATATAAAAGCCGATGTTTGCATCTCTTGGCGGTCAGCACGATAAGATAGGAATGGATATTCCGTCGAGATGACAGATTAACAGCCAATGAAAAGTCAGTATGCACGCAGAAATGGCCCACTTTCATTTGATCGGGTAAAGTCCGGGAATTAGTCTAACTCCGGCGAAAATTCTTCGATGACGCCCAATGATTAACCCTGACTCATGCACTCCACTATAGCTCTGTGAATGTAACGAACGTATATCTTCTCCCTGATTCGACGGTTTCACCGTTCTAGAGCCCACATGTCTGTCTTCTTCGTCCTGTTTTGGTGTCTTACAAATCGATCTCGGAGTTAATGGCGATTGGAAAAAAGCGGCCACTTCTTATATAACCATGCGGAACGTCCATGGACTGTGTCTGAATTGCTTGTTAATCACTCTCCACTCCTTTTTCTTTATTTCATTTCTTGTTCCCGCTGTATATACCCTAATCAGCATCTCTAATATCATTAATCTGTCATTGATTGCCTGAGAGTAGAGACCAAGGCGACATGGACGCCGATTTCCGTGCAATGGACTCTCACCAGGAGCACTCGGTGTCCGAGTCCAGGACTTATACTTCCTCTGCCCAACACTCTAGTTCGAATGGACAGAACTATCACAACGAGTCCTCCGCCCAAAACTTTGGTTCCAATGGACAAAACCACCATACCGAAAACTCCGAGGAGCCCTCCGAACAGTCCGCCTCTATCGAACAGGTCAACAACCAGACCGCAGAACCCATCAAATTGACCTCCACCTCCTCATCCCTGAGCTCATCTCTTGCAAGCGAAGATGGCCGCTGGGGTGAGCAGGAGAAGGGCGAGCCTGTCTCCCGCCGCGGCGCAATGGAAGACCTGGAGGAAATGCGCCGCGAACTGACCCGTCTCAGTCTGCACCGCACCCGGTCGACCACTAAGAGTGCCCGACGCCTGAAGTCACGCACCAGCCGCCGCGACGAGGAGAAGGGCAAGGAGGAGGAAAGCGAAGTCGAGACTGAGGACTTCGATCTGGGTGAGTTCCTCATCGGTGGTCATCTGGAGCGCCGGACCACCGCCGGCGAACCCGCCAAGAAGGTCGGTGTGGTCTTCAAGAACCTCACCGTCAAGGGTGTCGAGACTGGCGCATCGTTTGTGCGTACTCTCCCCCACGCCGTGGTGGGAACATTCGGTCCGGATCTGTATAACCTCGTCTGCCGGTTCGTGCCGCAGTTGCGGTTCGGCAAGAAGCCCCCGTTCGTGATTTGATTCATGATTTCAGCGGTGCGGTGCGTGAGGGTGAGATGATGCTCGTGCTGGGTCGTCCTGGGGCGGGTTGTACCACTTTCCTCAAGGCCATTGCCAATGACCGGGCTGCGTTTGCTGGTGTTGAGGGTGAGGTCAGCTATGGCGGTCTCTCGTCTGAAGATCAGAACAAGTACTTCCGTGGCGAGGTCAACTATAACCCGGAGGATGATCAGCACTTCCCTTCTCTCACTGTCTGGCAGACTCTGAAGTTCTCCCTCATCAACAAGACCCGCAAGCATGACCGTGAAAATATTCCTGTTATCATTGATGCCTTGTTGAAGATGTTCGGTATCAGCCACACCAAAAACACACTTGTTGGTAACGAGTACGTGCGCGGTGTGTCGGGAGGTGAGCGGAAGCGTGTCAGTATTGCCGAAACCCTGGCCACCAAGTCGTCCGTCGTCTGCTGGGACAACTCAACCCGCGGTCTGGATGCCAGCACCGCTCTGGACTACGCCAAGTCTCTACGCATCATGACAGACGTCAGCAAGCGCACAACCTTCGTCACTCTTTACCAAGCCGGTGAAAGCATATACGAGCTCATGGATAAGGTCATGGTCATCGACGCCGGCCGTATGCTCTACCAAGGTCCCGCCAACGAGGCCCGCCAGTACTTCGTCAACCTCGGCTTCCACTGCCCTAGTCAATCCACCACTGCCGACTTCCTGACTTCCCTCTGCGACCCCAACGCCCGTCAGTTCCAGCCCGGCCGTGAGGCGTCTACCCCCAAGACCGCCGAGGAACTCGAGAATATCTTCAAGAACAGCGCCTCCCACAAGTATATCGAGGATGATGTTTCCAGCTATGAGAAGCGTCTCCAAGATACCCAACAGGAGGATACCCGTCGCTTCCAGTCGACTGTTGCTCAATCGAAGAGTAAGACCGTCTCCAAGAAGTCGCCGTACACCGTCTCGCTCGTGCGCCAGGTCATGGCCTGTGTGCAGCGTGAGTTCTGGCTGCTGTGGGGTGACAAGACGTCTCTCTACACCAAGTACTTTATCATCATCTCTAACGGTCTCATTGTCTCGTCCCTGTTCTACGGAGAATCACTCGATACCAGCGGTGCATTCTCGCGTGGTGGTGCTCTCTTCTTCTCGATTCTGTTCCTTGGTTGGCTCCAGCTGACCGAGCTGATGCCTGCTGTGACTGGACGTAGCATTGTTGCCCGTCACAAGGATTACGCTTTCTACCGTCCGTCTGCTGTCTCGATTGCCCGTGTGGTGGTTGATTTCCCGGCTATCTTCTGCATGGTTGTGCCGTTTACGATTATCGTTTACTTCATGACTGGTCTCGATGTGGATGTTTCCAAATTCTTCATCTACTTCCTGTTCGTGTACACGACTACTATTTGCATCACTTCGCTCTACCGCATGTTCGCTGCCCTGTCGCCGACCATCGATGACGCGGTTCGTTTCGCTGGTATTGGACTGAATTTGCTCATTATCTACGTCGGCTATGTGATCCCCAAGCAGAGCTTGATCTCTGATTCGATTTGGTTCGGTTGGTTGTTCTATGTGAACCCGATCTCGTACAGTTACGAGTCCGTTTTGACGAATGAGTTCACTGGTCGTAATATGGAGTGCAACCCATCTCAGTTGGTTCCTCAGGGCCCTAATGTTGACCCGCAGTACCAGGGCTGTGCTCTGACTGGATCAACTCTTGGTAGTACTTCTGTTTCTGGATCTCAGTACTTGGCAACCAACTTCCAATTCACGCGTCACCACATGTGGCGTAACTTCGGTGTCATCATTGCCTTTACTGTCCTGTACATCCTGGTCACTATCTGGGCAGCTGAGTTCCTCTCGTTCGGCGGCGGTGGTGGCGGTGCTCTGGTCTTCAAGAAGTCTAAGCGTGCTAAGAATATCGCTGCTCAGACTACCAACGGGAACGATGAGGAGAAGGTCGCCAACGCCACCGACAATGCCGCTCTCGCCCAGGGTAAGGGCTCTTCTGGTGAGGATGCTGCTTTCAGCCGTCTTTCCGAGAGTGAGCGTTGCTTCACCTGGCAGAACGTTGAATACACAGTCCCCTACGGAAACGGAACACGCAAGCTTCTCAACGATGTCAATGGCTACGCTAAGCCTGGTGTCATGATTGCTCTGATGGGTGCCTCCGGTGCCGGGAAGACTACTCTGCTGAACACTCTGGCTCAGCGCCAGAAGATGGGTGTCGTCACTGGAGAAATGCTCGTCGATGGCCACAACCTTGGACCTGACTTCCAGCGTGGTACTGGTTTCTGTGAGCAGATGGATCTGCACGATAACACCTCGACCATTCGTGAAGCTTTTGAGTTCTCTGCGATCCTCCGCCAGCCCCGTGAAACTCCACGTCAGGAGAAGATCGAGTATGTCGACCGTATCATTAACCTTTTGGAACTTGAGGATATCCAGGACGCCATTATCGGCTCTCTCAATGTCGAGCAGAAGAAGCGTGTCACCATCGGTGTGGAACTTGCAGCCAAGCCCAGTCTTCTTCTGTTCCTTGACGAGCCTACTAGTGGTCTCGACAGTCAGGCCGCGTTCTCAATTGTCCGATTCCTCAAGAAGCTCTCCCAAGCTGGTCAAGCCATCGTCTGTACCATCCACCAGCCCTCTTCCATGCTCATCCAGCAATTTGACATGATCCTCGCCCTGAACCCCGGCGGTAACACGTTCTATTTCGGCCCCGTCGGCAAGGAAGGCGCCGCAGTGATCAAGTACTTTGGCGATCGCGGCTTCGTCTGTCCACCCTCCAAGAATGTCGCCGAATTTATCCTCGAAACTGCCGCAAAAGCAACCCAGCGCAACGGCAAACACGTCGACTGGAACGAAGAATGGCGCAACTCGGACGAAAACCGTGCCATGCTGGCTGAAATCGAACGCATCCGCACAGAGCGCAGCAAAATCCCCATCGAGCAATCAAACGGCACCCAAAACGAATTCGCCGCGCCAACCTCCACCCAAACAATCCAACTCACAAAACGTCTCTTCCTCAACTACTGGCGTGACCCATCCTACTACTACGGCAAACTCTTCGTCAGCGTCATCATCGGCATCTTCAACGGCTTCACCTTCTGGATGCTCCCCAATACAGTGGCATCCATGCAAGACCGCATGTTCTCCGTCTTCCTAATCATCCTAATCCCGCCAATTGTCCTGAACTCCATCGTCCCCAAATTCTATATCAACCGCGCCCTCTGGGAAGCCAGAGAGTACCCGTCCCGCATCTACGGCTGGGTCGCCTTCTGTACAGCAAACGTCGTTTGCGAAATTCCAGCAGCCATCATCTCAGGTCTGATCTACTGGCTGCTGTGGTACTACCCCGTCGGCTTCCCAACAGACTCCTCAACAGCGGGCTACGTCTTCCTCATGTCAATGCTCTTCTTCCTCTTCCAAGCATCATGGGGCCAATGGATCTGCGCCTTCGCGCCCTCCTTTACAGTCATCTCGAACGTCCTCCCCTTCTTCTTCGTCATGGTCAACCTGTTCAACGGTATCGTCCGTCCCTACGCCAACTACCCCGTCTTCTGGAAATACTGGATGTACTACGTTAACCCGACTACCTGGTGGCTGCGTGGTGTCCTCTCTGCCGTTTTGCCCGCTGTCCAGGTCGACTGTGCGACCCAGGAAGCGACGCATTTCAATCCCCCGCCTGGTCAGAGTTGTGAGGCTTATGCTGGTGACTTTGTTAGTCAGCTTGCTAAGGTTGGGTATCTGGTTAACCCTGATGCTACATCTGATTGCCAGTATTGTCCCTATAAGGACGGGTCCGAGTACATGGCCAATCTGAATGTCCATGCTGGTGATAAGTGGCGTTGTTTTGGTATCTTCTTGGCTTTTGTTATTATTAACTGGGCTTTGGTTTACTTCTTTATTTACACCGTTCGTGTGAGAGGTTGGGGCTTTGGTCTTGGGTACCTCTTTGGTGGTGCTGGATTGATTGTTGATCGTGTTAAGGGTCTGTTCAAGGGGAAGAAGAGTGAGCAGGCTTGATTGGTTTTTTTTTTTTTCTCCTTTTTATTAATTTTTTCCTTTTTTTGGTTCATTCCCCCAATGTCATGTTTAATATGCATTTACATGGAGCGTGATATTCAGCTGGTGAATATTGGATACATTGGAGCTTAAAAGCATACATAGCACAATTAATTACAGAATGATTTTACTTCCAAGTTATAGCACATTATTAATTCACCCGATTATTCTACATTACCATGCTCGATCCTAGCTGGTGCTTGAAACCTGTTTGACAACATTCTACGTGATGCTCACATAGACTTGAAAATCTTTATCCGGGTTCATAACCTGAAATCAGAAGGAGAGCATTGTACATTTTCTTCTCATTATATATGTATGGATGGATGATTGCAGCAAAGTATTGGAAATATAGTCTAACTGGAGTTCTTCTCCGGAGACAACCCTGAGACGTTGGCTGTACGCATCAATGAGTCATTATGAATGGGGTTAGTCTAGGGCAGGTGTACCCCGCGCGGACGCCTAATTGGATGACTAACTTGAAACATTATAACGAAAACTAGGTAAAACTCCATCCTCGTTCCAATTTGCGCATCCATCAAAATGGCCCGAAACTTATCAGATATATTAAGCACCGCCTCGTTGGACTTGACCCCATACGAGGCTCTCTACAAGCATTTCCATGCAAACCCGGAGCTCTCCCTGCAAGAAAAGGCAACCTCAGAAAAGATCACATCCATTCTATCCAACCTAGGGCCCTATGAGATCCACACAAACATCGGCGGCTATGGGCTAGTAGGAATCCTCAAAAATGGCCCGGGAAAAACAATTCTCGTTCGCGCCGACATGGATGCTCTGCCCATCAAGGAACTCACAGGCCTCCCATATGCGAGTTCAGTGACTATGCGTGATGGTGATGGGACCATCAAGCCAGTTATGCACGCCTGCGGCCATGACATGCATATCACCTGTCTCCTTGCAACGGCTGAAACACTCGCGAGGACGCAGGATTCCTGGAGCGGGACTTTGATCGTGCTCTTCCAGCCGAACGAGGAACGAGGCGGAGGCGCACAGGCAATGGTTGATGATGGACTCTATTCCAAGATCCCCATGCCAGATTATGTTTTCGGTCAGCATGTCATGAGAATGCGTGCTGGGGCTGTTGGATCGCGGCCTGGAACGATTATGGCTGCTGCAGATAGCTTTAAGATTACTCTGTTTGGTCGGGGTGGCCATGGGTCTCAGCCGCATCATACAGTTGATCCTGTGCTTCTTGCTGCGCATGTTGTCGTGAGATTGCAGGGTATTGTGAGCAGAGAGGTTGATCCCAGTGATCTTGGTGTTGTTACTGTTGGCAGTTTGCAAGCTGGACAGACGGAGAATGTTATCTCGGATAGGGCTGAGATTGGGATTGATTTTAGAACTGTCAAGCTTGAGACTCGACAGAAAATCCTTTCTGCCATTCAACGTATTGTTGAGGCAGAATGCGCTGCTAGTGGATCACCGAAACCGCCGGTCATTACTCCGACTAGGCGGTTCCCGCCTACTACAAATGATCAGAACGCTGCTTTGCAATTGGCCGCGTCATTTGGAGATCATTTCGGGGAGGCCTTTGATGGCGATACCCCAAGGACCAATGTTAGCGAAGACTTTTCTACATTGGGTACTTCTCAAGGTCTTCCGTGCTCCTTCTGGCTATTTGGAGGCATTGACCCGGTGCTTTGGGACAAGGCCCAAGCAGATGAGGCTCTCATGGCAGAGATTCCTGGCAACCATTCGGCTTTGTTCGCGCCCGTGATTCAGCCAACCATGAAAACAGGCGTGGATGCGCTGTGCCTTGCAGCTTTGACATTCTTGAGAAAGTAGCTATCTGCAACCCCAATGGCTTTGTCTGTCTATCTGGTTACAATAAAGAAAAAGCCGCAGTACCATAGTTCGCGTAGCTGTGAAGATATATTTTATAAAGACTATACAATAGCCTTCTTGCAATAGTTACTCGGAAAGATATAAGCATTTTTATATACGATATTTCGCTTTTAATTACGACATTATTATATCTTTTCTGAGTTATAAAAGTAAGACATAGGGTAATTAAGAATATGTAATCCTTGACCCTTCTCTTATTATATCTAGTAACCCTACTAGATTGAGTCTAGAAGGGTGATTGTAGTTATCGAGTACGCTAGATAGTCGACCCTAAGACGATTCTAGTGCCTACTCGAAGAAGCGTAGCTAAGTGTAAAGAAGAGGGGGTTCTACTGTTTGCAGGATAGAGCCTGTCAACTAGGTAAGATGAAGATGCCTGGAAGCGAACAATATATTGGAGGAATACAGAGACTGATTCTTGGAGAACCGCTGGGTTCTCCGGAGCAGATTATTTAACATGGGGGATTAGCGTTACGGTGAGCCAACACTAACGTGTCGACACCTATATGGTGTCGATCCTCTGGGAGTGCGAGAGATCTGTGCATGGCTTCTGAGGATTCCGTTACATTGATCGGGCCGATTGACTAACTCTAACGGCTGGACCAAATTTAGTGTCTCCAAGACGGCCAGTTTTTCTTGTACCAAGATACTGCTCTTTAGTCTAGACACAGGGAAATCGCAGATGATGATGTAGCTCTTTCCCGTTATATAGAACATCTTGGGGGATGGGTAGCTTCTGTGGATCTAAGGAACAGGGACACCTTACTCAGAAGGCCAAGTGTTAATATCAGACCTACATTACTGGTTGCAGACCCATTGATGACTGCGATCAGATGATTGGCATCTATGGAGGTCATAGCTCAAAAGGCCTATGGTCTGTTGTCGAGAAGCTGTGGCGGGAGGATTGCAGCCTTAGGCACGAAGCCTTTGTCGCAATTACCTTACGAATACTGCATGAAACCGGTCGATAGATGATCCTTCGGCATAGCTTATGTAACTAGAATGGACCCATAAATAGTGAGAAGTAGGGGTAATGGAAATACAGAGTCATTTACATCTCCAATTGGGTGGATACAGGACAAATCGTGACAGCCTTACAACATGTGATCTGGGCCCAAATCCTCCTGGCTGTGGACGTAGGTCCAATGCAGACCTACGTCAACAACTAGAGGTCAAATGGGATTTTCTGTCTGCCAATTGGCGTCCTAACCGGTACAGTAGTATTCGAAATCAGCTATACCTTCGCACTCTTGCGACTTGATTACCGGAAAATTAGTCCGAAAGACGCTAATCCGTTTCAGTCAACCTCCTAGTTTCAGCAGAATTGTCCTGGTAATGATACTGTCATAATGAATGAGTTACTGTAATATAGTCATTCTCGAAATCGGCTTGACCAATAGACACACATAATAACTCTTTCCTGGCCCCACCGCCAAGGCCTTAGCGCAGATCATTTATTGAGCGCGCTGTAGTATATTGAGGGACATCGTAAGATGCACCCTGTATAGTACCGTATATTACGATATTATATTACATATTACCCAACATCGAGCGTACTTGGAAATAAGATTCTCGAACTCGGCTGCGCTGTTGATGAGAGCGGGCGGCCCCGCGGGGCGATTAGTCTTCATCTGAGTGTAGACACTGGTCATATAGAGAATCCCATCTTGCTGAGAGTAGCCTATGCTTCGAAAAAGGGTTGGGAGATTCAAAATGGTTAAAACACTCTACAAAGAAACATCGAAAATGCACTATATTAGATGCAGACGGTCCCTTTTCGCCGGCAAAACTACAACAGGAAGTGAAAACGCAACTCATCCTGCCATAGACCCTGATTCGGTGTCACTTTCTAGATTCCGACTCCGAGTCTGGTCCGCACGAAACTTGCTCCAATAACCACCCCGACAGCTGGCAGTCAGCAGTTAATTTGTTCCTGCGTCCATACAGTTAGTCATTGTTCTGACCAAACAACAAGGCCCAATGAAACTACCGCAGAAAAATGCGCAGACTTTCTTAAGTTTGCCGATATCGAGGGGGTCGCAATTCTCGATCTATGTCAAAGGTGCGGTCTCTCCGACACGGTCGCATTCAAGCCACTCTGAAGCCTCATTTTTGAGCAGCTTGTCACCATTCGTACCCAACAAGACTTAAACTTGTCGTCATTTCTCGGCATCTCAATTCTTACGTCCAAGGTTATAGGCGATTCTTGAGGGCGCACCCAGGAGGCGATCTATCTCCATACTGCTGGACAAAATAAAAAACACGTCCAAGAGAGAAACGGCATAATCATGTAATAGTATTTGGTTCTTTATGATCAAAATTACATGTTTTACTTCAACAACATCTTGGGGATGAGACTAAGCATTAGCAACACGAGTAGGGACAGGACAAAAACACCTTATAAACTACCTAATCCAACATAAACGCCATCCTCTCCTGATCGTCTCGGGCCATAGTATCAACTGTCCATCCCCACAGATCCTCTTGCTTTGCCAGATCATAGCTCGCCTCACTAGACCTAATCTCCTTCAAACCCTCATAGTACACACCACTAACCCCCTCAACATCATCCGCCACAGCCAACCTAGCCAGCGCGGCCCCAGACTCCCGAGGAGTATGGATATTCGGCGAAATAAGCAGCCGCAAAAGCGGAATAATGTTCGGCAAGACACGCAGCCAGAGGAACTTTTCTACCCTGCTCGCTCCTCGTGCCAGGCCAGTCCCCGGCATAAGGCCAGGATCCATCGATGTGACTGACCAATGCTTCCCGCTCTTCTCATTGACGGAAGAAAAGCGTCTGTGTAGAGCATACATGTAGAGGATGTTAGCTAGCTTAGTGCTGGCATATCTCTGGCGCCCGTTCTCTTTTGCTGAGAGGGGACACGGGTGCGCGAGGTCTTCGGCGGATGTATACTTCGCATCAGGTAGACCGGATTTCTGAGTGGGATCGTGTGTTCCGCTAGATACGATCACGATGCGCGCGGTGTCGGCGAGATGGGGCAGTAGGAGGGAGAAAAGGAGTGCGTGCCCGATGTGGCTGACTGCGAAGGTTTTCTCGAATCCATCTTCAGTGTACTCCACTCTCCCGGGGAACTGTAAGGCTGCGTTGAAGACGAGGGATTGGATTGGCGGGAACTGGTTGGTTTCCCAGTCTTCTGCAAAGGCGCGGACTTGGGAAAGAGAGGAGAGATCGAGACGTAGGAACTTAATATTCTCTTGATTGAGGAGCCTGTTCATGCCTTCGGCGGAGGCCTTGGGGTCTGAGCGGGATGCGATTATGACTTGGTAGTGTGGACATTCACGAGCGATGGTTAATGCGCAATGATAACCTAGCCCGGCAGTGCCACCGGTGACGAGGATGCTGCGTTGGAGTTTGGAAGACATCGGTTGAAGAGTGTTCGGGAAGTGAACGATCGAAGTATAGAAGGTTGATACAGAATGTGGACTGTACGAGAATTAGGGAGCAGTTGTAGGATTTATACCTACGAACTCGGTCAAGCATACGATTTACCATTTCATATCGGTCCAACTATCTGCCCGACGGACATCCGGGATAGAATATGATGGACTCGAATCCAGTAAATTATGACCTGCGGAAAAAGCGACGGTACCGTTCGGGGTTAGCGCGGAATGAAGTGGAGAAAATGCTGGACGGTCCCGTTCCGGTTAGCGCGTCATCCAAAGCGAGACACACTCACCTTACTTACATTATCATCATCACAGCCTTGAGGACAGAATGGAGGCTGAAAGCACGGCATCTATACTCCCGGAGAGACTACTTCACTATTGCCCCGCCCATCAAGTCTTAATATGCACCGCCTGCCACTATGCAGTCCAGCCAACAGCCATTCCTCGGCACTTGAAGGATATCCATCACATCCATAGCAACAAGCGGCGTCCGTTCGTCACTTATGCAAAATCTCTCAAGTTGAGAAAGCCAGAGGAAGTAAGGCCGCCTAGTGCTGGCGAATTCCCTGTGCCCTACCTGCCGCTTGAGCAGGGGTGGCGCTGCGAGGCGCCAGGATGCAACTACCTTTGCGCATCTATCAAGCGAATGGAAGCCCACTGGTCTGCTCAGCACGGTCGAAAGGGCTGTTTAAATCGTGACTGGAGCGCTGCTCCCTTGCAGTCTTTCTTCCGAGGGAATAAGCTGCGATACTTTACCAGCACGGATTCATCAACAAAACTAGATGGCAACATGGCCAGCATGTCTAGGAAACGAGACCATATACGACGAATCCGAAAAAAGCACAATTTGAATAAATTGGATGCCGAAGCTCTGGGCTATTACTTCTCTGCTTCTTACAAGAGCTTCGTGACAAATGACCAGACAGAGAGAATCTGGCTTGACGTCGTGCCAGATCTGGCATACAACCATTTATTCCTGCTACAAGGCATCTTGGCTTGTACGCTATTACATATGGGATACCTAAATCCTACAAAGCGACAGATATACACCCTTCACGCATGTGCTCACCAAGATTCGGCACTTCCACAATTTCGTCATGCAATTCACCATCCAGACGAAAAGAACTGCGACGCAATATTGTCGTTTGCCTACTTACTGATCATATATTCCTTTGCTACGGATACCCAAAACACCATCAACTCACTTCTCATTGTGGAAGATACCTACGCCAACTCGGACGAAACGGAACTGATTCTCCCTCAATGGCTGCATTTCATTCGCGCCGGTTGTTCAATGCTCTGCGATGTCTGGGACCGAATCGAAAATGGACCAGCAAGCGCGCTGGCTTCTGCATGGGACGAGCTCGGAGCGAATAAGTTCGAAGATAAACGCGAGGATCTGCCGTACTTGGACTACTTCAAGTCTCTCGTTCCAGGTGACGGGTCCTGGTCAGACGAATCTATCGAAATTTATCATTCTGCTGCAAATACATTGACTGAGTCATTTGCCCTGCATGGGCGTGCAAAGAGGAAGTCCCATGTTAACCCATGGAATATTCTCGGCGTGTGGCCGGTACGTTTGGAGGTAGCGTTTATCTCCCTGATATCTGAGCGACATCCCGGGGCGCTTATTCTACTTGCGTATTACTGTATCATACTGAAAGATATGGAGAACTGCTGGTATTTTGAAGGGAGACCAGCGAAATTGCTTCAGTCTATTGCAGATGTGCTGGACGCAGGATGGCATCCTTATATTCAGGATCCAATTGAAATCGTTATGGGGTTGAAAACATAGCCAGATGGAAAAATAAATTTCACATTTAAAATGAGAGAAAGAAATTTGAATCACCAAAATAATTATGTCTAAACCAACCGCCCGTTGTCTGCCTCCTTCCCCTGGGGCGTCTTTCCGGAACACCGCTTGAATACTCAGCACAAGAACGGATCACCCTTGCCAATACCGCGAACCAGAGACTTCGGGTTGTAGTGCTTGACGCGGAACATATAGTACACCAAAACAGTGCCGAAGATATTAAAGCCAATGTAGCTTAACTGATGCCTAAATTGCGCTAGCGTTTACTGTAGATTGCACTGGGTTAGCAGATGGGTCGAGAGAAGTCAGTCGTAAGTAGTCTGCAAGTAAGCAAAAGAATGTAGATCACAGTTCGTCCCGGCCTGGTACCTAGTTAGCCCCCAGATCGTCACATGGATGCGGAGGGAAGGTGTCGCCTTGCCAGATTCTCAAGGCCCAATCCAGCTCTTCGTGTTTGTCTTGCTTGCAATTCAGTGGAAACTTCTAGCCAACCATGGATTGCTTATACAGCGGCGAGACATGAGGCATGTATATATGGGAGTAAAATACCGTACAGATAACGATAGAGGAAAATAGCTATTCCGAGACCATTCTTAATAACGTATTTCCCAAGCGAGCTGGCCACCCAAACGAGCTGGCCACCCCAAAACACCATAGTAAATGCGATAAATTACAACATAGTATCGCAACAACGGTAGTTTATAGGGACTTTCCCTTGAAATCTAACGCTCTTTAGGTGGTATTTAGTCTCTAACGGGAGTTTAAAGAATTTCTATAATTTAATAATTGAGATATAATCAAATATTTATATTTTTGGCTCCTAGCCAACGTAATTTTTGATACCGTAACAATGTAGGTTTCAGATTTCGTTAAAGTTAATATATAGTGCTTAAAAGCCTTATCAACATCTATCGGCAAATAATAAAATAAAATAAAAACGTGGTTGTTGAGATATCAGTGTAGAATATCTCGTATTTACTATGGTGTTTTGGGGTGGCCAGCTCGTTTGGGTGGCCAGCTCGTTTGGGAAATACGTTATAGTGTGGTGGGTATAAAGTACTCTTACATTCAATTATCTGCTGCACCAGGAGAGCGCTAAGCTCCCTCGGTGTCCCGAATCAGCTTACCACCAGCCAGTACTTGATATTCCCCATCATGGGCAAAGGAGAACTCAACGCCCTTTGTCTCACACATCCTCCTTACTTCCTCGAATACTTCCTTCGTGCTATGTGGAACCCGACAGTCACCCTCGTTATTAGCACTGCTAAGCTCTTTCCCCGGAATTAACTCCATCTGGTAAAGCTGAATCACCAGCTTTCGCAAAGCAGGATAGCATTTACCCTGGAGAGCAAGTAGACTGCGGAGCTGAGGCTCGACAGTATCAAACTCAGCTTGGTCAGTCTTAGCCAGACAGAGATACTCCAAGCTGCACGGGAGAATTTCTTCCAGGGAGGAGCCTAGGCCAAAGTGTCTGTGGTCCAAATCCAAGAGATTACGCACGGGTATACGCAGTTCTCGTAGCTCCGTGAAATCGACCAGACTGCCGAACCAAGGCTCAATTTCCATATCGTCCCCCTGGTAAATACCTTCATCTTCCATGCCAAGGTCGTCTACCCCTTTCGTAATGCCGCAGTCGTTCAGGCGTAGCACGCGTAGACTATGCTTTTGGGTAAACAACGCGGTATAAAATCGCCGTGGCCGAAAATCTAGCCACACATCCCCGTGATTGGCAGAGTTGGAGTGCTGATACTCGAAGTATTCCAGATTGGCACAAGATGAGACGTACTCGATCATTCCACGTCTGCAGTTTGAATGGCCGAGAACAATCTTTCTGACTTGAGAGGATTTAGGCTCGAGATTCAGAGAAATCGGAAACGAAGCATAATCCCCCTCGTGTTCTTCGTGGACCCCAGCAGCACAGAACACTCTCAGGGCCGGTAGTTTGAAAAATGGGGCAAATCGTGCGGCTGGAAAGTTTTGATAAACTGTCTCCGACATAATGCTGACCTCTTCGAGATGCGATAAAGGCGTATAACCAAAAACACAGATCGAATTGGACTCTAATTGTGCGAGTATTCGTAATGTAAGATCCCCGGCATACGAATGGTGACGCATCTCAAGATATCGGAGGTTCTCGAGAGATATCAAGATTAGAACAAGCCACACTTGTTCATTTCCGCCTTCCAAGACATCTTCGGTGAGATCTTCAGGGGTCACCGTGAAGGGTTTGATAAGTTCTCGGAAGAGCTCATAATCATAGATGCCATTCTTGTCAGCCTTGTAGCTGAGGTTTAGAATTCTCAGTTCTCGGACAGTGGCTCCTAACGACCGGTTGAGGCGAGCAGCGTGTGCCAGAGGGATCAGGCTTTCATCATTGTCGAGCGTAAGTTTAGAGTAGACCTTGGAAAGCAACAGGCTTCTCCAGCTGCGACAGACTTGCAAGAGCTTACGACGGTCCTTGAACTCGTCGATGGCATCTACTATCATGAAAATAATGTCGGTAGGAAGAGCTATCATGATTGTGGAGTTTGGGGTAATGTGCATGGAATTGAAATGGTGAGGGTGATTGGCCAGGACGAGGTCGCGAACGCCAAGTGTCGAGTGACGACGGTATGGCTCCGCATTCGGCGGAGTAGTAACCAATTGGATAGCGAGCTGATATATGGAGGTGCTTGGTCTAGATACACGAAAACAAGTGGTTAGTTATAGACGATTTGTGCGCCTATTCAGCATTCTGATGCCTGATAAATCAGGGAGATGCTAGCCAGACCGGAGCTGACTGAACCGTACATGCACACTAGTAGTAGATCGCAGGAGTCGCGACTCTCCCGGTTCGATGCGTGTAATTTTACGTGGCTAGGTACTGTAAATACAAAGCGCATTTCACTGTGTCCCTCAATTTAACGCGGCTCGCTCAATGATCTATCCACGCTAAGGCCTTGGCGGTGGGTCCAGAAGACAGTTATCATGAGTGTATTGGTCAAGCCGATTTCGAGAAAGACTGTAGTACCGCAATAGTATAGCCGTGTCACAGGACCGCTGTCCCTCAGCCATATTGCAAATTCTCAATTTCTTCAACTTCTAGCTCATTTTCTAGCCGTATAACGTCCAGGATCCATGAAATAAAGCTCATCAACAGCGTCATTAGCCAATAATGTATCATTCTCCTTATTTTCACGTGTTTCCTCCAATTCCTTAGCCGTTAAATCGGCCGCCATTTTCACTGCGTCTTTCCGCCAAGCACGAAGCTTCGACTTATCTTCTTTCTCACACCTATGCTGTACTAGCCTATTACCTGGAATCAATGAAAGGGGGCTCTCGGTAGCTCCCTTTACCTATCGCTTGCTTTTTGGCTTTTTTGTAGGCGTTTTGTGACTAAGGGCGCGCGTAAGGCTGATCTCCGGAAGTTCCGCATTATATAGAGACGATTTTCCGGCATTAATTGCGTGCCGTATATGCTTCCGAATTTTGTGTAAATTAGGGGTCCGGCTCTTAAGTAGTGGAAAAACCGTATTCTATAAATTTTTGATGCGTGCGTAAGAAATGGGCGGAGAATTCGTCGCTAAAACTTATGAATTCGCGGGCGAGTGACGGCTCGTCGTACATACGTACTACCTCTTTATCCGAATACTGCCCTAAATTATCTAAAACTTGTGTAGGATCTAGTGGCTAGATACCAGTAGATTTGAACGAAGTTTAGATAGTTTTAGACCTAAAGGCGTGGCGTCGGACGGCGTCAATATTACGGAAAAAGTCGCGTTTTTCGTCGCTTCTACCCTACGCTATAACTTTAGTATTCGCCCTTTTAAACTTATGCTTTAGGCTTAAAAAGCCTTAGCATTAAGGACTAATAGATATAAGTCGTGTGAGGTACAAAATACTAAGGAATAATCAAGTTTTCCTTACAAAAATCGAGAAATTCGATGGTTATATAAGACGTATGATTATCTATTAGCAAAAGCCTCGGTCGCCCGCGTCGTACGCGGTTTTTTGTAGCTTTATGAAACGAGCAGAGCTATCGATAGGTAGTCTCACTATCCGTCTAGCCACTAGATGTTAAATAGATAATTTTATACGCCGAAGAAGAGGTTAATATATTATTATACTAGTCTTCTATATACACTCTACCTTTGACTAGAAACCATAGAAACATTAACTAGTTATTAGCGGCAATATATTTAATGCTAGTAATAGTTTTACCTCGATCTCTGGTAGCAATATGTTACGGACCTACCAGGCATCAACCGGTTATAGACCTATCAAGAACTCCTACTACCCAGCCCCTGAATTCCACCAGATTAGAACCTTTGCAATTAATGATTTGTTTATCATATTACAGTAATATTCGAAATCAGTTTTACCTCCAATCTCTTTCTCCTTGTTTCCCAAGGCTCCACCTACAGCCCACTAGTCCCTATTAGGATACCTTTCCGCCAGCCTTGCATCCATCTATGTGTCTTCAATAAGCTGACGTAAATTACAGTGATATTCGAAATCAATTATGACTTCCCACTCTTACGACTTGATATATCCGACGGCGGTGAGATCTGATAGGATAGACTTTGAACGTCCTGCTTCTCAGACCGCTTTCTAGACTGTGAGGTGTACCTTACAATACATTTATAAAGAGCTGTTGGGAGAACCGGACCCGGGGGGGAAGGGAATATACGGGACATCAAAACCTACCATACTCGGCTTAGTGCCAGGCTGTAGACATTTTTAATCAATTTTACTTATTGCTGAGGATGGGACAAGTGATACTGTAGTTACCTTTGGAGTCTCTAAAAGAATATTCATTGATTCGAAAAGCCCTAATATTTATTTCATTCCACAAGGCAAATCCCAAAGCCCTGAGGAGGTCAGGCTGTATGCTTATACCTCATTACGTCTCCAGCTGCTCAAGAGCTTCTTTCATACCCACATAAGGCTTTACCGACAGAATAGCATCACCTGCACTTTTTGTTGCAAGCTTAACTTGAGAAGCCCGCGAACCTGTCTGAATTTCCGATGCCCGTGGCCGGCGGATGCTATCCCAAATTTGCAAGATTCCGGGAACGCTGTTACGGTCGGAGGTGTTTGCAAATAAAACATTGAGGCCCTCCACGTCCTCGAAAGCCTGGTTGACGCCTTGGGCTTGGTAAGGTACCATGGCATGAGCAGCATCGCCGATCAAAACGGCTCGGCCTTTGAAATACGTAGGCAAAGGCTCTTGGTCCCGGACTTGGAATAGCGCCACTTGAGAGGTGCGACTGATTCAGCGGTTTTCGTCAGCCCAGAAAATCCTAGTCCGATGAAGTATAGTGCTCACCACTCACCTAAAGACCTGTTTCAACCATTCGGGGAAATCATGGATCTCTTCCAATAGTTCTTCCACACTCCCCTTAGCGTTCCAGGAGTATTCAAGCTTAGCTGGGTTCTTAACACTCGAGTCCGGGACCGCGCAGACGCAATTCATCAGCTTATGACCCTGGCAGGGATACATAATTACATTACGGTTGCCTTCATCTCCGGCGGCTATAACTGCTATAAAAGTTCCGTCGTCGTAGTTGTACATAGCTGGAATGTTTCCATGGGTGGCGACGGTGTTCATAACGACATCCATTGGAATGACGAATCGATACATTGAAAGACCGCACGAGACAGGCTCTGGGTGCGAAGCCGGGATGACGGCTCCGCGGACCTTTGAACGAATTCCGTCCGCGCCTGGAGGAGGTTATTCATCTGACCATCTTTGAATTTCAGAGTTTCCTGCTTACCGATAATTAGATCGGCTTCGACAGAGGTTCCGTCTGCAAATTCAACAACACCAGCCTCCGGATCAACGTTCACAATATGACAGCCGTATAATATCTTGATAGCCTCCCCATCCCCATCCCCACTGGTGACTCTCCGCAACAAAGCGTCCTTGAGATCCTGCCGATATACGAGCCACAAACCACTATCTCCATCCTGCCCATAATCAACCCGGGACTTGCTTATCTCCTTCTCGTGGATGTTGAAAGTCCGGTACCCGGCTCCCACCACCCCGCGAATCTCTTCCCTGTCGATTCCGAGCTGTTTGACAATAGAGATGCCGTTAGCTCCAAGCCCGAATGCTGCGGAAGTCTCCTGAGAGTCTGCATCACGACGCTCGTAGACAATGATATTGAAATGGCGGTTTTTGCGGAGGAATGCTGCAGCAGAGAGGCCAGCGATTCCGCTACCTATAATAGCGACGCGAAGTTTGCATGGCGAGGCGCCGTTGGTGGGCATATCGGCGGATCGGGTTTGGATGCAAGGGGCTAAATCAGCTAGAGGTAACCAGACAACTTTGTTGGTCTTCTATGGAGCCAGAAATGTATGAGGAATCAGAAGATCAAAATATTTTGTCAAGGTTCTTAGCAGTGATCGTATTTGATTTGTGTCGTACGGGTGTAGCGGAGCAACGTGGCATCAAACCCGAAAGAGGTAAGATGCAATAGCTTTAAGCCACCACTCGGACAACACGAGCACGGTTAGGATTGCTTCATTTGTATTTGTCTGCATCTGATACAAATTCATCAGCCAATCTTTGCGCAATTGTCCCAAATTTTGCTTTGTACTGGTTTGCAGTACCCCGCATGATCTTTTGAGTTTCCGTTAATTTCTATGGTTGCTTTATATTGGGCTTCCCGGCCCGGCCCGAATAATAAGTAATAAAAATGAAACAAGATCTCTCCTTCCTTAAAACGGCACACATTTTAGTACGAAGGCTGCGCTGTGTTCGGGAAGAGTAAGGAGAAAGAGGCAAAACGAAATTGGCAGGCAGGCAGGAAAGAGGAAAGCTAGCGGGCGATCTTGCCAAATCGCCAGATCAACGAAAGCGATTCTAGATTAGACCTAGCCGTGTCACGGGACGACCCCCACCCTCTCGGCTAGGGGGTGTGTGTCCCTCAGCCATAATGCAATTCTCAGCCATAACGCAAATTCTCTACTTTTTCAACTTTACGCGTATTCCCATCTACCAAAAATGCCTCAAAAACCTCGGGATGAAGAGGATCCGCTAGCTAAGGCATTACATGCTTATATTACGCGAGAATTTTCATCCCTACGTAAAGCTGCGGAAAATTATCGCGTGTCTTATTCGAAGCTTCGCGGTCGCAAAAACGGACAGAACATCTCTCTCCGATCGCCCTACCACTAATAATGCATTGAATTCCAACCAGGAAAATGCATTAATTAGCTAGATCGAATCGCTAAATTCTTGCTATACACCTCTAAATACAAAAGACATTGAAATTGCCGTAAATCGCCTATTGAAAATAGCAGGGTCGGAGAGAGTTGTCGGCCCAATGTATAGCTATCGCTTTATACGGCGTCTACCTCTATATATCAAGCTTATTACCTAAAAACAAAGGAATCTTTACGAATTTAAGCCGAGGATCCTAGAGTTATTAGCTATTAGTACGATAGGCTTAAGTATCTCTACCGTGAGCATGGTTTTAAACCTTATAAGATCTATAATTAGGATAAAACCGGCTTCTAAAATAGCGAAGGACTTAATTAATACGTCGTCTTCACGCGTTAAACTACTATTACGGACCTACCAGGCACCAATCGATTATGGGGCCGCATGCGATCGCATTGGTGTAGAGGAGCTCGACCAGGCAAGGTATTTGCTCGCTTCGCATTCCAGTGGTGGAAACCTAAGGGTGTCTTCCTGTGGTGAGATGCGAGTCAGCAAGTGTTGATCCAGTTGGACTAGGTGTTGTGCTTTACGTTATTCATGAAGAATCCCACGAGTGTACGCTTGAGACAGATGGTCGATCAGGATTGTGATCATAACCGTTTACCAACTAGATCACTTCTAATTCTCTTCGGCAATGCAGTCACCAATCATGCCACGTTGTTGTATCCAGGTTCGTCGCACTCTGCGGCTGTCGCTTCGAAGAAGCCGCGCTGGGTGCACCGGGTAAGTTCCCGTTTCGAACCCAACGGTGACAAGAAATTGGACAGTTGTAATGGGAGACCGCTTCGCGTTATTGCCAAGAAATTGATTTGAATTTTTTACCGATTAATGCATTGGAAATACGCTTACTGCATAAGACCTAATCGGGCTTAGTGAGCGTAGGTAGGGTCCAAACGCCTAGAATGCGGTCCTTTTAGTATTGCCCTAAGGGTATTATTCATACCTAACGTTCCCTTCTGTTCAACTATGCCAAATCTTTTCTAAAACTACCTTATAACGAAACTACTGCTCAGCCCAAAGCTTCACAACATCCATGAAACACGTGTATCAGCAAATCATAGCGAGCTAAGACACAGCAAGAAGATGACGAAAGAAAATGCCTTGTCCTATCCGTATTTTCCGAATACCCAAGTCTCCTCCACTGTAGCCTTCCGAATATTGTGTGCCAGTCATGGTCTTGAAATATGTCAAGAGATATTCTTCATGGTCTGCTTTCCCATTCTTTCCTCAGATCAGCAATTTAACTAGAGCCATTAGCTTCGCGCTGATGTTACTATATGTACTACTTTTAATCTGTGGTACTTTGCAATAGCAGCATGCTCAAGTTTCTGGTTAAACAACTTCTGATTAAACAACTTCTTGAATGTCATCCAGCTGAAAAGATGTTTCAATCTCGCTTTGCCCATTGCTGAGCCTTATCGAAAATTGCTTTTTTGATCTCCCTTTTGTCCAGCCCTACCCCAGACATCATTGTTCCATCAAAGACCGTCCTCCATCCTACAGCATTTAGAAACCAAACTAATGAGGCATTTGTGCCCTTCCACAGGAATAAACCCTTGCCTGCTGCGGACTTTGAAATGATTTCATTGACGACTTGGCGTGCAAATTCCTCCGCTTTCATACTATTTTGCGAATGCTGCCTACTTCTCTCTTGAACGCCGCCTTCAACATCGGTATAAGGGCTGTCGTGGCCGAATGAGATATTGTCGGCTGACATTAGGCCAGTCGAAACTTCACCCATGAATAATGTCACAACCTTGATCCCAAGAGGGGCCAACTCGATCCGGAGAGTGTCAGAGTAGGAAGCAACAGCTGCTTTGGATGCATTGTAACTGGCAGCGAAGGGAAACGGCAGACGGCTAAGGACCGAAGATGTGTTTACTATGGTTGGTGGGGCCTGTGAATTCGGCACAGAGGCTAGAAGCAGAGGAACAAAGGCCGTTACCATGTCGAACAACCCGAAAACGTTGGCGTCGAACATCCTACGGACGCTCTCACGGTCGGCTTCAATCGCTGGGGCTTCGTACACTATCGATTCTGTCAGAATCACACGAGCTAGAGGCAGAAAAAAAGGAACAACCAACTCATGCCAGCATTGTTGAACAGCATGTCCAGTTTTCCTCCAGACCGCTTCGAAACCTCGGTCTTCAGTGTAGCAATGCTCTCCGCACTTGTCACTTCTAGCGGAAGTACCTCGATACCTTTCGCTTCCAGCTGGGAAAGGGACTTGGTTGACCGAGCAGTTGCAAAAACGCGCAACCCTTGCTTCGCAAATTCAAGGGCAAGAGCATGACCGGCCGAACCGGCAGAACAGCTACAGGATTAAGATGATTAGCGTTAGGCCAGTCCAATAGGGAGACAGTATCGTAGATATCACAAACCCAGTGATAAGAACTGAGCGTTTCGATGATGAGGTCATACTCAAGTTCGCTGGAAATAATTGTATTTTCGAGGCTAGGAATCTGGCGAGATGGAGAGGGGCCGATCCTATTATACTCCAACGCGGCAAGTAAATAAGGTCGCCCAGGTGGTGGTTCGTGTGCTGCTTTGCCTCCACTTTCTGATGATAAAGTGAGGACTTAACCAATCATTACTGTGGCCTTAGGTGGTAATTTCCTGGACGAATGCAAGAACTGACTTGTCCAATGTCGCATTTAGAGTTTGACTTAGGTTTTATTGCGAGACATTTGATTACTCATACGCCCGGTACTATGCCTGGTACTAGGCGGCCATTCGTCAATATCGTCCAATCTTTCAACCCGAAAGACTAATTTCGGGAACGGAAGATCGCTGCCTTGCAGTTTTCTAACCTTAACCGTTTCCGATCTATGGTTAGTAGATTCGCCCGTACTGGTTCTGGTCACGCACCACAGATGACGTGAACATCAATGTGCCGAGATACGAGATCAATGACCGTGGGATTACTGATCACCTCACCCTGCGGATCGGGCCACATTGTCTCCATAGCTTCAATAGCCATGCTTACGGATCTGGAAACTCAATCTCAAATATGCCGAGGCGTTGCAAGTCACTGACCGAGGGATAACTAATCATTTCCTAGCCGCGGTTTAGGGCCTCACTTATCTCCGTAACTTCATTGGCCCCCTCAATAGCGTTTTAGTATCTATGAGCAGGAGAAAGTAGATGATTGCGTGGCTAAGCTAAATCTATTTTCGACCTGCTACGCAAATTCGACTATATACACAAATAGCCTGATCCATTTCAAAATACGCGTTCACTATTCCAATGACCAGTAGCGCATGGCTGAAGCCAACCTCGAACTACAACAAGAAGCCCAAGAAGCCTCGCAAATGTCTCAATTCTGGCCACATACACTCTATGCAGAGGAACAGCCGCTTTCACATGTTATTCTCGCCGCCCACGCCTTCACGCGCGCCTTCACAGCGGGTTCTGTATTCGGCGCTATAATCGGCTCATCCATCTACCTCCTCCGGCAATTTAATGTTCTTTCCACGTCACCATCAACCCGCCAAATCTCCTTTACGCGCATGCTGCTTCGCTCTTCCGCGACTGGCGCAAGCATCACAATGGCTCTGATGGTGCCCGGAATCTCGGCACGGATGTGGGGATGCGATGGAAACAAAGCTCATAAAGAGTCTAGAGCTTTGAGTAAAACAATTAGTATTGTCCACATAATGTCAAATATGATATCAGTGAGAAGAAGAGTCTTGCCAGCATAGTCACTGTCTGTACGACGTCCATATCTGGAGGTTCATGCACTACCTCAGCCAGTAAAATCTGGCTCTTGGAAGCCAATGATTCATGCTTCATAAGGAAAGATGAGTCGTCCTCCAGATGAATATCGACGAGAGGGAGGCTGGCAGCAAAGGCAAGGAAGGCTAAAATGCATATTCGGCTTCTGGCCTGTCCCTGACCGAAATACGACTGTGGCTGCGAATAGGCGGCGATCATCGTCTCCTCGAATAAATCGGTATCGATGACCGGGAAGATCCGCTGCATCACGGAATTTCTGTAAGCGTCGAAGTACAGGCGCACCAGCCGCCAGTCTGGTAGTTCACAAAAGTTCTGCCTTGACGTATTTATAAAGGGGTAAATGGAGCTTTGGCCCTGTTCCTTCTCCCATGGTGGTCGCACGAGACTGAGCTTGTCACTCGAGATAGTCCGCCCTGTACGAGCCTGTATCAATTTTTGGCTTTCTGGTAGGAGAAATGGGATTCCCGTGAGAAGAATACTGCTGTCTAGCTCTCCACCAGGAAAGTTGTCGTCTACCAAATATGAAGGCAGAGGCTGGCCACTGATGCTGGTGCTGGCACTGGGTGAGCTACTAGCGCTCGGGCAGCCTTCAGGGATCTGCGAGAGATCCGCTGGTACTATTTCCACTTAGTCACTGTTCCAATACCTCCCATGACTGAAAGCATAATATACCAGAGCCAGCCTGTCGCATTTGATGCTCCGTTAGAAGCTGTTTGACATGGCTAATGCGCTCCAACGGCCTCGAAGCCTTCGGTTTACTGTACCGGGAGATCAAATGATGAGGTAAGAACGACAAGGAAAGAAGGTCAAAGGAATGATCTCACCTTCCATCATTTTCAGTCTTCCCTTTCCGATGTAGGACGCGATTGAAGGTACAAAAAACCTCATGGTGGCTACACCAATTGCACTGCGGGACTGCCACGTCGCATTTGATCTAACGAATCAATCTCTGTTCATATTTGCAGGGATTTATGGCATTTTATCTTCCTTTTATAACGGAAATCGCAGGCATGTGTCATGACGTTACGCTGTTCAGCGTCTGAATGCATTGGTATTTAGGGGATGGAGGGCCTTTGTTGAGTTTCGCACGGTGTCCAATCCGTTATTACTGTGCAGGAGATTCCATTCGGCAATTATGTGGGGATTCCGGATGTTCACTAATCAACTAAACCCACCAAGGCTCCGCAGGCCTGAGTGTTATCTCAAAATGTCTTTCGAGCGGAGGCGATCATAAAATCTCGGCTTGTTGACTTTATCGAAAGTTCCCGTTAGATAAAAAGCTATCAGGTGTACATACTTTCGGTCTGTATCATGCTCGGTGGATCGTGCTGGCTAGCACCAGCAGCGCTTGTTCTGTTGTTAACACCGAGCGTCCCTGAGGGTTGGAACGCACCTGCAGGAGTCTGACAGTTTGGTAACTTATGGGTCACCGATTATATAATTCCCTTCACCCGCTTCGTCCAGGAATTACTTCCAGTGCGACAACTTGGCTTTGCCCTTCATCTCTGACGAATGTCCTCCGAGAGTGACACGATCTGGGGGTAGGCTCGTCCGACCTCTGGACAGCTCTCTTTCTATTTGCGGCGTAAATGTCTCACTGTACACTGGAGCCAAAGTAAATAAAAGGATCAAGCCAGAGACAATAGAAGATACTTGGTAGTCGAAACGCTCCTCCTTACCACGCATTGCTATCCCCGAAAAACCGTATGTCGTATTGCGCTTTCATGGTGTGTCGTGTATAGTGAGCAACGCTCGAACGGCTGAGCCTCCTTTGGCTTTCTGGCTACGAAAATTATACCCTACACATCATTCGCTTATTGTGTTTCTCTTCAATACTTTGAGCAATACACCTTCATAACGAAACTGGGCAAGAAGCTCGGATCCGTCCGTGAATTCTACGGGTTGCGACGGTTCAAGCTCAACCATCTGTAATTTCCGGCCCTCAACCTCTGAAAGAACAGCACAAGAGCCCCGTCAGGGAGAGTCTTTGGATTAAGCTGAAGTTTGATCTGCCAAATGCAGGAAAAATCTTGATCGTCATCTGACATTGCATTTGAGATAACCCATTCATAATCCCTTCCCCGATCTCCGACCTGGCATCCGCACGCGCTGAATTACCTTGTGTTTGCATCTTCCTAGCTGGAAGATTCATCCAAATCTGAAGGGGCAATGACCATTTATTGTGCGCTTAGCTGACGTATTTAGCGACATACACGGCCATCCTAGCCTATGCGTGATGTGATTCTAACTAGGTCTATTATGCCACCTATGCCAGCCGACCAAAGAATAAGATTTGGGTTAGCTGATCAAAGTATCTATGCGGACATCTCTATCCACCATAGCAGTGGACTAACTGACCCGCCCCTAGATATATCCCTGATACAAAAGAGCGGTTCTCTTGTATGCAAATCTAAGCAAGATACTGTCCAAATTCCACTGAATTTAAAGATATGCGAAATAGATCCATGCATTCCGGCAAATATACACCATCACAAAAAAACGGAGCCCTGTTCCTTGTCTTCTTCCCTGGTCAAGAACACTAGAACATGTGTGTCATGAAATGACTCTCCAATCTACAAGCTAATGATTGGCAAAAAAACCGTTGACAGGGCACCAGTGAGTCCGAACCAGCACCCCGTCAGCTCTCCGCGCAAAGCCATGGCTTACATACCATTCCTGGTCCTGTCGCTTCAATCAAGGAGCGCTACCTCGATTGTCCAATCCTCCTGTGCCTTGGCAGTGAGGACCCTGTGACTGTAAGGCTTGGCACTTCACACCCAACCACGAGGCAATTTCCCGTTCTCATTAACCCATATCTCCAAACTGTTATTGTGTCTAAAATGCTACGCCATGTGTTCCTCATATTGGCATGCGTAGCGTGGATTGAGTTCGCGATTCATTTTTCACCCTATTTCGAAGTAAGTTCAATGACCCAAAACGATCACTAATCAGGTGAGACTAAACCTTTGCAGGAAATCAGTCACAGATTTTCCGTCACCAAGTTTTCTATGGCTCATGACACAGTGCCAGTCCCACCCCAGAATGAAGAAGAGCATTCTCGTCTCCTTCGCAGTCTTCAGCGATCCAGTGGAAAGTGGGATTCTTCCCACCCTCGATATCGACTACTGACGGCACTGCACGGATTTACTCAACATGAAAATAGCACCCAATCCGAGTTGAATAGATGGAGGTATCTTTACAAGAAGGCTCCAAAACATCAGAGACGAGTAGGAATCCACATATCCTCTATCTGGTTGGCACGCGGACCATGCTAATTGAACTAGCTGCTTGACTCAGCCATCAACTACACCGATAAATTGAAGAGAACGGAGAGTCTGCTCAAGATCAACGCCCGAATTGCTCGGTCAATTGCGCATACGGGGTTGCAGTTTTACAATATCACATCGACAGAGCTAGATGAATTCATCCGCGAAACTGAGGCTCAGGGCCGGCGGGCTGATCGTACTAGCGTCTCGCAAAGTATGAAGCATTTCGTGCGTGACTGGGCAGATGAGGGCTATGCCGAACGTCAGGCGTCTTTTCAGTGTATCTTGAGATCACTTTCCATAGTACCTCGAAAGGACGATAGGACCCTGCGAGTACTGTTGCCTGGGGCAGGACTTGGTAGATTAGCCCACGAAATTCAGAAACTTGGGGGTAAGTATATTATCGGCTCGCTGGAAAACATCTAACTGACCTGATCGCGGCTCCAGGGTTCGAGGTCGTGATGAATGAGTGGTCCGCATACATGAATTTGGCCTACAGGTATCTTTCTAGTCGTTCCAAACTGGACAGTGTCTCGTTCTACCCTTTTGCCGACTGGTGGTCTCACCACGCAACAACCGCAGATCTCGAGCGCCCTGTCACATTTCCCAATCAACTAAGTGACCCGTCTGTCGTGTTAATCGAAGGGGATTTCACGACGACGTTTGCTGAGCACACTGGTCAATATGATATCATAGTGACCTTATTCTTCATCGATACGGCCCGTAACCTGATCTCATATATTGAAAATATCCATCGCTTACTCCGTCCCGGTGGTCGATGGATCAACCTGGGTCCTTTGATGTATGGAACGGCACCGTTTGTACAGTTATCTTTGAACGAGATTGTGACATTGTGTACGCGGATTGGGTTTGACTTCCAGGAGACAAATGATAGAGTCGGTAATATTACCATACCTGACTTGCCGGTCCGTGGGTTTGAAGTGGCCTACGGCCAAAATCCTCGCGGGTTGAACAAGAATGCATTTCAGGCGCAGTATTGGGAAGCAGTGAAGCGTTAGCTGAAATTTAATAGGTGCTTAGAATTCCAAGTTGCTCGTAGAGAATAAAATTCGATGATCGCATTCAGCCAATGGATAGAGATATGAGATTGATACAGACTATAGCTTCCCAAATTGGTTATCTGAGAAATCGTCAGTTACACCCAACAAAAGTCTGCTAGCTCAACTATACAACCCCGATGAGAGAAAATCTCTTCCTGCCCTCGTTGTTGTCGCTACTGTACGAGTCTGTGGTGAGCTTCAGCTCAGCAACAATTTGTTTTGATGGGTTGGCAGGAATTAATGAAGAGAACTAAAATGGGATTGCATTTTTTCTTATATGGCAATGCAGTATGCCTGTCAAAATTAGAGTTCTTTGGCCTTTAACCGTCATTTCGCCTACTCATACAGGCCAATACCGTCAGCTTTGTCCAAATTCAAAATAATCCAGCGAAGCAAAGCGCTCAGTCGCCTGACAAAGCTGTTGCCCAAGGTTAGCCACAGTCTTAGTTTTATCTTCGACGATACTTTAGTATATTTGACACCCTAGTATGTCCCTACTCGTTATTATGTCCCTTTTCGTTAGTGTGTCCCTACCCGTCAGTATGTCCCTACTCCCCGGTAAGGCCCTATCCGTTAGTGTGTCCCTACTCCTCAGCTCGCTAGCGCCGGGATCGTGAAGGTAGAGTATAGGAGTTAACTTATGTTTTATTTTATTTAGAGTAACTAGTATATACCTATCAAAACCGGAATATCCATATCCCGAGCCTATCCCAAACACGGGTTAGCTGATCTTGCTAGGGTTTGAGAAGGAATCGAAGAGTGTACGTGGTGACACCGGTTTCGAGACACACTATATAGGTTGCCGGAAAGAGTGTTGCAGAGCACGTAACCAGTGATGATAGTAAATCTTACGTGTTGAACAACAACTTACTGTACTGTAGCTATTTTGAGTCCCTAGAAATGAATGCAAGCAATACTTGATATCTTGAGATTTGATGATCCTTATTTGACAACTCTTGTATAATAGAAAGTAACTTACAGGGAGATTTGGTAACTGGCAACAGAAATGTCCTGCTGAACTACTAAACATGAACTAGAGAAAGGTGGTAGACGAAAGACCTCAAAAATGGCAATCACATTCTCCCCTCATATAAACTTGAAACTCTGATCCTTCATTGCTAGCTATGAAGCATTTATGCATGCTACATATAGGAATCAAATCGACTGGAGCAAACAGAGCCATGAAATATCAGGCATGATTCTTGACATCCACTTAAAGGCACGAATCGGACTTGTTGTCACCACCGTCATGACATCCCTTAGAACATTTGTCTACCACGTGAATAGACCCGTTGCTGCCGCCGTCGCAGTGGTAGAGGAAGTAATCATAGTTAACCGTCTTAGGATCGGTACCATATTCATCGATAGCCTTTAGAATCTGCTGGTGGTAGTCGCCTATTAGAGGTTAACATGATTTAAGTAAAATGATTAAGGCATTAAATTTCTCAAGTACCTTTACCCATGAGGGTGAAAGAACAGTAGTTAAGGCCCTCTTGACAATTCTTTGCAACGGCCAGAGAGGCGAAAATGGTAAGGGCTGGGAGAATGAACTTCATATTGAAATTGCTGGTTTGGGTAAAAACTGGATCTTTCGGGTGGTTTGGATGATGAGGAGGCTGCTGGATGATAGAGAACAGCGAAGGGATCACTACCCCCTTTATACTTTTTTCCTATACCCTGGCGCAAAGCAGTAATGCGTCTTTTGGTAGCCTCGGCACACGTAATGACAACTATTTTAAGGCCCCCGGTCCGAAGTATACGAAACCAAAGGCAAATGTTTGGGTCTGTGAATTCCGGCCTATATTGATGCCGGATGGCATCATACAACTTATGGGGTGTGCACTAAACTTGCTGCGCCCTAATCCACCTAACCCCCTTTGACATCATGTTACTATGTTTGATATCGATGTTGGGTTTAAGAATCCTTATTGATCTGCAAATTGGAGATACAAAATGAACGGAGTGGCGGAGACCCTAGAGCTCTACCAACGACCCAATAAGCTAGGCAGAATTCTTCGCCCCCGGACTTCATAGTCCTAAGGAATGAGTGGATCGATATGAAACCCCAAGCAGAAAGTACGTACGTTCTATGAAAAAAGAGAGATTTGATAAACAGACCCTGGTGGCCCCATGTATCATAGGGGCTGTAAAGGAACGGGTCCGACCCCACGACCCTTACACATAGGGGGCCGCGAAGGAATGCATTGCCCCCCCCCATCCATCATAGGGGCTGTAAAGGAACAGGTCCGACCCCACGACCCTTATACATAGGGGGCCGCGAAGGAATGCATTGCCCCCCATCCATCATGGGGGCCGTAAAGGAACGGGTCCGACTGGCTCCCACGGCCCTTACACGTAGGGGGCCGCGAAGGAATGCATTGCCCAAAGAAAGACACGAATGATTCAAGGAAAGAAAGCCGAAGAGAAACTGACGGTCGTCGCTATGTTAGAAGATTCCTGGATTATACTTGCCTGAGTGCATCACCAGAAGTTGATCATGGTGGAGTCTCAGCCGGTCAATGCCTGATTCATCGAGACGGCCTTGCGGACTCATACTGATTGGCGTGCGTTCGTTTCATTCCGCGTTGAACGCACAGGGGCGAGATGCGCTAGTTGAAAGCTTCAATGATCCCAAGTCGGATCTACGAGTGCTTGTCATGACATACGACGTTGGCACAGTCAGATTGAATCTGCATGTTGCTTGTGACTGCATTGTGCTGTTGAGTCCGGGCAAAAGCTAGGGGCAAGAGCCCCAAGCAATCGGGCGATGCCTTAGAGTGAGTTTCCTTAGAACTTCGGTTTAGGAACTAGTGTGTTAACAACCCTCTTTTTATAGGTGACTCCAGATTACACCGTGACTGTAATTATGTACCACTTATACGTAAACAACTGCAATTCGGGGCATTGGAAAATGGGCATAAAAGAGGTGAAAAAAGAGAGGCCATAAGTGGGCCGAAAACAATGAAGGAAATGGCAAACTCGCTTCGAGGATTTCGTGTAAATACTGTCCAATACTTCAACAATGGCACAGTATACACATTTATGGCCTCTGTTGTAATCTAACTTCGTTCCACTTTTTAGACTCCGAGACCTATGGCTAGAGACTAATAACCGGCCTATGCGTTCCCAGTCGTTGAAGAGGGAAGATGGCTCCTTTTGACTTGGTGGCAAGCGAGCATCATAGCCTTCATGATAATCATCACGGGTCTTAGCTCGGATCGCTCCTCGACAATCTTTTCGACATAATCGCTGATCCGGGTCACTGAAGTGAGGTCTGGCTCAAGGTCACCACGCTCAGGATTCCCGATAATATCCAAGCATACGATGAAAAAGGGAATGAACTGGTGGAGTAAAATAAGACTGTATTTGTTGGAGGCCATTAATGACACAAGAACCATATTCAAGTTTGACGTGGGCTTTTGCATACCTTATTCCCCAAAATGCCTGTAACGAAGATCCTAGGAGGGACTGGAACATTTGTATCGATTTTCGAGAGATATCCACAGCTTCACGTGGTAGCTTGTGTCTGTCTTGGTCGGACTTCTTCGATTGGTGAAGAACGATGAGGAATTTATAGCTGCTATAAACCATGTCCACACAGAACCATGTGTCGATCTGGGTCTTGGCCATTCGAAGAAGCTCGTCCTTGGCGAGGTTAGCAAGTGTGATCTGTCAACGACATTATCGGATCATATCATACTGTATCCCAATCAGACATTATCAACTGCACCTCCTCAAGAAAGCTGTCAACTGTTGTATCATGCAAGACCGGATCAGGATCTGGCCCCGCGTCAGTCCAGTCTAGGTACTTCATCTCGACTAGGGCAAGTCGCATAGAAGCCAGAAAATGAATTTGAATGAAATGAGAAGATTCATCATCGACTCCAGTGATCGTGGGGTCTGGAAAATTGACCTTCCAGGACCCCGCCGGCATGAGAGTCGGCTTGCCGAACGACATCCGGAATAGACAATCTGTTCGCAGTAAGTGCCAGAACTCGAATCGTTTCCGATTTTTGTCCGTTTCGGTTTCTCCGTTTGTCGATCTTTGCGAGAGAGACGGCTGTCCGTCTGCCTCTCCTGGATTTCCGTCCACGGAGAAATACCCCAAGGCCTTGGCGATCGTGCAGGCATGGCCAAGCATCTTCCAGGCCACTTCGCTATTGCAGGCTTCGAGCGCCATGGATACCTGGTACGTGGTCAGCCCAGCTTGATCACGATTGGGGTTTCATAGCTCCACTTGCCATTATAACTGCCACAAAGAGGTCGGCATAGGTATTCTGAATGTGGTCCAGCCAGCAATTGGTGAGGGCAAAGCACTTTCTGTACAGACTTGTGATAAGTCCGCCGTTATCCTTATGAGAGCTGGGATCCAGTACAATCCCTTGAAGGCGAACAGTATGATAGATGATTTGCGACGTATAGTCAAGCTGAATGTGGGGGTTTTCTAGTAGGTCCGGGATGGAAAGCAAAAGCTCTTTTCCAGGGGAATTTTGAATCCTTCGAATTGGTAACTCTCGTAATAATCTGAGCCACATGTTAGAAAACAGGCGCATATAAACAATGGACGAACTTGCTTTGAATGAAATTCTTCGCAAGGTCGTTTGGGATTTCGGGACTCGCTGGTGGCTGGTTGTCATGTTCATTCTGCAGATAATCAATTTCAGACATTGCAGCAGCGATGGCCTCAACGCAGCGTTCGTTTTCAAAAAAGCACGATTCGACCCTTCGCAGGTGACTGAAAACATTGGACAGAAGTAGTGCCCGACTCTGTGGGTTCTTGATATGACTCAAGATACCTCCAATCACGCCAGGCATGCTCGGAGCATGGGACTTGTCCGAGGATACAGGTTTAGAGGGGCCCGAATCGATGGACGAAAATGACATCGGACTACCGGCATGTTCATCGATGTCTGGAGACTTCTCCAAGCCACAGTGCTCTTCCAGACGTTTGAGGCGGCGAAGAACATCTAATAGAACACCATTCTCAGTGACGTCGTTCCTATGGTCTGTCAGGCAAAACGTCCGGTCTATTGAGTCTAAATCATGGGCAAGTAGTTACCCTTGTTTCTTGGTTCGCGGCTTGCGTGACAGGTATGCACACTCGGCTCCAATAGATTCGCATTTGTCACATCGAGGGGCGACTCGATTGCATCGAATCTAGAAACCTTGTTACTCTGGTATGTGACGTCCGGAGTACAAAGAGTACCTACTTTTCTGGACTGGCAGCGACGGCACTAGCAGGTCTTGGTCAGGATCCAACCAGTACTGTCAGATAAAGGGGCTCACCGAGATATTCTTCAAGTGGCTGGTGCTCATCTTGTGGTATAAAAACGGGCAAGAATGAAGAGGCGGGAATAGCAGAGTCCGAAAGACCGAAAGACACGGGAAAAAGGTGGGCCGCAACTCCGGGAATAACGTGAGTCCGAAAGTCCGGGGTCCACTTTGCTCTAGTCTAACCAGATGGAGATATTGATGCCTTGGCTATTCTACTCTTCAGCCTAGCGATCAGTGCCCTCTGCGGCCTATTAGAGTCAGACAAAATCGCCGGTTCATTATCCGGATACCCATGTTCTCGTATTTTCTTATATGAAGGCAGTTTACAGCCGCCTTTAAATATATCCTGAGTGAACCCCTCTATGACCTATGCTTTCCTTCACCCGTGACAAGCTCGTGTCTATGCGGAAATATGGGTATTTCCTCGAATATTCCTCTACATGATACTATGACACAGAAATACGCTACGTTCGAAGAGTCCGGTTTAGCATCGACAGATGCTCACCCCGACGATCAGGTCATCGACCTTTCCAAAAAAACTCCCGAGGTTAAAGATGCCGCCGAGCAGTCTACCTCGCTCAAGGATTACTTTGTATGCCCCGTTTACCTAGTGAAATCCTAATGTGATTAATCTGATTGTGCCTGATAAAACCCAGAGAATCCTCTCATATACGACTACCAAAGATCGGATGGTCCTCGCGGTTGCCTTGATATGCTCTGTGGGGTCTGGTGTGGTACGTATCTCGCTATATTCTCATACGAAGCCAAATGAATCTGACACTAATCTTGCATCAGCCCCTACCGATCATGAACATCATCTTTGGTGGACTAGTTGGCGAATTCAGTTCATATTTTACCCCTGGAACCTCGACCACTGAAGCCCAGTTCAAAGCGTCGGTTAGTCGGCTAAGGTAGGTAAAAAGTTCTTCTCTTCTAAATTCTACGCGCCTGACCCTTGAGAAGTTTGTATATTGTCTATCTCTTCATTGCAAAGTTCACCTTGACATATTTCTCCATGGTAATAACCAGCCCAAGCCCCAAACTATTCAGTATTTTGAGGAAGCTGATCTGTTCTACCCCAGTACTGCTTCCGTGTTATCAGTCTTCGGGTTTCAGCCGCTTTGCGACTGGAGTACATGAATTCGCTTTTCGCTCAGCCAATCAGCAAAATAGACCAAGTCTCAGTTGGAACTGTCGTCAATACAATCACCACCCTCTCCAATTCAATCCAGCAGAGCATATCAGACAAGCTGGCCATTCTCTTCCAATCCTCCGCCCTCTTGATTGCTGCATACATCATTGCCTTTAAATACTCATGGGCCCTCACTCTCGCCACCAGCTCTTGCCTTCTGTTCATCCTCGTCGTCTGCAGCCTGACCTTGCCCGCTATCTCTCAGATCCAACAAAAGACGGATAAGGCGGATGAAAAGCATTCAGCAATTGCAGCAGAAGTCTTTGGTTCCATTCGGACGGTCATCTCGCTCGGTGCCGAAGCGCCTCTGGCGAAGAAATATCGACAATGGGTTACAGAATCCCGAGACAGAGGTCGAAACATGGCTATAATCATGGGTTTTCAGTTTGGTCTCATTTTCTTTGCCATGTATGCTAGTTACTCACTGGCATTCTGGCTTGGTCTCAAGCTCTACCGGGAAGGTCACATCCGTGACATTAATACGGTCATCATGTAAGTGAATTCGCGCAAACATTGCTCCCATTGCTGATTGCGACTCACAGCGTCTTCTTCTCGGTCATGATTGCGGTAAGTGTCCTTGGAAGCATTGCAACACCGTTGACGATGGTGTTCAAGGCGGCCAGTGCATCGACCACCTTCTTTGAAATTATAGACTCAGAGAAGATTTCCCCTGGCGGTCTTCGTGACTCTGAATCGCTAGCTCAGGGTGATATCATCTTTCAAGACGTGGACTTTACGTACCCCACAAGACCGGAGAGCAAAATCTTTCGGGGACTAAACGCTCGATTCGAAAGAGGCAAAACCACAGCATTGGTGGGTCCATCGGGGTCTGGAAAAAGCACTATCGTCGCTCTTGTCGAGCGATGGTATACCCCGGAAGGAGGAAGTATCTCCCTGGGCCAGCGAAACATCGAAGAGTTGGATGTCAAATGGTGGAGATCCCAAATCGGACTCGTACAGCAAGACCTGTTTCTCTTCAATGATACAATTTCCAAGAACATCTCATTTGGCCTTGTCGGCACGAAATGGGAGAATGAGTCTGATTCTGTGAAAGCCGAATTAGTGAAGAATGCATGCAAAGAAGCCTTTGCAGACGAGTTTATCGCGCGTCTCCCAATGGTATGTCAATTGCGTTCCTAGCAGCTGCCCTTTGTCTAACCTTTCTAAGGGGTACGACACAATTGTGGGAGAGAACGGCACCAAATTGAGTGGTGGTCAAAGACAGCGTCTGGCAATAGCCCGAAGCATCGTGAAGGAGCCTACCATTTTGGTTCTGGATGAAGCTACTAGCGCAATTGACGTCCGTGGAGAGAAGATTGTCCAGGCAGCCCTTGATCGCGTCTCCGAAAATCGCACCACAATTGTGATTGCACACAGGCTGTCCACTGTTCGGCGCGCCGATCGCATTCTGGTGCTTAGGGACGGTGTCAATGTCGAGGAAGGGACACACGAGGAGCTTCTTGACATGGAGAATGGGCTTTACCGAGGTCTTGTCAACGCTCAAAAACTTGAGAGCGCTACAGAAGAAGAAGCCGATCCAATGGAGATCACAGAAGTCTTGAAGGAGGAACTTGATAATTCCACTCCTGCCACCTCTGAGCAGCCACAGTATGAGGACAAGGAGAAGGTGAGACAACGTGGCTTCTTTAGAAGTACTGGGGTTTTTATCTACGAAGCACGGAGACACTGGTTACTTTGCCTGACTGCTTTACTTGGGGTACTAGGTGCTGCATGTAAGTCCTGTACTTTATACTCACTGTGCTGGGCTAACTTGTGAATCAGCTGCCTTCCCATTACAAAGTTGGCTATTTGCAAATCTCATCGATGTGTTCCGCCTCACAGGAGAAAAGCTGAGCGACGCTGCAAATTTCTGGGCATTGATGTTCTTCATTCTATCTCTAGGCATCGCAGCCTGCTACGCCGTGGTCGGATACTCAGCCAACAGACTCTCCGTTGTCAGTGTTCTATGCATTTATCCAAGATACGAAAAACTACTCTAACACACCTTTAGGAAATATCCTCCTCTTGTCGAACAGAATACTTCCAAAACATTCTGAGAAAGCCAGTTCCGTTCTACGACTTGAACGAAAATGCCTCCGGCTCCCTGGTCTCGCGTCTAGCCACAGATCCCAAGCAGATTCAGGATATGATCGGGCTGAACGGCATTTTTCCAATCATTTCGGTCTGCAGTACGATAGGATGCATCGCAATTGCTTTCTCTTTTGGCTGGAAGCTGAGTCTCGTGACTGTGTTCGCTGCTCTTCCCTGCATCTTCCTTGCTGCATTCATGCGCATCCGATACGAACTGGAGTTTGAAGCCCTAAACGCGGAGGTATACTCTGGTAGCTCCCAGTTTGCAGCAGAAGCTATCGAAGCATTCCGAACCGTTTCGGCGTTGACCATGGAGCGTTCTATCTTGGATCGGTACTCGGATCTCTTAAAACAACAACAGAACAAAGCTTTCCGCAAAGCCTGGCTAGCCACACTGGTGTTCGCTTTCTCCGATAGCGTGGAACTCTGCGCTATGGCGCTTACATTCTGGTACGGCGGCCAGCTTCTCGCGTCCAGAGAGTACCAGCCCGCCTCTTTTTTTGTTGTGTATATGTCAATCATTCTCGGTGGGCAACAGGCAGGTCAATTCTTTAGTTTTGGGCCGAACATTGCCCAGGCTACATCATCCGCGAATCGGATTCTGAATTTCCGACCGGCTTTGGAGGACATGATTGCTGCTTCCGGGCAGCGCATGGCTGATCAATCCCGCAGGTCCGGAGCTCGCATTGATTTTCGAAATCTTGGGTTCAAATATGCATCACAGGAAGTTCCCTTGTTCACGGGTCTTGACGTTACCATCGAAAGTGGCCAGTTTGTCGCATTTGTAGGGCCATCGGGGTGTGGTAAGACCACCCTGATATCCGTACTCGAGCGGTTCTACAATCCGTTCCTAGGAACAGTTCTCCTTAACGGCGAGGATATCAGCTGTTTCGATCCAGCATCATACCGAAGATGTCTGTCACTGGTAGCCCAAGAGCCACGACTGTTCGAAGGCACGGTCCGCGATAATATCATACTCGGACTCGACACCTCAGAGTACACGGAAGAAGAACTGGTCCAAGCATGCATCGATGCGGAGATTCACAGCTTTATTACATCCCTTCCAGACGGATATTCCACAGAACTAGGGATCAAGGCACAGACAGCTCTTAGTGGAGGCCAGCGACAACGACTGTGCATCGCGCGCGCACTATTGCGGAAACCTTCTTTGCTCCTCTTAGATGAGGCAACATCAAGCCTTGACTCGCAATCCGAGAAAATCGTCCAAGCTGCCCTTGAACGGTTGGCTGCACGGAGGAATATGACAATTATTGCGGTTGCGCACAGATTGGCGACAATCCAAAAGGCAGATGTCATCTTCGTCTTTGGGGAAAGTCAGAATGGGAAAGGGTCGCGAGTCGTTGAACGGGGCTCACATCAGGAGTTGCTCCAGAACAGGGGGATGTACTGGCAGATGGTTCGTACAATATTCCTTTCTTTGCTTTTTACTTTTGGGGCTTGCTAACCGTACGTCAACGTTGTAGTGTCAAGCAAATGGGCTAGATCGATGAAGGCCTTCAGTGTTCATTTTGCAACAAAATGTATTCCCCCGAAGGGATACGTATGTGGACTATATAGAGTGAAACCTTCCTGAGCACATCAGAAAATGCTGGGGCCCAGAATTCTGTATGATAGCATTATAATTGGCTACAAATGAATGAGCAAATGCTGCTGTAATTTACACCCAGAGACGTCCAGCTCCCTCGAGTAAGCATGGCCCCACGGTTCGACAAAGTATGGTGTTAGCAGATAAAGGGTAGACGGATCCTACGACCTGGTTCCGGGCTGTGTCGAAGATGATGGATGGAAGCGATATGGTAGTAGCTTCTTGCTTCTCGCTGCCAGTGTCACTCTGCTCGACTCCCTCATCTCGCCGCTTCAGTCGATCTTGGTCACACCCGAGACGGTTAAATCCCCCGGTGAAGGGAAATTCACCAACTGTGAATCACGCACATTACAGATAACGTCCCTCAAAGTCATGTATGGGATATGGACGAAATGGACAATGGTCAACATAATTTGAAGATGCGGGGATCGCTTGTAAATGTAATCGCAGACGAGGTGCAACCGCTATGGTACAATTCGAACACCAGTTGCGAATTCACCAAGGATGGAACCAGCTGTACGGCACTCAACCAGCTATGCAGTGCTGGATTTGTGGTGTTGGAGAACATATCTGGTTTCGCGGCGCATTGTACGCGCAGTTGCCCAATGCTTTTGATATTACCGGGCTAGATTATTTAGCTGTCCCTTTTTGCTTTACATTTCACCCATATACCCTTGCTCTCAATATTTCACCTCTTCAATCACCAACTAGCAAGTATGTTATAGGTCTACAAGATTAGACTTTGCGTAGCTCACAAAATTGAGTTAAGTCATGTGTAGACGCCACGCCGCTCTGGTCATCACGGCGCACCGACCTAACTCTATCAAAGCCTGGCCAAAGTTGGAGATATTCCCCGCTTGCAGGTAACTCGAGCCGCGTCATATGTCTGTTGTGGATAAACATTTCCTTCGTTTCAGTTAGTCAAATCTGTTCATACTATAGAAATTCAAAGGCGATAGTAAAACGAGGAGCTGGAATGGAGTTTGTTAAATTGGGATCATGATCAAAGTTATATACTCATGTTGCGTTGGAGCAAACGATCTACTCTTTGGTATATGTCTGATTCATCTAACTATTTTATTTCTGAGTGCGACGGCTACTCGCTGAACTCGACCGTCAACAAGTGAGCATAAATATATAAGATTGACCTAATATTCAAGATTGCAACCAAAAGTCTGACTATAAACGACACTAAACGTCTGTTCTTTCCAACATTCATGCCTTCAAAGCCAATCTCAGCTAAGGCGGGCGTGACGATCCTCCGCACGCTGCTTTCGCAACCGCGAAGCATACCTGACGCCAAAGCCATGCTTGAAAACCTCGCGAATCTCTTCAAGTTGTAGTCCCGACATCTCAGGGTAAAAGAATATGATCATCACCCAGCCTATGAAGGTTAGGCATGCATAGAAGCCAAAGGCGCCAGATGGCGTGATGCCCTTCATCATGGACAGGAATGTCGAGGAGACAATGAGATTTGAGCCCCAACAGCAGCAAGTCATATACATTGTGCCGACGGCGCGAACTTCCATAGGGAAGAAATCTGCACTCATCCAGGCTGTGTTGCCAATAGACACACCATAGAAGAGCACAAAGAAAATGATAAATACTAGAACGATGATGGCGGGTGTTGTGACGGATTTTGTTGTCACTTCTAGCGTCTCCAGGTTCACGGGGATGTATGCGAAGGAGACTGCAACTGCGACTAGGCTGGCTGACATGCCCCAGGAAGTCATTACTAGGAGTCGTCGACGGCCAAAGGAGTCCACGACTAGCATGTTGACCAAGGTCATTGCTAAATTGGTTCCTGATACAACAAGGCCCACGGCGACCGGGTTGGAGAAACCGACTAGAGCGAAGAGCGTTCCGGAGTAATACATCAGGACATTGAAGCCTGACATCTGACTGATGGTCACTTGACGACGTTAGTTTCAGAGACGGAGACCTCGGGGAAGACAGGGTACACTTACTCAAACCACAGGCACACACCAAAGCACGGAAGTAGGCAGGGGTTGTGTGGAGTTGCTTCACGATAGAGAATCGAGACTGATTACCAGTAGATGCCCGAGATTCCCGGACACCGGCTTCAATCAGCTGGATTTTATCCTGAACCTGTTCAGGAGTAGCCGCCCTGAATATACGGTGTAGAACTGCTCGAGCTTCCTCGTGTTTGTCGTGGTAAATCAACTGGCGAGGCGACTCCGGGCACAGCGGGAGCAAGATGGCCAGTAGTACACTTGGAACGCCACCCAGGCCAACCATATAGCGCCATCCATGGGGAACGCTAGCAAAAGCAGCACCGAGTCCATAACTTACGACTTGGCCTCCGGTGATGCTAACATTGTTCAACCCGATCATTCGACCTCGGTGCTTGGTCGGTGCAATTTCGGCAATATAGGCCGGCACAATCATTGCTGCAGAGCCAACTCCAAAGCCAACAATCAATCTGCCAATTGCCATTTGTGGGATAGAGTATGCAGTGGCTTGTAAGACGGCTCCCACCGTGAAGAGAGCACATCCAATGTACATTGGCCCTTTCCGTCCATATCGATCGGCTGTCAGACCTGCGATAATGGATCCCACAAACGCCCCGGCAGAGCAGAGAGATGTAATCAGCTCCTTCTCGCTGGCTGACAGTAGATGGCCCAGACTGTCTTCGAGGTATACCAGGACGGCTGAGATGATTCCGGTGTCGTATCCGAATAACATGCCACCGATAGAGGCAGTTAATGCGATGAGCCAGATGTACCAGCCCGCGTCGGTGTGCTCGATCTCATCAAGCTCGACGGCATCATGGATTGAGGCTTTCGCCACTTCGATCTGGGTGCTGTCGGGCACCAAATCTTTGTCCTTTTCGAACGATTTTCGCCCATCGTTGAGCGATGAAGACGACATGATTTAGGTGTGGTAGGTTGGAATTCAGCGACGCGAAAATTGATGCTTGCATGGCTATTGAATGAGGCTGGATGCTTCCTTTTATACCTGAGAAACCCAGTCAAGGCATGTCTCCGTAGTCCAAAATCGGCAATTCTGCCCTGTGGGGACTTGAAAACCTGGGGTAATGCGGGGAACAAGCCGGGGAAGATTCCTGACAGCAATCACCGCCGAGATGGCCCTAAATACACATTCAAAGGCCAAGTCTTGTATTTTGTCAGCCTTGGCAGTCAAGATCTCCTTTTTGGGTAACTCACCCCCAAACTCACTTTGCGACTCGAATGTGTTCCTATTGGCTGACATTGCGGACACAACCCCTTTCATTGGTGGTCGCTGTGTATGGCACCATGAAGAATGCAGATGTGGCAAGACTGTCGTATCTTACCAAAGAGGGAAATGCACGGCGGCCAGTGCCCCGTAGGCAGACTATTTTGAAACAATGGTATATCCCTCAACCTTCTTTTATGGCAAAAAGTGACGATAACGAGGAGGCGTTTTTAAGTTAGGTGTGCATGTGCGACCGGTGAAAAAGGAATCAGAATTTCAAGGCGACTACTCGACAGTAAGATGGATCTGGCAGATTTCGTACGAATCATAAAACAACGTGGAGATTAGACCGTATGCCATTCTCTGTGACAAGATGACGAACATGCAGGCCATTCACCAAGCTGCAAGCCATCATGAACCAGTAGACGATCTAATTCTCTTAGTTATGCTCCAATTCCCAACCGCTACATTTCAAGTACGCGCTATCACTAGAATAATTAGTTGCCTTCTTGCAAAGACTCAGGTTGAGAGTACAACTGTGCGTAAAGGCGCCCGTGATTGCTCATTATGCTTTGTTTGCCTGCCTGGGACTCAGTACACTATCTGATTCAGTGGCATCGGGCGCTAACATTGAGGCTCTGCAATAGGAAAACACATCAGTATGGTATATATAATCTGACAGTTCGTTCTTTCTCTGTAAGGTCCAATAGATACAGGAAGTCTCTGCCCCAACGAAATCGCACTCATGACAGAGCAGAAGAGATACCTGACTGCAGAGGAGTTCTAAGTAGGTAACTATATTTTTTTGACTGGTGGGTGAACCATCACTAACGATTAATCCAAGGCCTGGCAGCACTCGCATTTGCACCTATCGGTGATCATCGTAGGCGGATTTTTTGCCGCGTCTTACCTGGAAGATCTTGAGCACTGGCGGCGATATTCGTTACCTGATTGACCCGGAGTTTGCTAGAGACAAGGAAATCGGAAACTCTCTTCTTGAGGCTATTTCCCGCGTCTCCAACCGACTTGACTACAGACCTGACTGTTTTCGTCACCAGTGGCTCGGCAGACTCTTTTTACAGGAGCCCAGAAAGAGGGGATCACGCTATTCAGAGGGCCTGGAGATTCTAAGAGCGCCTCTCGAATGGGCACTTGAAAGCAAGCTGCGGAGAACCCACGCGGTGAATCGAGACCGCAGGGCAGAACTTGATATGTCAGCCGCACTCTCCATTTTGTGGTATCTAAGAGATCGTGACATGGTCTACTTGACGCCGAATCGATTGGCAAAATGAATGTGAACGGGTTCGATGTCCTCCCAGATGGTGCAACAATGGAAGTAATATCATGCAAACATCGCCGCATGTACATGAAAATATTTCTAAATAGGGAGAAATTCATGAGTCAAGGGATGGTAAAAAGAAAATGATCGCTTTAATTTCGGTGTTGGAGGTGGGTCAGGGGGTCATTCATACCAATGGAATCGTGAATTTCCCCTAGATGGTATAGGACCAGCCGGTGTTTGTGATGATATTACGTCGGAAATGGGACCTTGCCATTTTCCTTAAGCTCCAGATTCCCCTGTGTGTCTGGCTTCTCTTGTGGTACAGATTGTTTCAATAGCTCCTTGTCAATTGGCGCCACATGTTTCGTCCAGCCAGGCAATTCCTCGGCGTCAAAGGCCGGGAAAGGGTCGTCACTCCGTCCCCGATAAACTTGTTTGCAGTTTCTTGGGAAGCCTAGACCTAGCTTTCAATTAAGTGACTTCCGTATTCCTCGACGATACACGCAACAACGGCATAACGAAGTGGATCAGTGTCTTCGGAATCTGGAACATCGCGCGGCATCCAGTCACATCGTTAAACAAAGTATTCCGTTTCATACCCCCATCAATTCGTATGGGTCAGCGAGATGAAGCTCGTAGATCCGGAAGATAGATCATAGTGGTGTGTCGGTGTGTCGCGCATACGCCAGATGGGAATGCTTTGGAGATTATGCAAATCATCAAATCGAGTTTTAATTGGCCAGGTCTCATTCTTCTGGTCGTCAGTAAGCTCACTGAGAGAGCACGGATCCGGGATTAGAAAGAATCAAGATAGATATGGGATGAATATGCGGAGGAGAGTGAGAAGGATTCTTCTTGCGCGCCCTGAGACGCAGGAGACCACCGCGTATATCGAGAGGTAAACTGAGGTTGCGCAGCTAAAACTTAATGCCCGAAGAGGCGGTTTCCGTCGTGATGTACGCATGATGCTGAAGTTGGCCAGTCTGTGGGGAAGGAGAGAAGTCGCGCGTTTACGCTCCACACTCACTCTAATACTTGATCTGTTTGCACTCTGTATAGTCATAACCACGTGCAGTTCTGAACTACAAGTAACATAACAGCATGCTCCGTTTAAATAATAGTAACGAAAGACATGGTAAGTATTGGGATAATGTGTATAGGATTGGGCAGTATTGCGAGTTATCAAGGCCAAATAAGTTGATATAACTCTGGGAAGTCCCTTAATATCGAAATAATCCGAAACTTATCTTGCACGAATTCCTTTGTATATACCAGATCACAGCTTTGATACATAATCCGGTCTTAGCCATTTCATCAGGTCATCATTCTGTACCCTATCCATGACCATGGGCTCCAACGTGAGTCTCACTTCCCATGCTCCCGGACAGCCTTTTCCGGGGGCTGGCAATATCCAGCTAGATCCAGAAAATCGGTTTTCTGGTATATCAATGTCTTTCAACGCTCCAAGGCACGTGCCAAAATCAAGCTCATAAAAATTCACTGGCCGGAAGGTGCTGACGAAGATGTCGCCCAGACGAGGGGTCGAAGTCCAGTCCTCTCTTCCGACAAAATCTGAGAGCAAGTCGCGAACGTAGTCATTGGTGACACACTGTATGGCCTTGTGGATCGATTCTGCGAGATTTGCAAGAAGGGAGACATCGGACAACCCAACAGTACCTGAGCTGCGAGAGTCGTAACTAGAAAGAGTCATGGCAGAGATGATCGGTTCGATACGGATATATGCTTCCGTAGTAACCACCACATTGCCTATATACGACATAGGTATATTTGGCTGTAGCTTAGAGCGGGTGTCAGATACGACCACTAGACAAGACTCGTCTACACTTTGCTCTTCTTGTGTACTTCTTAGGCCAAAGCGCGCGCGAATGAAGCAAAACCACAAAACAGCCATAACAATAGTGTTGCTTGAAAACTTGATGCGTAGAGTGGCAGAACATGAGTTTCTTAGCTTTGCAACCTTCTCCGCGTCTAGGACAAGCCTTGCAGAAACTGGGTCCTGGGAATCTATGCCTGGTGCGGGAAACCAATCTTTCAAAGACAGTGCCTTTGTGTTGCGAGAAGACGCAGCCTCAAAAATTGCTCGTCGGCATTGGGCTTCTTGCAAAACATCGGTTTCGAGAAGGTTGGGCGGTGCGCCTGGATCTCTGCAGCATACTGCAAGGGACTTTGCGACGTTCCATACGCCCACACCGTCCACTGCCATGTGATTGAAGGTGAAGCAGAGAAAGACTCCGTCGACCATGACATTGGCTTGAAATCGAAAGATGGGGCTCAAATCCTCCGCTGCTTGTTCAAAGGCAATCGGAAGAAAGGCCTCACTCAATAAGCTGTCTTTGGCGGCGCAGATGGACTGTTCATGGTGTCTTATCTTCAGCATCGGATAGTCTTCTAAAAACTCTGCCGTTGGAGGCTGAACCTCGAACACATTTTCCTTGCCCTGCAACTTGTCGGAGAGGGTGATATTTCCGGATAAAAACGGAAGGAGGGTGACCAGCCGAGAGACCCCGGCCTCTAAGACAGAGATAGATTTGGGAAGATCATCGGGAGTGAAAGTGAAAAAGCCAGAAAAATGGACAGGGGCGGTAGAGTGATCAAAAGGGGTGAGCACATACGGCTCGAAGGTAGGAAGAGATGACATTCTATCCGCTCATCGCCCGAACCCAAACTCTGCTATTGGAGGAAGATATAAAGCAACCGACCCTCGTCTAAGCCTCGTGATTGAGAAATGTTGTCACTTTATGGCTTGGTCACCCAGGGTAAAAGGTATGACCACAGAAGCTAAATTAGAAGAATGGGGAGATAGCGTGCTGTGCATATCGTAATATGCAAGGGCGAACGGTATTCGAGCGTCAAAAGTCGGTGAAGCTGCACATGTTGTTTGATAGATGAGATGAGCGCCGCTTACAAGGCGCATGGTGGATTGCGGACTAAACTCAATTTGGGATGATACGAAGTACATGCATCATGCATCGATATAGTGCTTAGAACCCTGTAGGTCTAGCAGGATCATCTTGCCCTATTCAAATTCAGTTCGCTTAGGCAAAGTTTAAAGAACCTACAATGGATATGCAAAGGGAAAATGTAAGTGTATTGTGCATGAGTAACGATCGACAACAGGAAAGAGAGGAAAGAATGATCTGTCGGTGACCCTGTCATGTAGTGGGCAATAAAGGTTGCTGGTCGGAACTGGCTGATAATGCTGGGTGTCACCGATGAGGCTCCGAGGACGCCACGCCGTTTTACTCGCAGCCAGCAGTCATTTCCTTCGTCCTAGTTGCCGGTGGGTATTTGGATTGCCAACTTTCGAGACCAGCAACCACCAACGAAAAGCCACCGGTTCCTCGAAATCAGCAGAACACGATTACATAAGTGTGAAGTATGGAGTTAACGTAATTCACTACCGAGCTGATCACACCACCGAGCTGATCACCCCACCAAAAACGCGTCAATGAATTAGACTCTCTCTATTCAACCACCCACTATGCCACCAATTCGTACTCAATCCTCTCAAAAACGTACGGAGCAAGAGGGTAGGATCTTATTAGCTATTCAGGCTATTTAGAAGCAAGAAATTACCTCACTCCGCGAAGCAGCGCGCTAATTTAACGTACCGTATTCAACTCTTATAACACGCCTGCATGGGGTTCAAAGCCGCGCGTCTTCGCGCGCAAATTGTCTAAAATTGACTGAAATTGAAGAGGAATCTCTTAAAAAATGGATTCTCTCTATGGACTCTCGTGGAGCAGCCCCTCGGCCTTCTTCTGTACGAGAAATAGCCAATTTGCTACTTATAGCGCGCGGATCTACCCCTCCTTTTTTAGTCGGTCAAAATTAGGTTACAAAATACGTTAAAAGGCATCCCGACCTTTCCTCCCGATTCTCGAAAAGCTATAATTTTAAACGAGCTAAATGCGAGGATCCGAGGATTATTTCTAAATGGTTTTCTCTTGTTTAAAAGACGATTCTAACGTACGGGATCGACCCCGACGATATCTATAACTTCGACGAGACCGGTTTTGCAATAGGCTTAATTACGACCGCGAAGGTTATCTCGAGAAGGGATGTCTACGGTCGGCAATCGCTTATACAGCCCGGAAATCGCGCGTAGGTGACCACAATTGAGTGTATAAACGCGTCGGGGTGGGCGCTTCCTCCGTGCGTGATTTTTAAAGGCAAAGTTTTTATCGAATCTTGGTTCGACGGCCTTCCGGAAGATTAGAGACTCGAGGTTAGTCCTAACGGATAGACCTCCGACGAAATTGGACTTCGATGGCTTAAAAAGCTCTTTATTCCGTCTACTTCTTCGCGTACGAAGGGGAAGTATAGACTTTTAATACTCGACGGCCACGGAAGTCATTTAACCCCGGAATTCGATAAAATTTGCGAAGAAAACGATATTATCGCAATTTGTATGCCTCCGCACTCGTCTCACCTTTTATAGCCTCTCGATATAGGCTATTTTACGGTGTTAAAGCGCGCGTACGGTCGACTTATCGAGTCAAAAATACGGGCTAGAATTAACTACATCGATAAACTAGACTTCCTCGAAGCCTATCCGACCGCACGAATCGAGGCATTTAAATCGGAGACTATTAAGAATAGCTTCGCCGCTACTAGTTTAGTGCCTTACGACCCCGATCGAGTAATCTCGAAGCTCGATATTTGCCTTCGGACGCCGACCCCCCCTCGAGCTAGGGTAGTGATTGGGAGCTAAGGACGCCCTCGAATTACGTCCAATTACAAAAACAAGCTTCCTCAATTAAAGTTTTACTAAAACAGCGCTCGAAAAGCCCACCGAGTCCGCTTAATTGTGCGATAAATCAGGTTTTAAAGGCCTGTCAAGTTACAATGCAATCGGCAGCAATTCTCGAGAAAGAAGTAAGCGATTTACGCGCTGCAAACGAGACGAAAAAGCGAAAGAAGTCTAGGTCAGCAAGGCAGATACTTTCCAAAGAAGGTCTTTCAGTTTTAGAGGCCTCTACCTTATTAGGGCAGCCAGAGCAAGCAGTTTTAGCAGCGATACCCTATGAGGTAGGGCCGGCTCAGGCACCTTCTCAGCCACGTAAAAGAGCCTTACCGACGTGTAGTGTTTGTGGAGTTAAGGGTCATAAATTGACAGCATGTCCTAATAGATCTCGAGTTTAGTTTATTGAATTTAATGGCGTTTTGGTTGAAATAATTGGATTTAAAATTGATGGGTTTAGTAGGGTGATCAGCTCGGTGGTCTGATCAGCTCGGTGGTGTGATCAGCTCGGTAGTGAATTACGTTACAAAAGGTAGAACGGAGCATAAGACCATTGCATGTTCAATAAAAGCCCCTTGCTAGGTCCACATTCTGTCAGCCTGGCATAAACCCAAGGGAAGTCTCCCGGTTTAGATTATAATTGATTTTCAATTTGCTACGGCATCTGACTTTGACTTGGCGGTACCTCGCAAATTCCATGCAAGGAGAACGTATGTTTGGGCTGAATGAGAAATTGAGCAGGGTTGGAAAGGCTTACAATCTCCCATTTTGAGAAATGAGACCGAAACTTCCATGATATCTTAACCTATATGTTTCTTTGTATCAAGATGCGTCGGATGTGTTCGAGATCTGTCGAAGACAAACCACATTGGTGTCTTAGATATTGAATAACACCACCAAACTCATCATCGACCATCTGCAGTGTAAACAACATGACTTTCTCACTGAACCAAATTAGCGAAGGGTGAGTCTCTTTCTTGTTGCTTGATCTCACCTTGATCTTATCACCTGTCGTGCCAGTGCACCAACGTCAATATCCCCAACGCAGAGAGACACTGTTTGTTGAACGATCTTTGATACCTCAGGGAGGTATGGCTCTAGGGCTTCTTCGCTGAGATTATATTCCGCTGCCACAACCTCTCGGGGAACTCCAGCAAGAGATAGGAGAAGCGCAAAGACAACACCAGTCCGGTCCTTTCCCAATGAACAGTGAATAAGAAACACAGAATCAGGATGGGCCTTTATATGAAGAAATATACTAGCAATTACACTAGGCCTTTCTCGAAGAAGATCCAGGTAGCCTTCAGCGACAGCCTATAGGGAATCAGCAACCTCAAACTAACGCACGGAATCTTGTTGGGGTAATTCAACGGACAATGGGACCTCTAGATATATGCTCAATGTACTTAGCCAAAATGACTTTTCTTGAAAACTTTGTGTCGTGAAATGGTACCTCGACAATCTGAAAGTCCTCAATCCCTCCAGGTGAATGATCGGGTTTGGCGTAAAGCGAGTTAGCTTCTTCCGTGGTCGTCAGGCAAAATATAATCGAGATATTCAACTGATGTAGAAGCTTCCAACCGGAGGGTGTGAGATTTGAGAGATGACCAGAACGGTAAAGGAACCCGTTTCGAGTTGTTATGTTCGGATTCGAACTGGTGGGATAGCCTCCGAATTCACGGAAATTAACAAATCCTTCATCCTTGGAGTTCATTCTTGGAAATATTTAAAATAAAGGTTTCCAGTTTCTTCGTCTATCATAGGTTTGAATTGGTTGTACCTCGGGGCGAAGGAGGGTTCCAGGTGCGCATTTTTAAATGACAAACGCTCACTTCTACCTTTCGCTTGGGTTATCGCAAGGACCATACTTGTTCCAGAAAAAAACAAATTATCAAAAGAGCGGTGAAAGTCTGATGGAAAGCTTCTCTGGCATGAAGGATGCAAGGGGCGAAGATGAACGTAGACTTGTAAAAGTTTACGGAAATCAGGCCAGACTTCTACTCTGGACTAGCTTTATGAGTCTACCACCTAGATAAAGGGACACGACATCATCAGAGCTATAGTTGACAGAACTAGTGCATCTTATTAGGAGTAAATTAGAATGGATAAAGTCTCTCTCTCTTTTCTAGGACTATGGAAAATCACGGGCAATTTAAATATGGATGGGGTCATACTTTCTGACGCAAATCAAGGTGCGATCCTCAGTACACTGGACATTCGCTAAGTTGGCGATATTCCTGCGCGTATCTCATGTAGGCGATCACTCACATTAGACATCTCATATGTTCCAACAATAGTCCCTATTTATTCGTTTTCACTTTTTACCCCTTGCTCACTCACAGCTTTTATATCACGATGGTGTAACCTCTTAAAATGCCCCATTTGCCTGTCAACCTGCATTCATCGCTAGTCAATTGCATCTGCTACCTCAAAAACATTTCCACGTATCTTCCGACTTGATATAGGATGACTATCTCACCAACTGTCTCATCTCCCCAGATGCTGCAGTCTGCTGTGGCTGATACCTGTCAGCAGGTATCGGACTATCTGGCTGAGATGGGACTTCCGTTTGAGGCAAATGAGAGACTGATGCGAGTACGTCGAAGCCAATACGCTTTTCATTTTGTATACAAATTACTGACAAAGGAAAGAGTCTCAGTGCCAACACTAGGGGAGGGAATTTCCTGCGTGGCAGGACTGTCATTGATACCGCTTGGATACTCCAAGGTCACACTCTCTCCCCGACCCAGATTGAGGATATCACAATGCTCAGCTCCCTTATCGAGCTCCTCAACGCTGCATTTCTGGTTTGGGATGATATAATGGATGGATCTTCAACCAGGCGTGGCCAGCCATGCTGGTACCGCCGAGAGGACGTTGGTATGGCTGCCATTAATGATGGCCTCCTCTTGAAATCTAGCATTTATGTTATTCTCAAACACCGTTTTCGCGACCATCCAGCATATGTAGACCTCATGGACATATTCGCCGAAGCGTCCCTGCAGACCGAGCTCGGACAACACTGCGATGTCCTGGCTTCAGCAGGGCATTTGGAGCGGTTCACCTGGAAACAGTATGACTTTATCACTGCGAAGAAGACCGCCTTCTACTCTATATACCTTCCAATAGCAATCCCTTTGATTTATCTTGGTCTGGCAACTCCCACAAGACTCAAAGAATCATACGATATCTCTATGATGATGGGACTTGTTTTCCAAAGCAGAGATGACTTCCTTGATGTCTATGGCGATGCCAAGGTCACTGGGAAAGTTGGAACCGATATACAAGAGAACAAGTGCAGCTGGCTTTCAGTGCAAGCCATGATTCATTGCGACGCCGAACAAAAACGGGCTCTCATGGACAGCTACGGTAGCCAAGATCCTGCCAATGTTTCAAAAGTGAAGGCTATTTTTGAAGCTATTGATCTCCCCAAGTTGTTCCGAGTTTGGGATGCTGAATTGGTTGCGAAAGTGCAGGCTATGGTCGAAGGGGTGACAGACCCAATGATCAGAGAATCTTTTTTGGCGCTCATGTCGAAATATTTCGAAGACCCTCGAAGGCATCTGCCCTAACTTGTGTGTGTGTAAGGGATCCGAACTATGTAATTCCACTCTTCGGCTCTTGCTTGACAAGTTACTTATCAGTCTCTGTTTAGCCTTGAGGCTATTGAAAAGCTTGTCGCCGTTACCATGCCATTAACCCTTCATGGACCCATCCCGTATCCGTCAAACTGTTCCAAAATACCAACCTTAATTGGACTGTACGCGATGATTATACGAATTTTAATGCTGAAAAGTCGAGTTCTCTGGAGTTGACAGTTCTTTCAATGCAAGGCGTCGAAATTTATGCCAATCTATTGAAAACTGATGGATGTTCTGGGATCGTCCGAGCGTTGTTAGATCTTGAGACTTAAAAGTTATATGCTTAGCTAGATACAAGACATCTAATTACAAAATAAATGTCATCCCACATTATTTGAGACGTACATCCTTGTTACCGTTTAAGCCTTCTGTCAATTGATTGCTGACTTCCCAAGCTCTCACCCTTTTACTTAAACCAATTAGTCCGTATATTTAGAGTGACTTCTGGTGTGGTCTGCTGGCGCGTGACTGATACGGTCTGATATTACCAATCCACCATCTATACGTAAGGACATAAAGTTAGTTAAGCAGTCCAACCTGATTATACCTTATACCATCTTCTTCCCTTCTATTAGGCTATCTAATCAGTTTCTTCTCTTTATATTATAAAATTGAAATCGCAAACAGTCGGAGGATTTCAATGCCCCGCACCATCCATCTAGCCATATTTTCAAATGGCGCGCAACTCAACAATGCCACCCGACCCAAGCCCCGTATGATACCCTTTACACAAGCCGATAAGCGTTTTATCGTATCTCCTGGAGTAGGGTATAACTTTTGGGGTGTTCAGAAGTGCGGGGAAAGGAGTTCCTGGTCAGATAGATCAAGATCTAGACCTACATGTATAGGGAACAAAACGGCGAAAACCAAAAGAAGACCGACTTCGTCTTCTTTGGGCAGTAGATAGGGTCCATTTTGTTTTCAGTAAATTATGGAAAGCTGGCTCGGTTTCGGGCTTCGCGTAGTGTATACCAGGATCCGAGATAACGCCTCGATGTCCTCAACGGCATCGCGTCAGTGCTCTGCTATTTTCTCCGACAATCAAAGGCCAACTTCCATAAATTCCGAGATATCTAGGTATCTATATAGTAATTACTTGGATTGGTAATCCAGGCTCGGAGGATATTCTTACGTGCTAAGACGCAATCCATCGATATCTCGCGTCATGCGTCAGACCATCACTCAAGAAGACATAAAAGACGGCCACCCCAAGGGAATGAGAGGCATCAGACAAGTTAAAGAAAGCCCAAAATGCCCGAGTTTATCAGCGTGACCTTCCCGAACGCCTCAACCGAACTCAACCCCATCCCCAACGCATCCATTGATCCCGAATACCTCATTCGCTATGCCCGCACTCTAGATGACTACGGATATAACTATACCCTGGTGCCATATGACTCGTCCTCATATGATCCCTTCACCATCGGCGCAACCATTCTATCGGCGACCAAAAACATCAAGATCATCATCGCCCTCCGCCCAAACACCCTGTACCCCACAGTGGCAGCCAAGGCCCTAGCAACCCTCTCCCAACTAGGATCCGGTCGCGTCGTCGTCCACTTCATCGCCGGCGGAAGCGACGCAGAGCAAGCCAAAGAAGGAGACTTCCTAACGAAAGACCAGCGCTACGGAAGGCTAGAAGAGTATATCCGGATTTTGCGGCGCGCCTGGGACTCCGACGAGCCCTTCGATTGGGAAGGCCAGTACTATCAATTCAAGCAATTCAGCAACAGAGTCCGACCGACCGCCAAGATCGAAGTTTCAGTCGGCGGCTCCTCAGACGAGGCGTATCGCATCGGAGGCTCACTGGGTGATATCTTCGGGTTGTGGGGCGAGCCGTTGAAGGAGACTAAGGAGCAGATTGATCGCATTTATGCGGAGGCTGCCAAGGCCGGTCGTGCGGACTCCGACAGACCTCGTATCTGGGTGACGTTCCGTCCTATCCTCGCCGAGACGGATGAGCTTGCTTGGGCAAAGGCTCATCGCACGCTGGATGCGTTGACTACGCACCGCGCGAATGGTCAGGGCAAGGTCCCTGCTAATGCGCCGCCACCTCAGAATGTAGGCTCGCAGCGTCTGCTTGATATTGCGGCTCGTGGGGAGGTCCAGGATCGGGCACTTTGGTATCCTACTGTTACCGCGACGAATGCGCGGGGTGCGTCTACTGCTCTGGTGGGTTCGCCGCAGACTATCACCGATTCGCTTCTTGACTATGTTGATTTGGGCGCGGATCTGATCTCGGTCCGTGGTTATGATAATCTGAATGATGCTATTGATTATGGCCGCTTCGTGCTTCCCAAGGTGCGTCAGGCATTGGAAGAGCGGAAGAAGGAGGCTTCGGCTTGATTATGAGACTCTGCCCCGACGTACTTAGACCAATATAGCCCAAATGTGTATTTATTGTCGGCCTGTTCTTGCATTCATACTACAGCTGCTGCATTTTCATTTAGATCATCAAGAACCGAAATCTTTCTTTCTCGACTTAAAAGACCGTATCCGAAGAAACTATATATTTCGCTTCGCGGTGAACACCCACTCTACCACACGTTAGAACGAAATTTTCGTAACCTTAGAAGACAAATTATAGCCTTGGCTATTATATTATTATGTTTTTGAATCAACCAACGACCCGCACGTGCGTTTTGTGGGTTATATAAGACCCAAGTCATGGTGGGGAAAACCCGGTAAAACTAGCGACGGGGAATAGAATGTGTACAGCGCCAGTCTAACCACTTGAACCCGCATCATGATGTACTCGCTCAGATTTGCTTAATTGAACCCAATCTTGAAATTTTCGCCACGACGGTGGAATTGAAAGTGTGAGATATGCACGGCCATGTGGGAGTGTGCATAGAACCAGAAAGCGTATCACTCATCCACACAGGATACAGGATTTCGTCCAGGAGGGAAATGGCTTGGGATAATGACGTAGCTGCATTTACTCCATGTTTTCTTCCTCTGTTCTATTTCATTTCCTCGCCTTTCCTTTTTGCACTGTTCGTCTGGGGCAGGATTTTTAGAGACTCTAAAGCCGTCATGATCGATACCTTTTGCTTCCAAATCTCCTTAGCTTTTCTCTATACTTGAGGCGGCAGTTACGTCCCACAGAAGCCTAGAATCCCAGAGGCCCTTTGTGCCGAGTCCATCCCGGTTTCACCAGATGCTTATGAAGGAGAAGATTGCTTTTGCAAATTCACACCTCGCATCCATTCCGATGCCCATCTTGCCGATTCAGGAAGCTGGCAGTGTCAGCTAGATCTCCTAAGCTCCCAAGATGATGCCCACAGAGAAGCGGTCCGGGGTGGAATGGTGCAATGAACAAGGGCTACGCTGTGGGGTATATAAATGCCACTGTTGGCAATCTTACATCCCTGTGCGCAAGTGCGGCGATTCCTGGCCGTCATGCGCTGACTTCGTACATTATTAAATATGCATTTGGGCATGACGATAGTAAGAGACCCATTTCTTTAAATTGCTTAAAGTTCGGACTTCGGTGTTCTAGAGGGAGATCGCGGAGACTACACATCAGTCATCAAACCAGAGTCACTAGGGTCAACTTCGGAGCAAAATTCTTCGATTATGACTGGTGACAGAATGATCCGTTCACTGAACAACATACGCCTCAACCAAGCAACTCTGCCCCTCCCTGATCAATCAAGGTCATCACTAAATATCCGTGCTTCGCTCCTGAAATTTAGCTTGGCGGGTGGCTACACATTGTGTAAGCCACACACCGGTAAATAGCGAGGAGGTGTGTTACACGAGCGAATTCTCACTGATCTATACAGCCTATACAAGTTTTTTTCCAATAAGTAAACAAATACATACGACCATATATGTGGAGAATAGGGGCTTCTTTCCCGTTTAGCCGTACTAAAGCCAAGCAATATACTCGGCTAATTATTAGTACGCCCTTGGCACTTAATCGTAAGTACGGTGATTTAGGTAGCTATACGTACTTAATTCCCTCTGCCGGGTGGGGCTTTCCTATCTTAGCTGCCGCCGCTTTTATGCCGGCGCTCAGAGTCAGACTCACTGAGCTGCTTACCCTTTGCCGCTTTTTGATCTCTACGATGGGTATAGGCACATAGTTGTTGTAGTCTACTTATCAGTTAATGCTCTCGTGCGGGTAACATTGATTTTAATGGAATTATTCAAGGAATTACTTGTGTTTATTTCACATCGACGTCTCACCTCACCCCTCAAAGATTAGTTTGAAAACAAGTGCGAAGATAACTTCTCCGCTGTGCCTATCCTTCAACACATATCGCAGGTTGTGGTTTTTGTCGTTAACGTATTGTATGACTGGTATGGAGAAACCTGGGAGTTTCAAAGAGAAATCTGACCATATTCGTTAAAGCATGCAAAGATTTGAGATGCCCAGATGGAAAAGACGTACTTTGAAAGTCGATATACCCATTTCCAAAGTCTGCTTTATAAACGACGCCAGGTTCAAAGCAGAAAGTTTGGCGGTTTTCCTTTTGGAGGAAATGCTTTTGCCTCTCATGTGCCTGATCTGGGATATTCATTTCCCGTCTGGACACTTCTCCTTCGGCCTCACCACCTTCCTCGATAACTTCAGTGTGTAGCTCCTCTCGCCAATTTTTCGATCCTAGTTGGTAAGTTTTAGTAAATTTGCTGTAAGATTCCTATTTCCGCTCTTCCAATGATCTATGGTTCCAAACGCACCTGGTCTTCCACATATTCGTAGGCAATTCAAACTAGAAAGCGCAGGACCATATAGATATGGCTTATCTGTATATGCGTTACCGTAAAGACCTGGGTCAATCATCCATCTAACGATACGTAGAGCAGTGCTGAACCCGGGAGGCAAGCGGTCTCGGATTGGATTGTCGAAATCATTGCCGAAAACGAGGCTATCGCCTGAAATGGCCTTCTTCGGTTGGAAGGAAAAGGTGACAGAGTATTCTTGGCTTTTGTGAAGAGGATAGGAAAAATAGGCGTGTGTGTTAGGAGAGCCTTCGGGATAACCTATGGAATCGATGGGCAATGGAAAATTAGTTATGAATATCTTAGCGTACTCCATCGTAGGAGTAAAAGTCCAAATATATTAGTCACTTACCTCTGTAATTCTTGACCCTCACACAAAGGCTTACAAAAGCCAGATCGTTCTCAAAAGTCACAGTTTCCTGCTGGTTGACGGGGACAATGGAATGACATGCTGAATCATATTCTGGCCCTGCCGTCACCTGCAATCTATATTTCGTGTTGTTGTCTACTGACACATTATTTGATTTCGGTGATACTGTTCGGTGAATATAGGGCATGATGCTGAGGACAAAGATATTGTGAAAGATAGCGTAGTTGGTTGGTAGTATGAAATACTTCATACAAAATACAAGTTAATGGAGAGGGGGACACTGCACTGTTTTTATATGCAAAATGGTGCTTCAATCTTAACACCTCTTGTGCATACTACGCCGTATGGTGCCTATAGTCTCATCAAAGTTTGACTGTATCAGTAGGGAACACGCTCTTCCGAAAGCTGACCAATCATAAGTCGAAAGGCAATGTTCGCATTCGCATTAGCATTCGTTTTCGTGTTGAGATATAAACATCAGCAACATGTATACTTGGCGCTAAGCACCTCAGGGGACATATTTGCTGCAGGGAGTAGGCAGCAGTGTCAAATGGAGCCAAACCACCATGCAATAAGCAACACGGGAAAGCCAACGGAAGAGGAAAAAGCAGAACGCGGGTGATTTGCCGTAACCGTGGTTTGACCTACTTCCCCTTTAGCAATTTTAGACAGAGCAACTGGCATCGCCGCCCTATTCTTGAATTAGGTGGAGGCGCAGTCGACAATTTTGTTTCCAAGTAAAAGGCTTCCACTCTGTATATCACTTGAGGTCGAAAATACGTTCGCATGCTTTAGTTGTGCATCGTGGGTATGGCGTCATATGGGTGCACAGCCCCGAGATCATGCCGAATGTTTAATAAAGCGTTATAGTTGAGCATATCAACTAAAACTGCTAATGATCAAGTGCCTGATACATATTGTAAGTGCTATACAAATATCTATAGTACATCTTTTGTTAACTGGTCAGAACCTTGATTCTTATCCGACGGTCTTAGGTCTTTGGATATACATGATACACTTCCATTCGCTGCTTTTGACCTGAGCGATCTTCTGAAGTATGGCAAAATAAAGTTCATTCTGCAATTATTTTCGGTCAGCATCCAACATGTTGTCCTGGAGACGTTTGCAATAACGTCGTAACACATCGTGGCCAAGGCCATCGCATTATGGGACAGACTGTGTCTAAGTTACGAAATCGCGAACTTCGATCTCGCTCTCAACTTCGCGCCGTAAATCCAGAGACCAAACATAACCAAGACACCAATCACACTTAAGCCACCCAAGACACTAACACCCTTCGCAACACCAAGGTTGATGAAGAGTGGTCTCGCGAACAAGATACTCCCGCAAGCCAGGGCGCTCCGCAAAAAGCCATTCGCAGCAAACAAGGACGCAGCGTATTGAGGGTACGAAAGAGGGACATATACGAAGACACACTGCATAATAACGAAGACGCTGGCAGCATAAAAAGTGATGCTGATGGTTGGCACGATCCAGTGGATGCTGGCGCGAGCGGTCAGCCGAATAGAAAGAGCCCAATGGTAGGGCCGAAGCAGGCGTAGAGAGCAGGCACCAGGCGGGACTCTTGCGCGCGCAGACCGTGCGCCATGATATCTGGGATGAGTATGTAAGTAAGGTAGAGACAATAGATAGTAACGCCGATTAGGCAGGCAACGAGCACGCAGGTGAAGACGACACCAATCATGCCGAGCGAGAACCCATAGTAGACAGGATAAACTAGCGGGAACACCTCGAAGAACCTATAGTAAATGCTGTAAACTAGAGCCGTATACAGGTCCACGAATGCGATTGCTGGATCCTTTATGGTAATCTCCATCGGCTTAGCGATGGCATTCATCAGGATAGCTGAAGGCCGGAGGTTCTTTTGGTCGATTTCAGACTGTGCCAGGAGTCGCTTGTTGCCCGTTAATTGTCGGAGTCGAAGGGCGCGACGGAGCAGGATATTGGGGGTAGAAGTTTCAGGAGTAACATGAACATCACGATGAAGATAGGTCCAGCTGCCCACAGGATCTCCCATAATGACCAGCGTTATCCCTTGGCGGTGACCGCAAATCCAGGGAGTAGGGGCCCAATGGCTGGTCCACAGTAAGCTGCCGAGACCCAAGCAGTACTAGTCGTGCTTAAGCCGAGTTTCTTTACATACTGAGAAGATATACTCACAGCGCAAATTGTGAATAGAGGATAGAGTACATACAGTATCTTGCATCGTGGCCGCCCCGTTTGCCAGGCAAGGTCTTCCGAAGAATCCTTGGAGAAACCGTAGAACCAGAAGGCCAGCGAAGTTTTCAACAAGTGCAGTAGGAAGGGATAAGATGGTAAATAACGCCATTGTTACAGCGTATACTGGAGATCGCCCGATGACTGGAACCTCCGAGAGAGGAGCCCAGAGAAGAGGCTCAATACCGTAAGCTAGAACGTAGAGGGCAAGTGAGAGTGATGCGGCTGTTGGCCCAACATTGAACTTTCCCATAACGCCCTCCTCGCTCGAGGTGTAGATCGCGGAGCCAGTGTATACGACGAAGGTGTATAAGCAAATGATGAACGACACCACAAAGCGCTTTCCGTTGGACCAGTTTGGATGATTTGCTGCATCATCAGTGGTATACCAATCCATAAGGATGCTGCCATCTGACGACTTTCGTGGGATGATTGGTTTTGTCTGCGTCCGTTGAAGGGCAAGATCCGCTTCTATTTCCAAGCGCTCTTCAGAGAAGGGGGCAGTTTCTAGACGACTCTTCGTCCGGCTGAGATAATACATGTCTTCTGGATTATGATCGCGCAGATCTTGCTGGTCTAAATCCTCGCCGGGTTCAAAGGTTCCCGGAAGCCCAATTGCACTATCGCGTCTCGCTCCGTTCAGTGACCGTCTTCGTTCATTGGTGGTTGCCGTAGTAGTAGCAGCTTCCTGTCCATTTTCTGGCAAGTTGAGAACAGCATTTAATGTCGCTGGTAATTCGAAACCAAGCAACTCCTCGGGATATGGAAGAACCCTATTGCAAGTGACGAATCGGATGACCTGACCCAATGGGGCTTCTCTCAATATATCTTTCATAGCTGAGATCCGTCGCGAACGTTTTCGAAGATGGGGTGAATATTTTGAAAGTTTGTCAGTGATGGAGTCCAATTTGAGGAAGGGAAATGGGGAGTTTGAACTAAATTTGTCTTGAAAAGAGATAACAGTGATATTTAACCTATTCAGGGAGTTTCGACAATTTCTATGACTTAGCAATTAAGATATATATCTCCGGTTCTCAAAAACGTAATTTCCGATACCATGACAATATAGCTCTTAGATTTTGTGGGAACAAAATATGCGATATTTTACCGCTAGGTTAAAAAGGTGCACAACTTCTTACCTCTGCTGGTAAGTGGTAATCAAGCTATCATTTTCATCCTGACAGATTTCACTGAAAATGATATTAGCTTGAAATTGATATAAGTGCTGACAGGTTGAAATCGATAAAATCACGCTATGATAAGCAAGGGAGAGAATCAAAGCACGCATCCAATACTCCGTACGCTCTCAGTATGATACTCATGATGAGAGATGTGCACGCTTCTTGGTCGCTGTGATCACTCGCCCAGGCGGTACCATCCGCCACAGACGAAAGTGGCAACGCTCTTTGTTAAGCTATCGCGTCGATTTACTGTATGTTTAAGCTCCAAGCTAAATTCAAAACTATACAAAAAGAGACGCGAATATCGGGCTTATATATATTGGATCGGTCTATTTCTTCTACCCTGAAACAATGGGCCTCAGTTTGGAGAGAATAGAGGACCTGTTTCAGAAAGACTTATCTATCCCTGAGACAGTTCGATTGGCCGATAGATGGGCTACTTTGCCCCCGGGTGCAGATGTACACGAAGAAGAAGCTAAGGCAAAGGTACAGCAGATTGAACATTATGAAGATGAATCTGCGTGATTTCAATGATTCGAGCGGGCCCAGAAGTTACAAAGAGGATATCAGATGGGTCGAAACGGTCTGGCCTCAGGTGCTGTGTTTGCATTACTATTTGCCCTGCCTAAACTAGCCAGGTCTCGATAGAACCGCAAATATACGGATTAAGATTCATGAGCGAGCTGTAAGAGTATGTGTTTGAGTAATGGCCAGTCGCTTTTTGTGACACGTCCAGTTGACCTTCTAAAGTGATATATCTTCACAAAACAATTAACGGTAGTGAGTCGTTTGGTGTGGGACTACAAACAAGTCTCACTGATCTATCTATACAGCCTATATAGTTTTAAGCCCCTGTAGTCATGTCACCTTTTAATACTAAGCCTAGTACGTACGACTACAGGGTGTGGGGGCTGCATACTAAATAGAAGTACCTCGGATCCATAACCGCTGATTCTGGGGCATTAGCAGTGCCCAGGAATTGATGCATTTTACCGATTAACGCATTGGAAATACAATTACTGCATGAGACATAATCGAGCTTATTGAGCGTAGGTAGGGTCTACGGCAGTCTAATAAGGCCATCAGCTCAAAACTAATTTCCCCCATACAAACCTCTCACCCTAAGCACACCCACTCAGCCAGGCGGCGTCATTCAGCACGCTACTGCAACAGCGTATCGAGTTTGCAGTCAATGGATACGACACTCCTAAACTGCCGGGACAGAAACGTTTCCCGCCATCCTGGACGGTAGACACCGCTGGCATCTTCCGCAAGACCATCAGGGCTTTTGCCAAGCTCGGCCGTAGCCTGCAACGAAGCGGCGCAGTCAACGGTTTCCAGTCACGCCAACCCACTCGTAGTCGCGCAGCGACAGCACGACGACCGACCGCCACCACAGCCGGGTACACCATCTCGGCAAGGACGTCCGGTCTTAGCCCAGGCCTTGTGTACAACCCTATCCTGGGCAGTATCAATCGCAATCCGCGTCCCAGGGCACGCTCCTCGCCGGCGGGCCCTCAGTTTTCCCAGTACCGCCTCTATATACCGCCTTAGATAATTACAGCTTCGTACGAAAGCTATTCTTCTACAGTGACATAGCAAATATTTTAACACCATTGGACAGACCGTTTTTTAGACCGCCTATCGTAAACCGAAGAGTAAGTTTATATCATCTGTATTTCTCGCATGGCGCGTTTGCGCCGGTCGGGAGTCTCTATGTATTCGCAAACTCGTCCCGTATTGGTGCACATCAGACATGAGGGGGTGAGTTTCATCGCACTTTTTATGACGAATTCTGGAAAGTAATATATTAGTTGCCGTTGAAGGGGCGGAATCTATTGGCTGCAGCGAATAAGCTTACTTGCATGTTTGGCAGCCCGAGCGAACCTTCGGATGGCTTGCCCTCGTTTTTGCATCCTTGGCTACTGGAATCATCCTCAGTTCTTGGAAGGCTTAATTGCCTTATAGAAACGCACGAGGTGCCAGCCGTGGCTCATCTGACTTTGCTGGTCGGCCCAGGATAGCTGTTAGGGTTCACCCGCCTTAACTGAACAAATACAGTGACGCAGCAATAGTTTGGACACCTTTGATTACTCAGATTCTACTGGTTAAAAGTTCGATTTTTCAACACCCCTAGACTGGTTTCCCAATGAAACACTTAACTGTTATGGATTAGGTTGAATCTTGTCTTCTATAAAAAGCACTTACTGAAGCAAAAACGTTTACAAAGTAAGATGATATAGACTTACTCTTCGGTTTGCGATAGGCGGTCTAAAAAACGGTCTAAAAAACGGTCTGTCCAATGGTGTTAAAACATACATTTTAGACTCCTCAACATTGATTCCACCACGGAGCTAGAGACGACTTAAGTGAAACCGCCTCTAATTGAGAATGGCTCTATGGGGACTTCTGAATAGTCTGCTAAGGTTATTTCCTACTCTGTTGACCCTACGCCGAACAACATTCTATGAGCCTATGGCGATTCATTATGGTGAGAATTGATTAGGCATTCAAATCCCCGCAACAAAAGACCAAGCCAAATCCGGCGAGTTTCTAGTCTTTCTGCAATGGACTCGCGAGTAGATTCCAGTTCGCTGACCCCAAGGCCACGCACGCTATTACGCTTTGGTAGCATCAAAAAGACATCCTAGTTTGGTATCTCATCGGGCTCTAGGAAATTGATATGTACAGCTGAATTTGTTGAAGCTACTCGGTGAATAAATTTTCTAGCCATTTAATTGCAATTCCAGAATTCCTCGCCTATTGCACGTAGATGTTCTCAAGAGCTAGTATGATGCCCACCACTCGCTCGCGGTTTGGTAGACCACTGTAACGAAACCAGTCTGGATCTGAAACAAGACCAAGTAAATTAAGCCACAATAGCCAGTCCACTGGAGCTGTCCCACCTTTCACTCCTAGCTCAATGAAGAGATGTTTGCTCCATCGCTTCCGCCAAAACCAATCTGGTAACTTCCAACGAAACGCTAGTAGCATTTCCCTCATGTCGTTCACATCATTCGGCGTATACTGCACTGGGCAGATCAATTCGGCGATCAAGATAGCAATTTCTAGTGGAAGGCCGCTAAAACGACAAAGCGGAACAATGGCTTTAGTGCTTGCAAAACGCAAATTTTCTTCCTTGGCTCGAATGATTGCTTCTTGAACTGCACCAACAACGAGCGGGCTCAGAAAGAAGTCACAGCCGTACTCTGCATTAAAATAAGGCTCGTTTGGTCCGATCTTAGAGAACAGTAAATTTCCATAGGCCCCCCATAATTCGTTTCTGTGCCAGAATTTGCGGCAAGTCTGAACGACCTGGGCAAGGGCTGTTTTATTCAATTTCAGTCCTTCAATTTGACCGAAGAGTGCCCAGCAATGCGCGTGAACAATGTATCCGACCACGCTCCCTTTATATTGTCTGGGTTGTCTTGTAATGCTTGCGGCATAGAATTGAGTGAACTGAGTATCGTCATATCCGGCATATCTCAGACCGCCGATTCTTGCCGTCGCTGGATCAGTTGGCGTATAGTAAGGGCCGTGGTTTGAGCTCAGCATATTTATCCCCGTCAGGCGGAATTTCCTATCCGATTCCTTGATTACTGTTCTTATTAGTCTGTCTTGGTAAAGTTGATTCCCAGTAGTGGAACAAGTACTCACTAGCTCGGCAAAACATGGACCACAGCCGCGGACAATCAGCGAAGGATGCCTCCTCTATCTCATGAGATGTCACAAGCATGTGCTGCTTGGTTTTCAAATTCCAACGAGCTATCCATTTTCTTTTCCTGCTTAATATATCCTTGCTGGATTCATCGTCGGCGGCTGTAATTAACACCCCACACAGGAGACAGATTGGCTCCGGAGTGACACCGTTCGTGCTAGGATTGCCGCTACTGATAGTCGGGCGCAAAAGAACCATATTGATTCGGTAAAGAGAAATCTGAAAGGGTAATGTATCGGGACAAGTCAGATCGTTAGAAGCTGAAATAATCTCTTAAAGATGAGTGGGTATGTTTGTATGACGGACTTTTTAGTCGCTCAAAAAGATTAGTTAATGATGATCTCTACAACGTCAATTCAACTATGTTCCTACTATAGGAGCAAATAATGAGCCTCAAGTTTGCCCATGCATTGAAAAATAGCTCTATTTATATTATGGCATGAGATTGTACAAAACGAGAGAAGCTTAGCACACCTGAAGTCTTTGATACAGCAGCGTGTTAGTGCCGTCAGCTCGAAACTCAATTTCCCCCTATATCACTCACCTTGCCTCTTACAGTTTCAACTCTGGCTTGAAGAACATAATGTTTATTGAAAAGACCTATAATTTACTTTATTGGGAGGTAAGAAAAAAGAAGGAGGAAGGAGGCGAAAAAGAGAGGTCAAAGCAAGGCAAAATCAAAATGTCAAACAGTACACCCATTTCGAGGTCTTTATGTATAAAATTGGGCGACAGAATGACTTATGAGCTGATTACCATAACAGACTGCCGTACTTTGGTTGAATATGAACCTCCCACGAGCACAAGAGCATTCTCCAAATAACCTAAAGAGATCTTACCGCGTGCACGAGAAGATCACCCTTGTCGCGGCCAACGCGGAGATAACAATGAGATCGGGTCGGCTACGTCCAGTCCCATAACGCATCTGTCGATGTGTCCTTCGAAGATTCCCCCAGGCAAACATTAGCTGCATATAAGCTAAGTAGATTCTGTCAATTAGTTGTGCTTGTGATCACAGGAGAACCGTGACCGATGTACGTGTAGTATTATCCGAGCAATAAGACTTTTGGCAAACTAGCGAAATATATATTCGCATCAAGCATGTACAAGTTTCAAAATCTGCACAATTCTATCACTTCTGAGTGAATTACATCGATTTTGACAACAGTCATAGAGAAGAGATGAGATATTTATTGATCATCAACAATTCATATGTGAGCCTCCGAACCCGTCCACAGTACGTCGCGCTTCCACGTACGTGGTATGGAGCTACATACGATTTATCCACGACACAACCCTTCTCGCCCTAGATTGCGTGACTTTCAATTGGAACAACAGGGTTCAACGATCTTTTCACATACCTCCGTTTAGTAGCATTCGCCGCTAGGCGTGGATGCTCGATATATTATCAAATTCCTGTGTAGTCAGTAGAGGTATAGTACTGCTAAGTACCTTCTTCTTGATTATAACGATCCTCGCCGTCTACCTAAGGTAGACAGAATGTATAGATGTGAGACCACGCCTAGTCTCGGGGTTTAGATAGGTACCACCCACGCATATAAACCCACGCTCTCTCTCTGTCTCTCTCTCTGTCTCTCTCTCTGTCTCTCTCTCTGTCTCTCTCTCTGTCTCTCTCTCTTTTTCCCTCCCCCTTCCCCTCCCCCTTCTGCATCTCTGTAGTCTTGTCACAAATGCTATCCTATATGACTGATGACACTGAGCTACCGTCGTGATAGGAGATAAGCGCAGGGGTGTCTGATATACCAAGGTTGCATTCAATTTTCGCTGATTGGAATATATGAATTGTAAGCTTGTGAGCGAATGACGATGCCATGACAGCTACCGCTGCTGCTTCACGCAATACGTCACTATTTTATGGGTGCTGACCACATCAAGCTGCTACGACAAAACAGAAGTGTGCATCGAAAATGATAAAAGTGGACTTTTGGCATTAGGTAGCACCGCAACTAGTAATCAACCTCATGTGTCTCGACAATATGGCCTTGATAGCTTTCAAATCATCACAAAGACCACGATACTTGACGAATTCCGACAGAACGCCTCCCTCCTATGGACATTATTAGTGTGTTTTGTTGAATCACAACACAAAGTAACTCACCAGATGGTAGACCGGGTCAGGATTTGAATCGGTGATTTCCAGAAAGAGCTGATGTGTCTATTTCCTAGACTCGATGATAGATTGGAATAAACTAAATATGGTGGTGGGGATGGGGTTGATATGTTTCGAGAAGAGCCCCGCGAGTGATTTCAGCGTAACCAGAGAGACCACCCCTGTGGTGTTTCCCACAACTGAGGCTTCAGGGGGAATTTCTTGGTGATCTTGGCAGGGGCATAGATCATACAGTAGACAAGGCATCTTTGGTGCCGCTTGTACTTTGGATATGCGTTTCGGTCCGTCATGACCGGATGGTGTCAAGACGGGATGGTGTTGGGGGTGAGATGGACTGTGTAGGTGAGTGGTTGAAGAAAAGGATTCATCAACATTGGGGAGCTTCACGTCTCAGTATCAGGTCACTTACTCTAGGTACCGCTGCCTACCACCACCTTCTCTCGGTCAATGTCTTTATACATCGTCACAGCACAAGCCCGTACACAACTTTACGCTCCATCTTTATATCACCTTATGATATTGTTTAATCTACAAGTCGGCCGTTTTTATGGGGCCAGCATTATATCACGAAAAGATACAAGGGTGATTTTAGTGTGCATGCCATCTAGAAGACTAAGTCGGTCTCTACAGACTAGCCGAATGAAGTCGTCATTGAATCCCAAGTCTCGAGATATTGTATACGGCGTCGTTAGAGAAGAGCACAAAGGAATGTACTACACAGATAGACAGGTTGAATGCTTCTTAGATGGTACTGACTGTTCCCTCTTTTTTCATTTGCAATTCGATGTCTGTCAATTAGTACTCGCTCATGCATTACCCCGAGCTCCAACACATCCCAACTCATTTCTGTTCTTTCAAGGATTTCAGGCCTTCGCAACCATATTGCAAAAGACTTCACAAGAAACCAAAGACCAGTGGAGCCTCTGGTATCAACAAGAATTGCAGTAGCCACGTGGAAACCTGCAATGTAGAGCAAATGGACACGTACTTCCGATAGGAAGCAAGCGAACGTAGTGAAGTTAAGCACCATAGATGAAGGGTTTCCGGTTTTGATTGAGCTCCGCGGCAGGAATCTTCATGGGAACGGGGATGGTGTCCTGGAATAGCTCCACGGGGAGAGGAGCAGGTGCATCGTCATTCTCGAACGATACCTCAGGCGCTTTGTCCTTCCCTTTACCCTTCTCCGCTTTCTGATTGTCATTTGGATCAGTGCTCTTGTTGATGACCGGGACGATCACGCCACATTCCCAGTTGCGGCAGTTCATCTTGTACTGATTGGTTTTGGGTTCCTTGGTAAGACGGCCCCTGGTTTGTATTAGTACAGTTCAAGTAGGCGAGTATATCACTGATGTAAGAATATACGCACCAAGCACTCTCCGACAAGTTGGCACTTCCCACGTAAGCCCATCCCCGGCATTCATTGTGGTCTGGCAGGGGGATTGGCTTGGAACGGTGGACATAGGCAAGCTATGTATCAATATATATTAGCGCAAGGAGGCCTGAGGTCAGGTTGTAACTCACCTTGTTATGCATCAAAGATCCCCGCAAGCTCTCGCAATCTCTCAGTGCACGCCGAGGGAAATCCTCCTTCATCCACCACTTTGGATTAAAGCAGATCGTGCCCGCAGTATTATCGGGGTTTTGGTGTGACGCTTTCACAGTTTGGTCGGATGGGAAATAGATGCGGAAACGGTCCAGGCACTCTTTGTTGATTTCATTCACGAGTTTTTTGTGAGCTTCGGCCCCCGATTTGGTGGGTTTCGTACGGAGAGTGTAGTCCAGTACACCGTCCTCACCTAGAGATAATCCGTTAGATAATGCGTGCCAATTGTCCTGATGGAAAGGGGAACATACCTTTACAGGCGAGGTAGATCGATCGTAGGAAGCCAGTATTTAGGCTTCCCATAGACGATGTCTGGTTATCCACATGAGTAATTCAGTAACGCAAAGGGTGAAGGAAGATCACTAACGACGTAGTCAATGTTAATCGGTGAGGGTGAATTTAGTCCGAGAGTTTTCAGGGCGCGACCTAGGCCGCAGTATCCCGTTCGCCGCCACGATTCTCCGGTGTTAACTCCGCCGCTTTCATTTTAAGCTGAAGGTTTCGCCCAAGGTTTGGAGATGGAAAATACTTACATTGTATGAATAAACGCATATCGTACAGTTTCACTGAAGTCATATTCTTCCAGTTTTTTGATCACGTTGCGGTGAAGAGTAGTGGCCTCAAGGAAGTACACCAGCTCTTCGTAAAATGGAGTTCGGGATTTCTGGGTGGAGATGCCAATCTTGGGTAGATCAATAAGAAATACGGTCTGCCATGTTGTTAGAATCACAAAGAGGTGGAGGGCATCTATAACGAACATTTTCCATCAAATTTTCCCTGCCCCAGTCGAAGGAAGTAAGATTTGCAGTGGGAACTGCAATCCGCAGGTATGTGGTATGGAAGAACAGCATGAGCTTCGAGTGCATGCAAAATACCTGCGAATCCATGGGTGGGAAACACAGACGAACGTTCTTAATATCAGCAGTCTCCGAGATGTATTGGTCTCGCTTCAATATTGTTAGTCTGTATCAGCCCCGAGGAAGAATTTTCTTACCAGAGATTGATCATTCGCCTGCATCACAAGCATAAATCTAGTCTTCTGGATGTCAAGCTTCGTGAACAGCCACTCCATATCCCACAAAAACGAGCTGAAGATAGCGAGCTCTAGCTCGCTTCGTTGGATGACTTCTTCGATGGTGATATCATTTCCCTGGCGAGGAAAGCCATCTAGTGCCGTTTTCTTGACGGCGCCGAGCGGCCACTGGATCATGGGGCGGGCAGTTGGCTGGATATCAAGACCCGGTGCATTTGCCGCAGTCTGGGGGCAGACATATGTGCGTTGTTTGGGAACAGCATCCGCTCGAGGGATGGGACTTGACACAAGATGCTGCTGAGAAATAACCGGCTGACGAACCGAAGGAGACTCCGTTGAAGGAGGCGCGACTTTGGTAATCTTTCGATGGGGTTGGATTTCTGGGGAAGCTGCATCGTCGACGGCCTTGCGCTTAGCAAGACGAGCGAGACGTTCTTGTTCCATCTGCTTTCGGTCAAGTCCAGACAGTCCCACTGGAACAGAGCTAGCTTGGGTAGCAATGGAAGTCATGTCAGGTTTCTTGTCTTCGGGAACCTTGTCCTTGCCGTCGGTGTTGTCAATCTCCAAGGACATCGCCAGAGCTCGTTGTAGCTCCTCATCACCATGATCGTCTTCCGCCTCAGAGCTGACCACAGACTTTGACTTAGGGAAAACCTCTTGGATATCCGAGTCGTGATCAGAGTCGGCGGTCAAATCCACAAAGGTGGGATGGGATGCTTTGGATGAATTGCCATGCTGACGAGAGAGCTCCATGTCCCTTCGAGAAGCCTCGATAGCGGCCCTCATCTCGTAATCATCTGTTTCATGCATTTTTGCACGATATTGTGTGCCGATCAATAAGATTGGAGACGATGAAAGACCGATGAGACAATGAACAATGATGGAAGGTTTATGTAGGAGGCTCTCACGACGGTATCAGCAAAGGTGCAGCAAAAGACATATGAGCTGCACTTGCGAAGTTGTTAAATCGATATCGAGGTGATATATGTGAAAATTCTATACGCCTTTCACATTTTACTATGTTGCTCTCGCTGTCGCCGTGAAACCCCTGTTTGTCGACATGTGGTCACGTGGTGGGCCATCCCGCGATATCAAAGCATATGTATTTATAGCTTCTGGCTCAGTTGATCGGTTATATTCTAATTGAAGGTCTTATGTACTGCGATATTTTCGTTGATTCCGGAGCTAAATACATACATCCAACTATGTCTACTAAATATGTCACCCTCGTTATAAACGGAATGTTCTTCACTCTGACCGGCAGAAACCTCAATTGTTCTGGAAAAACTCATCGATACGAGCTTTGTGCATGTGCCATTGAGATGGAGAGTGGGCCATTCGAGAGGCTTAGCTGGGAGACTACGGGACACTTTCTTCAGACGGCAAAGACCAACTGAACATATCCACCCACGCGGTCTCTGATCGACATTCTTTTGCTGATGTCTGCAGGTGGTAGATTGTCAGCCTGGAGCCATCGGGTAGCTCCAAGCGGTTCTTGTCGTTCCATGGTCATTGTATCCGGTAAAACTAGATATTTAGCATATCCTGCACCGCTGTATCATTGACCTCGCATGTCCGGTGACAATGGATGCAAATTTTTGAAGTTGTTCATCGCCGAGAACAAATCCCTTGCTCATTTCACCATGCAGAAGTGGGCATTTGATTTCAGGTCTGTATGTTGTGGCTTTTCCTTCGTTCAACGACCGAATTAGATGCATTGTAGCACAAGATCGACAATCGCGAAGAATGCATCTCGATCAGCGGTTGCTTGGCCAAGTCCCAGGCCGACAACCAACAGCCGACTTTCACTGGGCGTTTTCGTAGCAATGGCTGTTGCAATTTGACGAGCGAGGAGCTGGCCAGTTGTATCTTGTCCAGGAGAGTGGCCACCCAGTAGAGTGGTTGAGGTCAAATTTTTGAAAGGCAAGAGGTTATCCTCTCCCTCGGGCATGGTGTGCATACCCTCAGTGCCGGGGTTGAGGTTCTCCATTGGTACGTGCAGCTGTAAGAAATTAGCATAGCTCACAATTCAATCCATTTCTACATACCCAATGTGCTAGTCGACCTGCTTGTGAGATCGTGACCATGATCTTATCGCTGAAGCTCATTGTGATGACATCTGTTTGGACCCCGTTTACCAACCCCGCAACCTGTTTTGTGGCCGCCGGGAAAGGGAGGACAAGGGATTCCTGCAAGGCATTGACATCAAATGGTGCAGCCATAATGATGAACGGTCCTTTATTTCTATATGCAAAGTCAAAAGGTGATAGAAGGTATGTTGTTCGACAACTGTGTCTCTCTGCTTCAAGAGCGGTCAGGCACTTCCCCACAGCCAACTCGGCAGTATTACACCGCCTCGATTTTTTTCCAGCAACGAAGAACAATTAGCTCGCAGCTCTCGGTTTCTAGCTATTTGACTTTTTCGGCTGTGGCTGTGGTATTTCAGTATGCCGCCCAAGTTTACGCCACGTCTGCGAAAGCAGAAACACCGGCAAGCCCAGGCTAATGAGCAGGCCGATACCAATGCCGCGCAGCTCGAGCCGGTCTCCAAGGACGAGAAAGAGGCACGACGACAGAAGCTGCAGGAGGAACTACGGGAACAGCATACCAACGTCTCCGCAAAGAAACAAAAGCGTCTAGACAAGTATATTGTATGTGAGCCGCTCGCATTGGAAGAATGGCTCTAACATTCCGCAGGAAAACAAACTTCGAAAGGAAGAGAACATCGAATTGTTGAAGAAACTCGCCAAATCCTCGGTCGATACCTCTTCACTGCAGAGTTCTAAAGATTTGGGCAAGCGCAAGAGACAGGAAGACCAGTCACTCCTACCGAAGCTTGGTCAAGCAGCGAAACGCGATGCTCCCGCCGACCTCTCCGGAGATGAGACCGACGACTCGGATGTCCATCTCAAGGTGTCCGACCCCGCGACAGACCCGCAGGTGGAATCAAAGGCACAACCTGATGTAGCTGTTGGTAGTGGATTGAAGCGGCCTCTGGAGCTCGGGCCTGATGGATTCCCGGTTCTCAAGAAGCGCAAGCGCGCGCCGAAGAAGAAGCCCGCACCTAAACCTGCACGAGAGGTTGCATGGGAGGGCTTCGATTCAGATGAGGAAGAGGGCGAGGACGACGAGGAGGAAGATATGAGCGACAAGGACGAGGCTGGATCCGAAAGTGATTTTGAGGAGGGTTCTGAAGATGAACTGGGTACTTCCTCCGAGGGCTCTTCGGAGGATGAAGATGACTCTGAAGATGAAGGAGACGAAGACGAGGACGAAGATATGGACGACGAGTCTGCAAAGATCCAACCGCGCCAGTCAGCCTTCAAATCTTGGGCGGTACAACAAATCAACGAAGCAGTGGGTTTCAAACCGAATGACGGCGAGGCCGTCTCCCAGCAAGAACAGGTATTCGACCCATCCAAATTGCCGCAGAAGGTCAGCGAGGAAGAGCCTCTTCCCCGAGAGCTCCAGGTTACCCATGGCGATCCCAACCGCAAGGCATACAGTGTCCCGGTGGACCGCTCGGAGGAGATCCAAGCCGCCCGTCTCGGTCTGCCTGTCGTCGGCGAGGAGCAGAAGATCATGGAAGCTATCCACAACAACTCCACCGTGGTCATCTGGGGTGCTACTGGTAGCGGAAAGACAACTCAGCTTCCCCAGTTCCTGTTCGAATCAGGTTTCGGCAGCCCAGACAGCCCGAACCCCGGTCTTATTGGTGTCACGCAGCCGCGACGAGTTGCGGCCGTAAGTATGGCAAACCGTGTGTCCCAAGAATTGGGTCAACACGCCGACAAAGTCTCATATCAAATTCGATTTGAGAGCACTGCTTCCAAGAAAACCGCTATCAAATTCATGACTGATGGTATCCTGCTGCGAGAGATTGCGGATGACTTTGCCCTCCGTAAATACTCTATCATCCTCATTGATGAGGCTCACGAGCGAAGCGTCAACACCGATATTCTGATCGGAATGGTCAGTCGTATCGTTGATCTGCGCAAGTCGTTGAGCGAGGAGGATCCGTCCGTGAAGCCCTTGAAGGTCGTCATCATGTCGGCCACTCTGCGAATCTCCGATTTCACTGAAAACGCGAGTTTGTTCCGCCATGGTGCACCTCCCTTGGTTCAGGCCGAGGGTCGGCAGTACCCTGTCTCTGTGCATTTCTCTCGCCGCACTCAGCGCGATTACGTTGAGGATGCGTTCCGCAAGGTATCCCGTGGACACCGCAAGCTACCTCCCGGTGGAATGCTTGTGTTCTTGACTGGACAAAATGAAATTCGCCAGCTTTCCAAGCGATTGAAGCAGGCTTTCAAGCCAACACAGCGGGGAGATACTACGAACGCAAAGGTGCAGCTCTCGGCCAACGAAGCACCTCTGGAAGCCGAGGATCTGGAGCTGGGTGAGACAGAGATGGACAATGCCGGTGTTGACGATTATGACAGCGACATGGAGATTACAGGCCTGGATGACGAAGAGGAAGACGACGGTTTCGATCTCGGCGAAGAGGCTATGGACTCATCAACACGCGTCCACGTTTTGCCTCTCTACTCGCAACTCCCCACAAAGGAACAGATGAAGGTCTTCGAGCCGCCACCAGAGAACTCTCGTCTCATCATCCTCGCAACCAACGTTGCTGAAACCTCTTTGACCATCCCCGGCATCAAGTACGTCTTCGACTGCGGTCGAGCCAAGGAGAAGCAATTCGATCTGTTCACAGGTGTCCAGAGCTTCCAAATCGGCTGGATCAGCAAGGCCAGCGCAAATCAGCGAGCCGGTCGTGCCGGTCGAACAGGCCCGGGTCACTGCTACAGAATGTACTCATCCGCAGTATACGAAGGCGAGTTTGCCGAATACACCGACCCCGAGATCCTGCGCACACCCATCGAAGGCGTCGTCCTCCAGATGAAGAGCATGGGACTGCACAACGTCATCAACTTCCCCTTCCCAACACCCCCAAGCCGCCAGGGTCTCGCAAAGGCCGAAAAGCTCCTGAAGAACCTCGGCGCGCTCTCAGCCGACGGCCAAGTCACCCCAATCGGCCGCCGTCTCTCAACATACCCGCTCTCCCCACGGTTCAGCAAGATGCTCCACATCGGTCACCAGCACGGCTGCATGCCCTACGTGATAGCCCTAGTAGCAGCCCTTGCAGTGGGCGACCTTTTCGTCCCAGAAAACCAACTGGACCCGAACCCCCCAGCCCCCAAAAAGACCAACGACGACTCAGACTCGGATTCAGACGTCGAAGAGAAACAAATCTACACAAATGCAGACCGCCTCGAAGACACAGAACGCGAACAACGCAACAAAGCCCACGCCCGCGCCCACCGCCTCTTCAGCAAACACGACGACACATCCGACGCCCTAAAAGCCCTAAGCGCAATCTGCGCCTACGCCTACGCCTCGGACGGCGAAGCCTTCAGCGACAAGATGTTCCTCCGCGCAAAGGCCTTCAAAGAAGCAACCCAGCTCCGCCGCCAACTAACTGACATCGTGCGCTCCAATAACCCAGGCCAAGTCCCCGATTACCAACCCCGCCTCCCAGAACCATCCGCCAAACAAATCAAAGCGCTCAAGCAAATTGTCACAGCTGGTTTCATCGATCAGGTCGCTATCCGCGCTGATCTGGCCCCCGTCCCGCCGGAGAATCAGCGCGCCTCCCGTCGTGCCATCGACGTGCCGTATCTTACCCTCTTCCGCTCGCGCGATGGGAGCGGACATCAGGAATTAGCGGAGCGTGCTGTTTACGTGCATCCGTCTTCCCTACTGGCTAAACTATCGCCGAGGGAAATGCCCCAGTATATCATCTACTCGCATCTGCAGCAGTCGTCTGCGGCGTTGGTGACTGATGCCCTGCCGAAGATCCGTATGTTCCCACTTGTTGTCCCCAGTGGACTTCAGCTTGCTGCTATTGCGCATGATACGCCGCTTATTGAGTATGGGAAGCCGATTGGGAAGGCCGATGCGTTGGATGGCGTCCCGCCTAGGAGGTCTTGTTGGGTTGTTCCCGCGCTTGTTGGCGATGCTGGGAGTACCGGTTGGCCTATGCCTGCTAAGAAGGTTGTTCAGAAGAAGGACCCCAAGGCTGGGTGGGTTATTGAGAAGTTTGTTGCTTGATGGGTCTTTTTATTTGGTTTTGCATTTGGTGTATATTATAGATGAGATGAGATTACGATATCCAGTTGTTCATTTGGTCATAAAGTTACTCACAGCATGGACATAGCATGATAAGAATGCAAGAGGAAGAAATATGAATGCAATTGACTCATTCCAAGCCTATCAATCTAACACCAAAGACACCATACAACCCAAGAACAAGAACAAGAATGCAAATGAATATCCATCCATACCCACGCCCCAAATCAAGCAATCAGACAGGAATCTAATCCCTCTCCCTCCTCCTCTCCCGATTATCCCTCGAATTCCTAGAACTAGAAAGCTCCCCAGTCTCCCGATCCTCCCGAATACCCAGCGCCCTCCTCAACCGCTCGCTCTCCTCAATCTTCGCCTCAGCAAGCTCATGAACCTGGTAAGACTTAAGATGCCTCTTATCCCTGCCCCCAGCAGCAGGCTTCTTAAACACGCCACTCCCACCCCCGCCCTCAAGCTCACCTTCCAGCTCCTTAAGTAACCGGACCCGAAGAATCTCGCACCGCGCATCAATTTCTTCTTCTGTAAGAACCTTCTCTTCATCATCGTCTGCGTCTTCGCCCTCCTCTTTATCACCCTCCTCCTTGTCCTTTTTAGAGCTTGTCTTCGACTTGCTGTTTTTGTTCTTGGCCAGCTTCTCCTCAATCCTCTCATTAATTTCCTCAAGTCGATCCCTCTCCTCCATGACGCGCACCTCAATCGCGCGCTTCCGATCATGTTCCAGGATCTGCTTGTCTGGTAGACGTTGCTTGAAGGGGCGATCCATGGGGCTGCTGCCGTTTGCGCCGCTGACTGGTGGGTAGGGGGCGCCATAGCCTGTGTTGCGGGGTTTGATGAAGGCGGAGTTTTTTGGACGTAGCCTGATGTGCCACTTCCCCTTGGGGTTGTTAGGCCGACATTTGAGGACATTTTGGGTGGTTGGTTGGTTGTGGTTGTGGTTTGGTGGTGGTTTGGTGGTGGTTTGGTGGTGAGGTGGTTAGGTGTTGTGTAGGTAGTTGTTGCGTTGATTGCTGGCCACGCAGATGTATTCAGTCGGCGACGATGTAACGCGCTATGGGTGGTGCGCGGAAGATATACGGAGGGAGTTTTCCGCTGGAGGGTAACTTGGCTGAGGGATGCTTGGAGATCAAAATGCGCCATTGGTTTTATCGGTCACGTGATGATAAGGCTATACTATGCTGAATGTGTCAACCATATACGAAGCAAGTTAAGCAGATATGATAAAAGGAATTACGGACAATGTAACAATCTTTTAAAGCTCTCTTTCATTATTACTACTTTCATCTATCTGGGCGTGGTCACAAGACCTAGCGAAAAATAAAATCAAGTCATAATGCATTGGAAATACAGACACAGCAAGAAAGGAAACGGGGGGACATTATTAGAATGTGAGCAAGACAAGGACAGGGGTAAGGAAGAGAATATCAAGATGGTAGGGGTAGCAACAAGCATGTCAAGCAACACTTTCCATTCTGGGGAACTCTAGATTGTGAGCTTGTATAGCCTAGTCTTGACAGAAACGAGGCAGGCTCAAACAGAACAGGTCTAAGGATGGACAGGTTGAGCAGAGATCGGGATGTACCGGCAGGTCCGAGATCACATTTCTAGTCGGCGTGGATGTTCAGATGAAGAAGTCACATAACATGGACCGTCCGACTGGACCTTGGGATGGGTTAAGTGTAAAAAGAAGCCGAGCTAAGCTGTGCTGTTTGTTTGTGTGCCATGAAGGTCATGCAAGTAGATAGAATCTTTTCTCATACGTCGATGAAGGAAATCGTACCGGGATCAACCGAGTCGATCCGGCGAATGTTTCTGATTGAAATTCCTGATAAGTCCCCTGTGCCTTCAAACCATGACCATGAACCCAGACCTTGACCCATAACAATAAACAATAGATAAATGAGACAAACAGGAAATAGGACCAGACGAGAAACACAAGACGCCATTTCATAGATTTGATCAGATCTGATCCTTGGACCAGTATCATAGACAGCGAAGGCATTGACAAGATGGGTGGTGAAACACCGTCGTAAGAGTAAATGAACATTTCAAGAAAGGACATGGAAAGAAATAAGAGGTTGAAAATAAGACATAGGAATCGACAGGTCCGAGATCGACAAGAAACAAGAAATAAAAACAAATCCCGGCCCTATTGTTGCGCCGACAAGCCATGTTGGTAAGGGGAGAATCACATAAGACGTTGGTGAGATATATCCGCGCCGGATTCCCCTGTATGTATACGCTCCATATTAGATAAAGAACAAGAATGTTGACTCGGCTCCGATCAGATCCGGATTAGAAATATTATGTTGGGCGAGCAAGTGATAATGTGTGCAACGAATTAGTGGGCACTGGTGACATCGACCGAGACGGTAACACCAGTGCTGCCCGTCTCGGGACTGGAGACCGAGGTCACTGTGCTTTTAGCGAGGCCCTTGGTCTCGAGGGTACTATCGACAGTGCTCTGGGGGTCGGTGGGGGGAGGGGTGGGGGGTGCGTTGCCCACAAATGCCCGTGGCTGTTCCGTGGGGAGTGAGCGCTTGATGGGTTGAGGAGAGGACTTGTGAGAGTTTGGGGGGGTGGTCGAGGTAGTGTGGGACATAGGCACGGTCGCAGGGGAGTTTGGGTCGAAGATGAGCTTTTCAATGGCGACAATCTGCTTGCCGTAGCTGAATTTCTTCAGCTGGCTGAGCAGCGGCTTGATCTGGTCAATGAGCGCTTCACGCTCTGCCTCCTTGAGTTGACCGAGGACCTTTTCTTTAGAGGGGTTAGTATAGATTGCGCCAAGGGAGGGAGGTACTTACGGATAACGTAGTTTCCATACTGGTCACGCATGAGACCAAGCAGAGGGCTCTCCCCACGGTCGTTGGGAGATGTCAACGTGGAGATGATATGGTGACGCTCATGTGGCGCACCGAACTCGATACTCTTTTCAACAACGTTGCTAGCAAACTTGTGCTTGGAGTAAGCGAGGAGCTGACCCATGACAATGTCAATCATGCGAGTGCGGTCCTTTTCATCACCGTTCTCAATCACATGCTGGATGACATAGTTGCCGAACTGATCAGGAATCAAGTTGGATGTGCAAGCGTGCAGCTCAGCCAGAATGGACTGGCGGTCGACCTCCTCACAGTGCTCCAGCATTCTCTGGATGACGCGGCAGCCGTATGGGTGGGCAGCAAGACGGTTCACCTGTCCGCGGAAAGCGTTGATGATGAACTGAACGTACTGCGAAGGAACACGCTCGATGGCCTTTTGGATAACATGGTTACCATTCTGGTCACGGACACACTTCAAGACGTGGTTCTCCAGCTCCTTGACCATGGCAGATTGCTGGTCGGTGAGGATATGCTCGAGAGCCTTTTGCACAACGCGGCATCCGTACATCTGAGTAGACAGGGCCAAGACGTGGCCGCGCATCTGGTTTGCCAGAATTTTCTTCTGGGTCTGGTTGCCATGCTCGAACAACTTCTGGACGACGTAGTTTCCGAAGACGTCAGTCATCAATTGAAGGCAGTTGGGCTGAATTTCGCGGAACACCTGCTCCTTCTCGTCGCTGTTCGCAGTCTCGAGCTTCTGCTGGATAAAGCGCGATCCGTGCTGATCTCCGCTGAACTCAACAACATGGTTGTAGATGTCCTTGAGCTCATACCGCTTGTTCCCCTTGCTGTTGGCGCGGAACTCTTCAAGAAGTGGGCTGCGAACAACCTGCGTGGGGTCATGGTCGCGTTGATTCCGAGAGACCAGAGCAGTTGCGCCCAGTCCACCCAGGTGAGCCACAGGGTAGAATCCTGACAGAGCGTTGAGGCGAGCAGTCTGGTAGCCTTGGTAATCATAAGCAGAGGAATACTGCATGCGCTGGCCAGCATTAGCAGAAGCTTGGGCAAGCTCCTGTTCATGGAGGGTGCGCAGTCGACGCTCGAAAGCCGCCGCCTGGCTATCAGTAACGCGACCGCCGGCATTCCGGTACTGGGCAGTGCCATCCACACCGGCGTAAATAGGGCTATCCATGCGAGCGTAGTCAGAGGGCGAAATGGAGCCAGTATCAGCAGTTCGAGACCGAGCTTGATACGCAATGTGCATGTCCTGTGCGGCTTCAGCGGTGTAGCCGAGTCCTTGGTAGGCAGGATCGTCGTTATTTTGATACTTCACACGAGGAAATGTGCCATCGAAGGAGGCGTGGGCGACGTAAGCAGGGCGCTGTACACCCTGGGGGTAGTTACCGTCGAGCTGAAGCTTATTGAATCCAGAGTTGAGATCCATCGAGCCGCCATAGCGGCCATCGACGCTGTGGTTTTCCGAGTAGAAAGAAGGATGAGCGGAGTGAGCTGGCCGTTGAGCGGCGTAGGAAGCGGAGTTGTGAGAGACGTGAGAGAGAGTGCTGCGGCCTTGGGGTGGAGAGATGGAATCCTGGATTCCAGAGCCTAGCGAGGAGATCCCCATGGAGGCGGCCATGTCATCCTGGCGCGCGCCTTCAAGCGCGTTCGAGAATCCAGCTTTAACGGGAAAGGTCGTTCCCACAGGACTTCCCCCAAGACCGGAGTTCATCTGTCGTCGACCAGCGAATCCACCAAATGTCATGCCATCGCCGGACGGGGAAACACCCTCGGAGGCAGCGTTAAGGTATGGACGCTGGCTTGCGGTGCCAGCTGAGGTGCCGATGCCAGTAGTGCGAGGAAGAGAAAAGTAGGAGCTATCACCAGCCTCGTTCATGACGGGCGCGCTGCGGTCATTGGCACGCGTCTGAATCGGAGAGGTGGCCAGGCCACGGTTTTGGAAGGTAGAGTTGCCACTGTTGACAGTGCTCCAGGGAAGGTTGGCGCGTCCTGACCAGCCATCGGACTCCGATGTCGACAGTAGAGAGCCTGAGCCTGACTTGCCTTCGAAAGCTGTCTCGCCAATGTGTTGATCTAGCGCACGTCAGTATAAGCTTCCTCCACGACCGACGATCACTTACCATCTCCGAATCCGCCTAGGTTCGAGTCACCCCAGATGTTGTTGTTCCAGGTAGACTTCCCAGCGCCGAAGCCCTTGCCGACATTGTTGCTGTGAGATCCGCGGTTGCGGTCGTTCATCCCTGATGAACCCATGTTTGAAGCCCGGCTCGCCCGTACCTGCACCGACGTTATTATTGATCCAATGGCTCCCAAGTCGCATCCCACTCACGTTATGTACGCTGGTTGCATTAGCGGACATCGTAGAAGCCATCCCAGGAAATCTCCGATCGGCGGATCGACAGTCGATATGTGCTCGAACGGCGAGCGACTATTTGCAGAAAGATCGAGGTCTGTTTTTAAATCACAGAGCTAAACGATGGACCGAAGTCGTTGACGGCCAGTATTTGCAAGCGGGCACCAGGCACCAGAAACGGCGTACACGAAGGAATATAAGACTGTGCAAAGAGCGACCCTTGTTAGCTACTGTTGTTGCATTGGGATGCCAGGTCTTGAGGAGCCAGGGTAGGGTGTACAGGGACTCACCAAAGGAGGGGACGAAGGGTGGAAAGAACGAGAGAAAAGCCTTGAATCTTCACAACCCAAGGACATGTACAGATTATACAGGGATCACGAAGAAGGGAGACGGAAGGGAGGAGCTCAGAGGCGAGAAATGCTGGAGGTGGCAGAAACGGTCGGGGACAGCAGATGCAAGGTGACAAAGAATTGGAACGATATTATCACCCTTTCTGTTTGTCGCTGCAGCAGTGTGGGGAGGGGCCAGAGTTGGCAGCCGGAGGGTTCTGAAGGAGGCGTCGCGACGTTACTCTGC